ATTAAACTGGAGGGGCATTCTGCCACATTCACCCAGGGCCATGGAATTACAAGATGACCTATTTATTTTAAGATACCTTTTACAAAAATCAACCTGTACCGATTCAATACTTTTACAATAAGAAGTTCCCCATATTTCTGAGCCATAGCATAATATTGGTGTGATCAGTGCATCAAACATTTTGAATAAATCTGTTAATACAGTTAATATTTTCGAATTTCTTTTGAAAGCGATTAACTGATAACATTGCCTTTCTAGCCTGAGATGCTAAACATAATTGTGCCCTGGACCAAACCACTTTTGGTGTAAATATAATGTCAAGATAGTTATAAAAAGATACTGTTTCTATTTGTTCCCCATTAAAATACCACTATTCATAAGATCTAAGAGGCCCTCCATTTCTGAAAACAACCACTTTTGTTTTCTTAAGGTTTACTTTCATTCCTGTTTCGTTGCAAAATAATTCAAGGGCATTTATCTTTTTCTGCAATTGAATACAAGTGTCTGAAAGAGCCAAAACATCAGCAGCAAACATAAGGGCATACACATTATTGAAAACAGCAGTGATAAATATTCCCTTACCACCTTCATTTTGCATAATTGTGCATAAATAATTAATCAATATTATAAATATCTGAGGGCTTAAAATGCATCCCTGGCGGGTGCCCACATTACAAGAAAATTGTTTAGAATGTCCCTCAGGGGCTCTAACACAGGCACAAAATGAATTATACATACATGTGATAAAATCTAAGAGCTTCCCATCTAATCCAACCTTATGAAGAGAATCTATAAGTACATCATGTTTAAGAGTATCGAAAGCTTTTATTTTTTTTTCTGCCCTGTTTTTTAAATGAAATGTTTTGTATGACAGCCTGAAGTGTAAAATTGTGGTCTATTGTAGAATAGTTTTCCCTGAAGCCAGCCTGATATTCACAAATGATATTATTTAAATCGCACCAGATTTTTATCTTATATTTAGAATTGATGTAAATAATTTACAAAGGGAATCAATGAGGGATATACCATGGTAATTACCGGGGTCGTTCTTGTCGCCAAATTTTAACAAAGGGCAAATAATGCTCTTACCCCAACTGGGAGGGAAACAGCCAGAGTCATAAATTTTGTTAAAAAGAACAGTGAGAGTAGGGACAAAGAAACTTCTTGACTCCTTTAGAAATTCATTAGCAGTTCCGTCTGGGCCAGCGGCTTTACTGTTTGGCAAAGAGAGAACAGTTGAAGATATTTCTTGTTCGGGAAATGATTGGTTAAAAAATGACATAGGCTGAAGCGTATATGGCATAGTATGGGATCATTTTAACAAACGCTTCACATTTCATTTCGATCCGACCCGTGTAGGTCCGGGTTAGAATATTATCCTTCAGTAACCCATACTTGTCGTAAGAGGCGACTAACGGGATCGGGTGGTCAGGCTCGATGACTTGGTTGACACATGTCATCGGTTCCCAATTGCGCAGATCGATGCTCATGCTGTTGATCACTGGATTGTCTGGTCCAGACTCGATTATTTGGGGTTGCCATAAGGCGAATAAATTGTTGTATTGAAGGTCGAATTCAGCATATATTTGAAAAGTGTTGAATTCGAATGTTCCTTGAATTTGCTGTGATTCAAATCGTGTATTCTTAAGCCAGGGCATAAATTGAAAATGGTGTGTATCGACGGCTACATCCAAGCACAACGTTCATCCACACTGCTTTCATTGGACACGTTCCCATGACGTCATTACGGACACCGACGGTAATACAAGTAAATAGGTTAATAGGGCTGGTGCCGTTGTCCTTATTGTCATTCCTGTTTTCCAGTCCATTTTGCTGTCAACGGTCAACCGCCATCTGTTTATGAAAAGCACCGAACTTGACCTATGATTCTGACACCAATATAATACATCAAAATGAATTGTCAAGAATGAAAGTCCCACGGGGATACCAGGGCAGAATTGGTCACCATTCACCTACGTGTCGTAAGAGACGGCCAAGATGGATGGAGCTGTGGTTATGTTCATCATCAGCCCAATAACGTCTATTGGTCAAGATTCGCTCTATGCTCAGAGAATTATAGTTGTTATATTACCAGCGTTAAACCTGGACGTCATGGAAGACACACCAAACGTTGGAAGAGCTGTCGACTTCAACAGCTACGTTGTCAACAACTGGGTCGACGACAATGCACAATTCACGAAGCCACCCAGGACCCCTCACATCACGACAGGCACAAGGATGAGGAACAACCAGGATATATTCTTACACATTTTGATATTAATATACACCATTATATTTCCAAGTTTTAGCCTACTATTCGCAAGTCTTTCTTTAGTTTACAGCACCTTACTTCCTTCTCCTTCTACCATTTGTCTCTCTTCCCCTTCTCAACTCTACCATCCTCTCTCTTCCTTCTCCACTCTACCATCCTCTCTCTCTTCCCTTCTCCAACTCTACCATCCTTCTCTCTTCCCTTCTTCCTCTGCCATTCTCTTCTCTTCCTCTCTCAACTCTGCCATCCACTCCATCTTCCTTCCCTTCTCTACCATCCCTCTCCTCTTCTTCCTTCCCTCTCTCTCCATCTCTCTCTCTTCCCCTTCTACCTCTACCATCCCTCTCTCTTCCTTCTCAGCTCTACCATCCTCTCTCTTCCTTCTCCACTCTACCATCCCTCTCTCTTCCCCTTCTCTCTACCATCCCCTCTCTTCCCTTCTCAGCTCTACCATCCTTCTCCAGCTCTCCATCCCTCTCTCTTCCCTTCTCCCTCTCTCCATCCCTTCTCTCTTCCTCTCTCTCTACCATCCATCTCTCCCTCCAACTCTCCATCCCTCCACTCTTCCATTCTCACCTTCTCCATCCTTCTCTCTTCCCTCTCTCCAGCTTCCTCTCTCTACCATCCCTCTCTCTTCCTTCTCCAGCTCTACCATCCACTCTCTCTTCCCTTCTCTATGTCATCCATCTCTCCACCTCTCTCTTCCTTCCTTCTGTCTCTTCCTTCTCAGCTCTACCATCTCCGGTCTCACCTTCTGTCCATCTACCATCCTCTCTTCCCCTTCTTCCTTGTCCTCTTCCTGTGTCTTCCTTCCCTCTCTACCATCTGCCTCTCTTTCCTTGTCCTTCTGGTCTCTTCCTTCCTTCTCTCTCTCCTTCTCTCTCTTCCATTCCACCTCTTCCTTCTCCTTTCCATTCTCACTTTCTACTGTCCCTTCTCTTGCTTCTGGGCTCATCTTTCTCTGTCTCTTCCTTCTTTCCGTCTCAGATGGTCCTCTCTGTTCCTTTCCTGTGTGTCTCTGGTCTCCTTGGTTCTACATTCATGTGTGCCTTTCCTCCTTCCACTGTCTGTGGTCCTTCTGTCATGTCTGTGTATCCGTGTGATTGGTCTCTTCCTTTCCTGTGGGATTCCACGTTTCTTCTGTTCCTGTGCTTTCATCTCTGTCTCTTCCTTCCCATTTCTCTTCCATCCTGTCTCTTCCTTCCCAGCTCTCTCATCCACTCTCTTCCTTCTCAGCTCTGTCCATTCTCCAGCTCTCCTTCTGTCTCCTTTGTCCTTCTCCTCTCTTCCATGTCTCTGTCTACTCTCCGTCCTCTCCTTCTCAGTTCTCTTCCATCTCTCTCTCTCTTCCTCTCTCTTCCTTCTCTCCACTCTGCCATCCCTCTCTCTTCCCTTCTCAGCTCTACCATCCCTCTCTCTTCCCCTTCTCAGCTCCTCTCTCTTCCCTTCTCAGCTCTTTCCTTCTCAACACTGTCCTCTCTCTCTTTGGCCTTCCCCTCTCTCTTCCCTTCTCTCCCACTCTACCATCCTCTCTCTTCCTTCTCAGCTCTGCCATCCCTCTCTCTTCCTTCTCAGCTCTACCATCCCTCTCTCTTCCCTTCTCAGCTCTCTCTCTCTCTCTTCCCCTTCTCAACTCTACCATCCCTCTCTCTTCCTTCTCAGCTCTACCATCCATCTCTTTCCCTTCTCCAGCTCTACCATCCCTCTCTCTTCCCCTTCTCAGCTCTACCATCCCTCTCTCTTCCCCTTCTCAGCTCTACCACCCTCTCTCTTCCTCTACCATTTTCAGCTCTACCATCCCTCTCTTCCCTTTCTCAGCTCTACCATCCCTCTCTCTTCTTCAACTTCCCAGCTCTACAATCCATTCTCTTCTCCCTTCTCAACTCTACCATCCCTCTGTCTTCCTTTCTCAACACTACCACTCCTCTCTCTTCCCCTTCTTAACTCTACCATCCATCTCTCTTCCCCTTCTCAACTCTACCATCCCTTTCTCTTCACCTTCGCAACTCTACCATCCCTCTCTCTTCCCCTTCTCAAGTCTACCATCCAACTCTCTTCCCCTTCTGACCTCTACCATCCCTCTCTCTTCCCCTTCTCAACTCTACCATCCATCTCTCTTCACCTTCGCAACTCTACCATCCCTCTCTCTTCCCCTTCTCAACTATAACATCCTTTTCAACCTTTTCCTCAAGTTGTCTTTACATTTTCATCCAAATCTCAGCTGCAACATTACCTCTTGAATCTTATTTCACCCCATTCTCTGTTTTAACATCTTGTGTTCATTCCTCATCCTACCTCTATCATTTTATTTTCAACCCTTTTCTTTGCTTTATCATCCCATTTCTCCGCGCTTCTCAGTTTTAGAATCCCATGTTCATCTAATTTGCCTTTTAAAGTGTAAACTTACACTTAAGTATATTCGGGAAGATATATGTTATTCTAAATTAACGATAAAACGAAGGCGAAATGAACTGTTGTGGATATTCAGCAAGATGCTCAGAAAATCAATGAATCTTCTGATCTTTTAAAAATCTCTCGTTTTCAAGTTTGACACTTAAACATTATTTTAGACTCCTAATGATTGTAATCGGGTGATCCTGAAAGCAAAGTTTGTCAGTGGCTGAGAGCAATGTTTATAAAATCATAAGAGTTTGTTCAGAACGAACGTTGAGTCACAAATTTAGACTAAAACCCTCCGGTCAAATGCCAGCTCGTGCGCGTTCATGCCTTATCAGCATCTGCAGTCTAAGTAAGCGAATTTGGCACCGATGCCTGTTTGCTGGGAACCACGTCTATCACAACAAGCAACACTCGCCGTCTTCAAATCTCACTTCGATCAATTTCTCGCCACAGAGAATCCAATTATTCCTAACTGCCCGGATGAAACAAACATGGCGGCGTCCGTTTGGCGAAAATCTGATATTTTGGAATGGTTCGTGCCAAGGGATGCGTTTGATTTCAAATTTCTTCGATAACTTATCGACTTTTTGAGCACAGGTTTTAATACTGACATACGCGGACCTTCCATGTCGATCACTATGAAGTGGATACGGAGTATCTGCCTGGCGCTCGTGGTGTGGGGGGTGCCCTCAGGTAAATATAGTTAAATACATTAATTCATATCTCGCCGGTCGTCACGACGCCTGCTCCAACGCACGGTGACGAGGACAGATACTGCTTGCTAATGAGTATAACACCCCTGAGTTACACAACTAATCCCATGTCTCTGTTTTAGAACAATGTTTACCCAAATCGTATGATGACCTTATATTTGTGTGGATATTTTGAGCACAGCATATGTTATAACAATATTTGTGTATTTACAGTTATTTGCATGAATAAACAATCGCTTTTCGTTACCTATTTATTTGTGACGTTATTCATAAGTGCTCCAGGTAAAGCGTATATATGTACAATAATCCACATCTAACAAACTGTAGTGATATTAGTCAGAACAACTGTACGCTATACCGGTATATAATAGCACAAATCCGTGTGAGTTTCAACTGGTTCCTTTGTTGCGTTTTCTAAATCTCAACAGATGTCTTATCTTACAGGTTTATTTGTTTACACTATCAATAAAGTATAACGAGGCCATGACTCCTTTCAAAGGGGTAGACAATTGTTCAGTTGCGAATGTAAAATCGTGAGCAGTTTGAAATTAAAAGGACCTGATTAAGGAGGCTGGTGTTGCTGTATTTACATCTGAAACTGCCCGTCATTAAGGAAAGTGAAGGGCACACCGCCTGATGCTGTTCCACAGCTGGCGGTGTAATTAGAACTCGCTGTTAATAACCACAGGGCTACTGTAGACTACGGGGAAGTCTGTCGGATAGTGAGCGGGAGAGTGGAAACAGCGCTGGAGTGAAGTGGAGATGGGGGTCGGGCAGATGACGCAGTAAGTGGGAGGAGGGAGGGGTTAGTTACGCGGGGGTGGGGTGGTATGGGAATTGATCTGGATGGTGGTAATGGGAAAGAGGGGAAGGCTGAAGAGTATGAGGAACAAAAAAACATCCAGACTCTAAACTGAAAACGTTTTAAAATAGGAGTTTTGAAGTTATGTCTTAATCAAATATAATTTAAATGAGCTCTTAGACTATCTTCATCTGCAGCGGTACAGACTTGCAGCCATTTATTACATACTTTGTTTTGGAAACGTCTGTTTCAGGGTGTGTATGACAGACTAGATGACGAGGGGGTTTGGTAAGGTGAGATGGGATGGGTGAAGGGCTTTGGTATGGCGAGATGGGTGTGGCAGGGAGAAGACAGAGAGAAAAAGGGTATGTCGCTGAAGGAGGAATAGATAGAGGGAAAGGGAGAGACACTGTCGACACTGACGGGGGAGAGATCAAGGTGTGATATGGTTTCTTATGGAAATGGTCAACAGAAATTGTGGGAAGGGGATAGAGAGAGGGGGAGAGATTTGCTAAGGAAGTGATTTACAGAGAGTGGGGAGAAATAGATGTGAAGAGGCGACAATGGGAGTTGAAAGAATGGGAGTTGAGTAGGTAAGGATTGACAGAGGAAGAGAGTTCTTGAGGAGGGGATAGACAGAGGGGAAGACAGTTGTTGAGAAGGGGAATGATGCAAGTTCGTAAAAAAAATATTTTAAAAATATACATCTACTTGTATATGTATTTGATCACTTATTAATGCACACAAAACATGTCTTTTACAAAATAAGCTTAATCTAAAAAGTAAAGTATCATTTCCTGCTGTAGAACGCAATGTCGCAATTCCATATTTGCCTAAGTCTGTAAGTGTCGCAACTTCGTTCAACCCCAACACAGGCAATCTTTAGAAAGCTCTAGCCCACTACATCCCTCAACCCTGTCCTTGCCCAGGGACTGTCTATTGATCACACAGCACTGTATGCATAGAGAGTTCGTCATCTGTTCAACAATCTGTCTACGGCAACTCATCAGTTTCCCTCGCGGGCCATAAAGGGTTCAATTGACGACCGCCTCATCGATCGCGATTCTGTTAGCAATTAAGTCTGCCAACAACATCGGGTTCCACCGTCAAATCCCAACAGGTGTCTTAATGCCTTCGTATCTGTGTTCTCCATTAGCGCCTTATGAAATACCCGCATCAGTCGTGAGCAGGTGCTTCAATTAGAACAGTTAGGTATGAGTCGGCATGTTCTTGGCTTGACTAACAATGGGTTGTTCAAATAATTGCAACATATTTGCGTTGCAAGGGTTCTTAGATTCTATTAAACGTTTCTGAGGTGCCATTTCCTTACGGTTTCTTTTCCAGGGTTGGTAATTAAATGGTCAATAAATTTTCATCGCTATTCTTGCCAATGCACTCTGTACCGGGGTATAATGAGACTGGCTATTATTCAGAGTTGAGGTTTAAGACAAGACAATCACTATATAGTAAGAATCTACATGTCATCGTATCCCAAATGCGTAGATCGATGCTCATGATGTTGATCATTGGATTGTCTGATCCAGAGTCGATTAACTACCCCTGACCCCCGCCATATAGCTGGAATACTGCTGAGCGCGGCGTTCAAACAACTACAATCCAACCAGACTGCTTGAGAACGTTATTATCTGCATAGAAACGTCGCATCTATTCCAATACAGAAGTTGTCTTTCCATAAAAAGTGTTCCTCTTCATCATACCAGCTTCTAAATGCCACTTAAGGAAGAAATCTGACACGAATTTATTATACTTCGAAAGGGACCGCATTTAAACTTGAGTTTTAAAGCAGAGTTGCTCTTGGGTTTCGCGAAGGTTTCAGAAGTCAAACAGTTGCATCTCTTCGGACTTTGCTCGCACATGCAACTGACACTATACAAGAAATCGAAATATCATTCAAACCCTTAAAACTAAGCTCATGCAATTTTTATAATAAACACGTAATGAATGGAATAACTGATGTTGGTGTATAGAAAAACACATTTATGACTATATTATTATCATTTTTGTAGATTGTTTTAAACGCCAAAAGCGACTTTTTGTATAACTGAAATAATCTCTAGGAACTGTTCAGATTTATACAATGTAAAAGAGAGAGAGGGAGAGACGAGGGAGACACCGGGACACATAAATAATGGCATTTAGGAAAGAGACAACGAGCAGGAAATGATAAGGCTGGAGACACAGAGACACTCAAGCACACGGCGAGAGACGGAGTGACAAACTCACACACACGCACGCACTCACGCAAGCACGCACGGAAGCACGCACACACACAGAGGTACAAAGCCCCGTGTGTAATGTGTTACTTGGATGTGTGACATTGTGATATAGATACAGGTGCGTCTGTTCCATGTCCGCAGTGTGGACCAGCTACCCAATCCCTGACGAACAGCTGTTGTATGAGGATCTGATGAGGAATTACCAGAAGTCTGTCCGCCCCGTCATCAACGCCTCCAACACCCTCATCGTCAAGTTCGCACTCAGGCTCAACCAGATTGTCGGACTGGTAAGAATTTTGTTCCCCTTGAATACTTGATTGCCACTGAGATGCATCACTGTTAGTGCACAAGAGAAAACCAGCAGACACACACACACTTTATATTTATTTATAACATGATTGGAAGGTACAGATGGTATAATCTCTTGAAGATTGGATAGTATCAATATATGAGTGATGATGGATTGGATGGTATCAATGTATGACTGTTGTGGATTGGATGGTATCAATGTGTTGTGGATTGTATGATCAATGTATGATAATTGGATGGTATCAATGTATGACTGTTGTGGATTGGATGGTATCAATGTGAGTGATTGGGTGTTCAATGTGTGATTTGTGGATTGGGTGGTATCAATGTGTGATGACTGTTGAGTGGTGGATTGGGTGGTATCAATGTGTGACTGTTGTGGATTGGGTGGTATCAATGTATTGACTGTATGGATTGGATGGGTGAGGTATCAATGTGTGACTGTTGTGGATTGGGTGGTATCAATGTGTGAGTGTTATTGGGTGGTATTGGTTATTAATGGGGATTTGGTGGTATCAATGTGTGACTGTTGTGGATTGGGTGGTATCAATGTATGACTGTTGTGGATTGGGTGGTATAAATGTATGAGTGTTGTGGATTGGATATTATCAATCTATGGCTGTTGTGGATTGGGTGGTATTAATGTGTGAGTGTTGTGGATTGGGTGGTATCAATGTATGACTGTTTGGGAATGGGTGGTATCAATGTGTGAGTGTTGTGGATTGGGTGGTATCAATGTGTGAGTGTTGTGGATTGGGTGGTATCAATGTATGACTGTTGTGGATTGGGTGGTATCAATGTGTGACTGTTGTTGATTGGGTGGTATCAATGTGGGATCTGTTGAGGGTTGGATGGTATCGATATATGGCTGTTGTGGATTGGGTGTTATCAGTGTATGACTGTTGGGGATTGGGTGGTATCAATGTATGACTGTTTGGGATTGGGTGGTATCAATGTATGACTGTTGGGGATAGGGTGGTATCAATGTATGACTGTTGGGGATTGGGTGGTATCAATGTATGACTGTTGTGGATTGGGTGGTATCAATGTATGACTGTTGGGGATTGGGTGGTATCAATGTATGGCTGTTGTGGATTGGGTGGTATCAATGTATGACTGTTGGGGATTGGGTGGTATCAATGTATGACTGTTGTGGATTGGGTGGTATCAATGTGTGACTGTTGGGGATAGGGTGGTATCAATGTATGACTGTTAGAGATTGGGTGGTATCAATGTGTTACCTATTGAAGATTGGATGGCATCAATGTATGACTGCTGAGGATTGGATGGTATCAATCTGTGATCAATCTGGTTTGGGTGGTGTTACCTGTTTGCCAGTGCTGTGACCAGAACGCGCTGATTGTCACCAGTGTTCTCACTACTGGTGTCTGCGAGACAGGACTCCACTGTTTACAAACTGTCATGATCTAGCCGGAATATAACTGACATTCACTCACTCGCTGTGTCACCATTGCATCTTAGTCTCTCTTCTAATAGCCAACAGCGTTTGCTCATAACAGAAGCGACCGCATCCGTGGTGTAGTGGAGAGCGGAAGGTCGCGGGTTCGATCCCCGACCGCGTCATACCAAAAGACGTTAAAATATGGTACATGTTGGTCCCTGCCTGGCGCTCGGCATTAATGGGTACAACAAGGACTGGTCGGCTCGGAGTCAGTATAATGTGTCTGAGTGGGGTATTCATGCTTCACTGCGGCTTGGTATCTCAGTGGGCTAGCACTATAAAACCAGCTTCATTCTGGGCTAGTACAAGCAGCCGCACATACACATACACACGCATGCACGTCGTCATATGAGCGAAATATTCTCCAGCGCGACGTTAAACCCAATTTCACCTCACCTCACATAACAGTAGCACTGCATTACAAGAGCCGGAAAGTGTAACTCATTGTGACGCGACCACATTGATGTTGTCATATACGATGGTCAGGAAAGACAAAACGAGACAATGTTGGAGATCTAATTTATTTCAAACCATTCTTTTACAGGACGAGCGACAGCAGGTTTTGACAAGCAATGTGTTTATTGATCAGGTAAGGCATTAGGAAAGTTTTGATGTACATATTTTATGATATAATGATCAAGGAGATGACAGTGTTGGCACTTGTTCAACCATAAACTAGGTTGTTTAGTTGGAAAGGATTTTAGGGTTGATGTCAGGCAGAGAGGGTTGGTGAAGGAGCAAATACTGTGTTAATTCGCTAAGTGTTCCTTTCTCTTATCTGTAACTGATTTCGTCACTGGTGTTTTACAGTTGATTTGTTCACATTTTCGCCATTCCTTTAGGTGACTGCCTACTTGGCTTGTCTCTTTTCTGCAATGAAATGTTTCCATTTTACCAGGAATGGTTGGACGAGAACCTCGCCTGGAGTCCAGCCAATTACAACGACATCCGCTCACTCCGAGTCGCGGGCAGCAATGTGTGGCTGCCAGACACCTTCATATTCAACAAGTAGGGAGAACACACGATCTTACCCTTGTTACCTGCATTCCTTACTTCTTCCTGTGCCAAGCATTTCCACAACCCTATAGCAAAGTGGAGACTAAGCTTTGGTATAGGTTTGTGGACAGTCTTGGGAGATGACCAGGTTCCTCTTATTCCCTGAAACAAATGACCCAATCAGGCCCCGATTTCTCGAAAAACTTAAGTTTTTACTCAAATTTCAAACTGAGTTTGACAATTTGAAACAGCCGATTTTTTAACTCAACTGCATTTTTTAAAAAAAAGCCCAAACAACTTAAGTAGCCTATCTACCCAACTCAAATTGTCAACTATGTTTTGAGTGTAATATCGATTTCAGTTCATTCTGGGAAATGCATTTTCCTGATTTTTCTCAAATTTGAGTAAAAACTCTTACTTAAGTCAAAACTCAGACTTAAGTTTGTTTCGAGAAATCGGGGCCAGAAAAGGTTCCAGTTTCGTCTGATATGACCAATGGTAACAAAATGCGACCCAGTCTAAGTAAACTTAGGCTCAGTATTATTCGTTACACTGCTATACTGAGTCTAACAAAACCTTGTGGAAGGTCGCGTCAGGTAACCTTTCCAATTGACCAATCAGAACACAGCTTACCAAATCGCGAAAGTGGACATTCGCACACACCTTTTGAACTTTTACCTCGAAAAAGTTTGTACCCGAACGATTCCGAATGCTATTTTCCGTACGATCGGTTCCTAATGATGCACGCCACAGCAGTGAGTAAACATTCGCTGAAAATAGCGTTTTGTCAGTATTAAAGCATGTCAACTTGGGGAAATATTAGCTAATTATAACCATGTCAACAGAAACCCCAAAGCGTATATACTGCAGGTCATTTTCATTTGTTGGGAGATCAGTGTTGGCGACCGGGGACGAGAAAATACACTTTGTAAGTCCCGCCGAACCCTAAATAGTAGCCGTTGTCTGATTGGTTAAATCCGTTCGGCCGTCTCGCCGTTGATTGGACGGTCATAGGTCGCTGAAAGGTTACCTGACGCGTATGGTTTTACGCCGTTTTTAGCAAATCTAGCAATATCACGGAGGGGTACACCAGAAATGAGCTTCACACAATGTACCCATGTTGGGAATCGAACCCGGGTCTGCTGCATGACAAGCGAACGCTTTTACCACTAGGCTGCCCCACCCCATCACTTTAACATGAGATTTATAATTAGGCACACTCTAAGATCGCTTTGTTGACTGGGGTCATGGTTTTGCCACGACTTGATTGTTTACAGTCTACATGCCACAGCTGGAATATTGCAGCCTAAGGGTACAGAATCATTTTAACTAAATACTGGGTATCTGAAATATCCGAAACAAGTAACTATCACACATTATGAGAGAGTTCGTGTACGAAAAACTTTCATTCAAAAATACAGAAATATTCATTAACCGAAGGCATTGTTAATTGCATGGCCTGAATTAAAAACAACGGTACTCTCTCTCTGTCTCATCTCTTAATACATGTTACAGCGCAGACGACGGGTCAACCGGATTCATGAGCGGCACGTTTGTCCAGATCCACAACGACGGAAGTGTCACATGGCCAGTACCGGTCAAACTGAAGAGTTCGTGCAAGGTCGACATCACGTACTTCCCGTTTGATGACCAGAAGTGTATTCTGAGGTTCGGATCCTGGATCTACAGCGGTTCCTGGGTGGACTATGTTACCATGTACAACAACTCACCAATAGACATGGCGTACTACGTCAACAACAGTGAATGGGAACTACTTTCAGTGACGTTGAAGAAGAACAACCGCCAGTACGAGTGCTGTGCGGATGCGCATCCAGATCTTACTTTCATATTGCACATCCGTCGCAAAACTTTCTACTATATTTTTAACATCATCGTTCCTTGTATCATGCTGTCGATACTGACGTTGTTGACGTTCTGGTTGCCCCCGACGTCGGGGGAGAAAGTAACGCTGGGGTTGAACGTGTTTCTGGCATTCTCCATGTTTATGTTGCTGGTAGCAGAAGAGGTTCCGGCGACGTCGGAAGCAGTACCACTTATTGGTAAGTGAGTTTAGTTTTACGCCTCTTTGAACAATAAGCCCGTTGTATCACGCCATGTCAGCATATTTATAAGAGGAATTTCCGGATGCAGGTCTGACGTTTACTATGAACTATGGCAAGTTATTTTTGGTAGTTAAATGTGATAGTGTGGCATTGTGGTTTAAGCATTGCCTTGTCACGCCTTTAACCTGGGTTCGATTCCACATAGTGATACAATGTTCTCTAGACACTTAAACTCATGTTGAATACAACCTACATGCGAGAGAAAGGCACACCTGCTGCACTGAATTTATATTCAATATATAAATGTCCTTAAATACAAATAACATTAATATATCTTCGCTATTCCAATATCCATTCTGATGTAACAGATAATATTTCTTCAAAAATAATATCCAGTGTATATGTTATTTGCAGGTATATATCTGTGCTTGGTAATGACGATGACGTCGGTGTCCGTCATCATGGCCGTCATCGTCATCAACGTCTACAACCGCGGGATGAAGATGAGACGTGCTCCTGGCTGGATGAGAACTTTAGCTCTCAATTGGCTGTCTAAAGTCCTGCGTCTCAAACACGACATAGAACTAGTTGCAAGACATGTCGTACTGGTAAGCGATGGGTCACCATGTTGCAATTTCAGTTACTGTTCAACAAACAGGCAACAAACACGCTCACGATTTTACGTAAATTGTTTTAGTGGCGCGGGCTACCAGTTGAGTAAGACATGTTTTCTTGAACACCTGGTGTCATCACTGCTTTTCAGTGATCCAGTCATATTGTTGTCTTTACTATTTTGCCTTTTATTTTCAATGGATTCTGTTTCCGAAAATATTCGAGATTATTTTCTAGAGTTTACATTTCATATTTCAGAGTCTCCCATTTCAAATTTCAGTGTATTTTTTTCTCAATTACAGTTGATCTTTATGTCTTAAAGTCTACTATTCATCGCACATTCCACGGGCCGGTTAATCCAACGACGAAGCTTCCATTACCTTGCTAATTATATTTTCAAAAGGAGTTTTCATTGAGATATGGTACTATAGGTCTTCCAGCCTTTAGGTATCGGTCGATGGCTTCCTTAAGGGTTTAAAAAGAAAGACCATTAGGACAAAAACATTTTGAATATTTGCTGTTGGGAAGGCCTGCATATATACAAAGGGACATAACTCAGTATTGATGATTCATTGGTATGAAAATGACTAAGAAAAATTAATCTAAATGGCCATGACTTTCGTTCTGCGAGGTTTCAATCCCGGTTTCCTGCGATTAGTTCAGTTTGTAACGCTTTTCATCCCAATTTACGTGCTTGTGGGTTTCACCAAAAGTCTGAGCCCTGCATTCACCTCGGGAATATTGTGCCACGCAGCGCTAAAACCAATTCTCATGCATTAACAGTTCGCGTGACCCTTTCTACTGATGTTGTGTACTGGTTTTATTAATTAATATTTCACCTTATTTACAGGAGGACCACTTCTACGAAGTAACAAAACGGCCCGATAACACAAGTCAGATTCGCAAGACTTTTTCCAAGTTTGACATAAGCAAACCGATCAACAGTCCAATTTTCACCAGACACAATAACAACTCGGAAGGGTACCAGCCAATCAGAACCCACGCTCGAAACCGACGGAACAGCATCGGGGAGCATCCTGACCAATGGCACGACCCGTACCATCGTCAGGACGATCAGGAGCCAGTACACAATGGACCTCCAGCAGCATCCTTCAGCGAGGACACACCACCCCGTAATATTGTTCCTTCTATTCTTATCGAAAGTCCCAATGCAAGTCAGGAACCTGCTGTTATCATCCCCAATCAGAACGCCTGCTCGCTTCAAACAGTCCTCCACCAGAACACTAACGCCTACCAGAGTCAGGTGATCTTCCAACACGCCCCTGCATCTCCTTCGGGTCAGTCCACCCGGTTCGAAGAAGCTGCTGATGGTGATTCTGACAGTGACTCGGCCAATTCTATCCCGCATCTCAAGAAGGTGATTGTGGCCGAGTGGCAGAGGATTGCCGTTGTCGTGGACAGGTTCCTGTTCTGGTTCTATATGTTTGTCACGTTCACATCCTACCTCATCATCCTCATCATCGTCCCTGCTCAGCACTACACCCACGGCAAGAGAGGGATCTACCAGGAAGGGGGGTTTCAGCCCCCAGACATGGAGGATGTGGAAGGGTGATAAAAAACCATGGATGAAGTCAAAGGAACTAAGCCACCGTTTTCTGTTTGTAAGTCCGGAACATCTGGACGAAATCATTGACAAGGTGTCAGCACCAAACATCAAGCATTAGTGGAATCTGACTGGCCATAATGTATTATAATAGCTGTGACACTCACCACAGTGGGAATGTGGACTTTATCATGTTGTGTTGAATCACATAAATTACAATGTGATCAGAAACTGGTCTTAACGAAGACACCGTTGATTTTAGGTAGGTTTTGGAACTTGTGATGCTGAAGAGTCTCGGGTATTCAGTGGGAAACGTTGAACATCCTCTTTCTGTACAGTTCACACATAGATGGATTCTGTACATTGCGCCAAATTTATGTACGTTTAGTCATTTCAGACTAATATTTATTTATATTTCTTGGACTGTTGATTTTCAGAGCCGTGGTTAAAACATTTCATTTACGTTTACCCAAAATACCTAACTGGAAACCCATATCACATTGGGTACCGTTGACCTTCAAGGATTGCTAAATAACCAACTCCAAACTCCACGGGCTGATTAGGAATTTGTTGGTTTCTCACATTAGGGTTTGGGTTAGAGAACATGCGATTCTGGTGGCACCACGAAGTTTTGGAGCACAAGGGTTCGTCTGGACATTCAATCCAATATGACTATGGGGCATACAAAGAAAGGAAAGCGGCAAACATCATAGCAAGTCACTCGTTAATTCCTTACACAGTTGTTATGTTAGACCAGTTGCGTTACTGAATGATTTCAAGCAAAGTAATATAGCTTTAACAATTTTAGAATGTCATGATTTTAGAACTACATGTACACTTGACGAATCCAGATAGGGCGTCTTCCATTGTTACCATAATAAATATCAGTTGGAATCTGTTGTTATTTGCTCACTGAAAACCACAAAGGTGGGGGTAACGCTGAATATGAAACAGGAATGATCAAGCTCCATACGGTGAAGTTGATTCCATATTGAGGTGTCTATTCTCAGCTATCCAGTTATGCCTTCGTTTAATTATGAGTTTGGATTATATTTGACGGCGTTTTGAACAGTATTCCTGTTATAAGTCAAATAGTGAATTTAATTGGATGGTATGTTTAAATGTCTCCACATGTCTTCCTAAAAACTATTTCGAGGCATCACTGTGGCCATGAAGTTCGTAACGTTCAAGAAGCAACTCAGGAAGCGTTGTATCACGCTCTTGAAAATCATCGTGAAAGAGCTTGCTCTATTTAGTAATGTCACAACCAATGACGATCAAGGGAGGTAATCTGAGAGCAAACATATAGGGTGGAAAATAAGGAGTATGGGTACTCAAAACGAGATCCCATTGAAAGTACAAATTAAGGCTTAGAATCTTTCAACAGAGTTGCCTTATGCATAGGATGATTTGGTGTTTCAATATAAAAGAGCTGACGATGAAGGAAAATGAGCAATACTTTGATCTCATGTAGTTGAAATGACCTTATAAGTCGCAAAAAATCGGGGTTAATCAGAAAAGTCAGGGTTAGAATTGTTCAAGCTGGCTGACTTGATTGACGCGTGTCACAGTATTCTAGTTTGGTAGATCGATGCTCATGCTGTTGATCACTGGATTGTCTGGTCCAGACTCGACCATTTACAGACCGCCGTCATATAGCTGGAATAGTGCTGAGTGCTGCGTAAACGACGGCATCAACAACGAATCATCCGATCTAGCACTTGGAGATTGTCATTTGCAAGATGAATATGTTTAGTCGTGATAGATGGCTACATGAGGGCAGATTATTTAGTTCCTCGATTTAAAGACTCCGGGAAAAAGTAGTCCGACAATATAATCGGTCATGATCACATTCACCCTCGCCTCACACGTTGTTTACGCACAATTCGAGTTTTGGCAATCGTCCAAACTAGCCCTACCGCCTCATTCTAAACTGAATGAAAGAGTTCTGACTTCCTGTGCCGTCCTTGAAGAAACGGTCGTTGTACTCTCTTCCAGATTCTTGCAGTTCTTTCGTGTAGCAGTTTATGGCGGATATTTATTGGCACTTTCTTCAGCGGCAAGTGTTTCAACTGCAAACAGCAGATCGTCTTGCATGTAAACACAGTAGACTTCGAGATTCAACGCACAAATAAACGTGGATGGTCGTGTTTCTTGCTAAAATTTAATCTCTCCAAAATAAAGTTCTTTGTTTACGTTTCCTATCTCCCTACAACTGAGACTGTAGTTAGACCGAACTTAGTTTAAGAGATATTTCACACTTTCACATATTAAAATTGTAGATATAAATGTGAATAAACCAAACGTTTTTTCTATTTCCGACAGTACTTTAGTCCAGAATAACTGGCTCCGCGTTGATATAATCTCCTGACCCCAGTCTGGAAAAAGGGGCGTGGGTGGACGTATCGTTAAGTCGAATGTCCGGAGACGCAGCCTGTAGAAGGGCGATAGCTTCCGACATGGATTCTAAACGACGGTCTGTTAAAAGTTCCGAGGGGTTTAGCTACAGATGCCGTAAAAGGAAAACTCAACCACAGTCGACACCATCGACCTACTCAAGCCAATATTGATGGAAAGGTGGCCATGGAATGGTCCGTGTGGGATCTATTAGGGGGGTGCACGCCAACCCCTATACAATACAACACCGCCTTCCCCTTCTCATGGATGATCGGTCACCGCGCGTCATCCTTCAAGGAACTTAGTACACTTCCCAGATTTTCATCTTCCTAAATTTCTAGGAAGATGTTTGTGTGTGACAGTAGCGGATTCGGTGTTTTGAGATACAAAAGAGCAGAGCTCTGCTTAATGGGGGCGATATAGCGTTGCCAGGAAACCTGGCGAAGGGGCTCAGTCCATGCTTCCAAATTACATCACCAAATCTTTCGAAACTTGGCCAGTAATACGTTTATGTGTAGTCTGAAAATTCCAGGCTTGTCACCAGCATACACAAGAAATAAGTGACCAGTCATTAGAGCAGTGGTTAGTGGTGTAAAAAACTGAAGCACGCCTAACGGACAGTCTAAGTAAACTAGGCTCAGTTTTATTCGTTACAATAATACTGAGCCTAAGTTTACTTAGACTGGCCTAACGGAGATACAGCAAGATGCATTTGGTATTGTTAGAGAGCTTGGAATCTCCAAAACCAATGTTACCAGACTTGGAAGTATCAGGCAACATGATTTTATGACTCAGAGAACACTACTGCCATATATAATGTTAAATATCTTATACATGAAGAGGGATTGTATCATTTTCGGTATTTCGAGAATTCGCGTGCGATGATCCAAATGCTGCTCTACCGAACCATATAATACAATAAGGTCAAGGACAAAGGTCAAGGTCAATGTAATCAGATTTGTCACTATTCTTGCTTGAAATTCTACGTTTTATCTCGCATCTTTAACTATTGGGTATGCTATATGTACAGCACCATGTGCTTGGTATCTATTTTTAGACACCCCAAAGTGATGCTTTCTGACAAAATACTTTTCAAGGCAGTATATCGTAGGACCACTGGGATTCAGGGCGTTTCTATGGTTACCATGTAATTGTATCACAAAAAATGCATTATAACATGCACCCTGTGCAAAGGCATTTTCTACCTGGTATGATTTACCTAACAACTGGTTGGGATGACTGACAGTTAAGTGGACATCTGTTGAAAATCTACAGATTATTCTGATGTGGTGTTAACAAAATCACAGGTATTATTTCTGAAACAAATGTTCAACTTACCTTACCTTCACCCCGTCAACACTCTTCCGCCAACCCCTGTCTGATTGGGATACACGACAACTCTTAACACAAAAGAACATCTAAAAGTTTATTGCATCGAAATACAATTATGACCAACTGCAATCAATGAAATCTGCAACAATCAAAACAATTAAAGTATAAAAATAGTATTTTGTATCATTCTAATGCATAGTTTTTCATACAAGCTCGATTTTGACATTCTACTGCTCATACACAGCATAAAACTAATGTAACACAAGCTCAATACTACATGCCTGACACCTAGCATTGTCCTCTAACTACAACAGCATACTATATACCTGTCACCTAGTGTTGTTCTTTTTCTAAAGCAGTAGATATATAAATTGAACAAAAAAGTTAGGAATCAAATATTTCTTAACTGAAGACAAAGTTTCTTGCCCATAGTATACGTCAAGATTTCGTGTTCCCTAACTTGTTTTGTTCAGTATATGTTCTTGATCTTCTTGAAGTAACATGTTATACACGTCACCCTCTGCCTAAGGCATGTTCACAATTCGAATCACATTCACATAAAGATTTTAACAATATGGATTACAACTGTGCCATACATACACATGAACATGTTTGATTACACAATAATCTTTCAGATATGAAAATACATGTATATCTCAATCCAAATATAATTTCAAATGAAATTTATGTATATTTTGTCATCTTACAATACATATAGAAGATGACACTTAAATACACAAATGACACAAAAATATTTTTCATCCAAATTAAATATTACTTACCCAGGGTTTTACATGACGCGATTCCTGCGTATTTGACGCAACAATTTTGTAAATGACTCTCAAAATATTATCATACGAGTCAAGCTTAACGTAAGTTTTATGGGTTGCCCTCACAATTCAGTTCAATAAAATCGATTTGATAAGCAAAAAAAGATATTGTTCGATGATAGTTTGACTTTTACAGAGCTGTCAGATTATTCCAGAGAACTCAGAGGAGAGAGTAATCCTGGCTGTTCGAATTGAACAATGCTGTAGTTTCATTTGGTGGTGTGACATACACAGTTACATACTGAGAATGATTTACATAAAGAAATATTAAAATTTTCATGACTCCCAAATATTGAAAATGACTCCCAAAAATAAATATTGTAAGTCACCATGACTCCCATTTTTAAAAGTCTGTGTAAAACCCTGCTTACCCCACAAAATCTATTGAATTCATGGTACATATTGATAGAGATTGCAAAACCTACGTAATATGTATACATAAAACATGTATTATAGATTGCATGTTATGGTTTGAGCAGTTAAAATAAAGCAAGGTTTGCACCAAAGAGTTGAGAAAAATCAAACACTATTAAAGCAGTCCCAAAGAGAGCGGTTAAAGAGTTTATGCAGTTATGTGAAAAATATATTTAACTAAACTGCAAAACGAAAGAATCCACTTGCTCTTTTGAGTGGTATCCTTGACATGACTTCCTCAGCTAAATAATACTTGTCCGATGTAGAAAACATGCATGACGTTTACACTCTGTAAATTCAGCATAAGCATACAAATTTCAACAAAATCAATATAATGGCTCTAGTAACAGTGTACACATCTTATAATGTTGTCCACATAAAAAAAGAACACACTCTACTTCTGGCTAATCACGAGACAAAACATAAATTATTCTACAACAAAAAAGAATTGGATTATGCAAGGACAAGTAATCAGAATAATATCAATGATATCCAAACTATTCCACAAAAACAGAATCCAATCTTACCCTTATGAGTTTGTGTGTGTATGTGTGTAACAGTCAAGTTTGTACCAGACAATCAAGTGATTAATATTACAAGTAACAATCAATATAGTCAGGATACCATTACATGCCATTAACCAAGTCACAGAGTCTGATCACCTCACAGGGGGTGGTGGGTAGCCTAGTGGTTAAAGCGTTCGCTCGTCACGCCGAAGACCCGGGTTCGATTCCCCACATGGGCACAATGTGTGAAGCCCATTTGTGGTGTCCCCCGCCGTGATATTGCTGGAATATTGCAAAAAGCGGCGTAAAACCAAACTCACTCACTCACTCACTGATCACCTCACCATATAAGCTCACCACCATGTTTTTCAGAGTGAGTGAGTTAAGTATTGTTTTATGCCGCTTTTAGCAATATTCCAGCAATATCATGTTGGAGGACACCAGAAATGGGCTTCACACATTGTGCCCATGTGGGGACTCGAACCCTGGTCTTAGGTATGACAAGCAAACGCTTTAACCACTGGTCTACCCCACCACTGCTATGTTTTTTTATAGTAAAAGCTGTTGGTGTGTGTTGTGACAAATGTTTCTATAAGTAAAACACCAATAACAAACTCTTTAACTAAAGTGGTTAATGTTTTTGTCTCACAAAATGGTAAGTTCTCTATGTCTGTTAAGGACTCTCAAGGACAGTGATTCCTTCACATTGATCTTTCAAATGCTGCAGATATGTGCCAGATATATTCTCAGATCAGATACTTATTCAATGAGATTAGTTTTCCTCATCACTACCGCAAACTTTAACCACATAAGTTACAATATGAAATGTACATCTGAACAAAATACAAAAGCAAAACAAAGGAGGTGTTCATTAATTCTCACCTCTCTGACAGATTAACTTTCTGCCTATTTAACACTGATGTTTGAGGCAAATGTAGTAGTGTATATTATAAGTTGTTAACTGGTCACGAGGGGGGCGTGGGTTGAGGGGAACATAAACAAACATCGAGGGTACATCAACCCGTGGGCCCCGAGGGACCAGTGAACAACGTATTTATCTTACTGAATACCTTAATGTTAATTTTGAATTGTTTGAAGCACGGGTACAAATCTTTTTGTAGACATCGCTAGATTTTGCTGACAAGATAAACAGATTTAGAGTTATCTTCCTTCTATCGATTTGCATTCGCAAAACATTGGTATTTCCGTAAATCATACATGATTCAATGTGATTCAAGATAAAGAATTACTACCACGAAGTACCATATGAGTTGCCATTGACAGCGGGGTACATTGAAATGTACCTCGCTCGTAAGCAGGATACATTGAAAATAATAGAAGAGCGCTCAGCCAATCAGAAAGCGACATTTATGTGTGAGGTAAGATAAGTACAGTTGTACACTCCCCATATCATTTATATCACTAAATATTACACAATTACATCATTCCCAACTATGACCAAGTTATATTCTAGGTAAATACCAGACAATAAGTAAAACATAAGATTAAAGCATTCAGAGTAACATGATGGATTTCTATACTTTGTAAACAAACATTTCAATCAGAAACTGATATAACCATTGATATTATGTTGTTGTGGATATATACATCTTACCATGTTAACATTAAAAATACTGAATTGAGGTAGTTAAGAAATGTCATGTCTGGACTAGGCAATCCAGTAAACATTTTTAGCCACGATCCTCTCCTCGGTAAGTTTCTCCAAAAGCATGGGAATCACTGAGCACGACCAATCAATCCATTAAGTCATCTATTAAGGCAGCATTTGTGTCTGTGGACCTGTTCTATCCCAGAATCCCCACCAGTAAATACGCTAGGTTACGACATCCACATGAATTCTACCTAAACATGTTCGATTTCACACATAGAAGGCTTATGATTGTGTATTGTATCACCATTTGGTGTCCAGATCCTCACAGGAAAATACAAACATTCCATCTGACACAGTGAAGACATCCAGAGGCCATTCTAGCACTGACTTACCCTGAATACAAAATGAGTGAGTGAGAATGGTTTTATGCTGATTTTAGAAATATTCCAGAAATATCACAGTGGAGGACACTAGAGATGGGCTTCGCAAATCATACTCACACTGGGGAATGGGATCAATGATTGACATCAAACACTCTATCCAATAGACTACCCCATCGTCTCCCACATAAACTGAATGTTACTTTCAATTCATTCATGTAACAGCTAGTGTTGGGAATTGGTTGAAATCTCACAATTGATGATTGCTTCATTACCAACGAACAATCATCGAAAAAATTGGTTAGCGTCATTTTTCAGATTTTCCTATCCAGGTTGTTATTGCAGATATGTATAACATGATGCAACTTGCTACTTTAAAGTGAAGACTTATATATCATAAACATAAACTTTCTGGAGTCTTCAAGAAATATTCAGTCATGGCTTTTCAGTTAGTGAAGTGAGTTTTCTATGAATTAAACACGTTTTCAGGCACTGACAACTTCAACGATATGTTCCATTGTCAAGTATTTCAAAGACGAAAAAAGAAGTTAAAAAATCGTTTATGTTCGATTATGAGAAAATGTGATCGATTGCTTGGTTGTTTGGTCACTGCGACCAATCTTCGATTATTTCAATTAAACGGAACACCACTAGTAACAGCCCACTATATGGCCTGCTTCATTTACATGGGGGGGGGTCATGGATGTTTGTCTAGTACAGTGACAACGTTTGACATCCAACATGTCTTGAAGAAATTATCCTAATTTGGTAATGACATAGATGAGCCAAAGCTGACAAAATCAGCAAAATGTCCACTGCCATCAAAACCAATGAACAGCACTATTCAAATAAAACTATTTTATACAATACAGGAAACGTGATGTCATAAAATACAACCCTGTGATGCTGAAAAGGATGACAATGTTTCTTCCGTTATGGAAAGAATGCTCAATGACTAACTTCAAACAACGGAATTAAGAGGATTCTACTTACGTAACAGTCTTACTCTTCCATCAATAAAACTATAAGCCATGCAACATTTACCTGTACTCTAAGGCCTAAAATACCATCTGTAGGTTTTTCAGTTAAATTATTACATTACTCAGTCATTTCAAATAAATTCTAGTTGTATCAACATTCTCAATTCTTCACAAACACCATTACTTCCTGAAACGTCAGTGATAAACTATTACATGTATAACAAAGCAATGATAACAACAGGTATCCATGCTGAACTGTCAGCAAGTAGCTGTTCATATTTGGGGAAATGTTCGTAGATATTAAGGAAGGAAAACAATACTGGATGGAACTGGTCTTCGGACTGCATCACATTTTGAAGCCCTGTGCACTCTCCCCACACACCGTACTCAGTGCTAAGTACTATTCTCCATGACCCTCTCCTAAATACATGTTTGTTTTGTTTTTAATGTTTATGCCCCACCTCCCACTTAGTCGCTAAATCAGTTTCAAAATCATACTTATTTATTTATAAAAATAGAACTGTGTAATTTTTTCATTCTCTCCCCCTGCACCATGTTCTTTGTTCCCTCCTTTCACAGTGACCCTTATATGTATGTTTATGTGATTTACCATGTATTCCCTCAACCCTGATCAGTTCACTATTTCCCATCATGATGATGAGCCATTACACTCAGTTCTTTATCTCCATGGTGACGGTCGAGTCACTGCTCAGTACACTATCTCCCATCGTGATGGTTGGCGACAAAAATTTTCCTCATAGTCATCGCGCTCTTGTTTCTCCTCTCCTTTCTCGCGACCTTGCCCACAGAAGCTATTGAAGGTCATGTCAGGGTCAAATCCCATGATTTCCCGTTCATCTTGGATACGGAAGGAGAACGTTGACTCCCTGGTGCCAATGAAGTACCTGGAGAAACAACAACAGCTCATCAAACTGAACATAAAATCAAAAGTAGCAAACATGCCTACGAAGAACAGCTTCATGAATCAGTGAGTGGTTTGATGCTGCACCTGCTCCATCAAGGATATAGATAAGTGTTTCAAGGAGGTCAACACAAATGTTTCAAGGAGGTCGACACAATTGTTTCAAGGAGGTCAACACAACCGTCTCTAGGTCAACACAACTGTTTCAAGGAGGTCAACACAACTGTCTCTAGGTCAACACAACTGTTTCAAGGAGGTCAACACAATTGTTTCAAGGAGATCAACACAATTGTTTCCAGGTCAACACAAATGTTTCAAGGAGGTCAACACAACTGTCTCTAGGTCAACACAACTGTTTCAAGGAGGTCAACACAAATGTTTCAAGGAGGTCAACACAACTGTTTCAAGGAGGTCAACACAACTGTTTCAAGGAGGTCAACACAACTGTCTCTAGGTCAACACAACTGTTTCAAGGAGGTCAACACAAATGTTTCAAGGAGGTCAACACAAATGTTTCAAGGAGGTCAACACAACTGTTTCAAGGAGGTCAACACAAATGTTTCAAGGAGGTCAACACAAATGTTTCAAGGAGATCAACACAAATGTTTCAAGGAGATCAACACAAATGTTTCAAGATCAACACAAATGTTTCTAGGTCAACACAACTGTTTCAAGGAGGTCAACACAACTGTCATAAGGAGGTCAGCCAATCTGTTTCAAGTATACTACAGAATATTCTCTTCTTTCAGAGAGGGGTAAAATTAAGGGGCTCCGAAAATGGTACATATGTAACTCTAGTTAGTTATGACCAGTTGAACATTGGAACCAATTTTATTCCCAAGACCTCAGCTACCAGTATGAGCCTGTATCTGATAACCTGCCTTTGGGACCATTTATTTCTTCAAATTCACATGGTATTTTGGACCTTTTATTTCTTCAAATTCATACGGTAATTAGAGTAAGTTAGAATCAACTATTTCATCTCTGTACCTTGCATGTGCACAGATCCACTGGTCAATGATGGCCACACCACCATCCATGTACTTCTCTAGAATCTCCTTCGATGGTTGGAACCGATAGACTTCATAGCCAGACAGAAGATTCTTTACCTCCTCGAACTCTGGCAGGAGTGAAAAAAATACAAAATTTATCAAATATATTCTTCTTTTAGAATCCATTTCTTTCAAAGTTTATATCTTATGGCATTTAAAAAGTCTGATGTTCACTACATTGTAAAAAGGACAAAACTGCTAACATGAATACAACTTGTATTTGTATGAATTCTGGCAATAAAGTTAATACAAGATTATAAGAAACTTGACATGTTAGACAGCAAAATTCTTCATAATCACAAGAAATCTGTTAAAAGCAGACACATTGTACAAAAATCCGAACTAATATAAGTCACAGATGTTCAACATACAGCACATGGGCTTAGTGCCAACAAGGATCAGTCTGAAATAATCTAAAAAAGAATCCATGACAAGTATAGCCGGGCATAAGGGAGAGAACACTGCACAACAAACTGACAGGCAACAGCTGTAATGAAACAGACAAGATCCTGATGACTAAAGTCACCAATCATTGTATTTTTTAATTGTTGAAGAATGCTAATGGGAGATAATCACAAGGAAACCTTACCCCACTCTTCACGAGCATCTGTAGAAATGAAAACCTTTTTCAGATCATATTTCTTCAGAAGTTCCATAATTTTCTCAGCAGCACCTGCAAGAGTTGGTGTGTCTTTTTTCCTGGAGATCGCAAAGTCGGCTCGTCTTAGGTGTACCCCAATATATGGCCCTCCCTTGGCTTGGCCCTTTTTCTTCTGCAAAAGAAAGCATTTTCAGTTTGGGGACCGTTCATAATTAATGGGTAAGGGGGTGATGATGATTTTAAAGGGGGTCACCTATTTTGTTCTGGGGAGGTAGGGGGTCAACAATTTTGTACACATGTACTAGGGGATGTCAGCAATTCACATGTACATGCAGGATGGAAACTCACTCTGTACATACATCTCACACACACACATTCACATTGTACATGCTCCATACACAATCATCACACACACACACACACACACACACACACACACACACACACACACACACACACACACACACACACACACACACACACACACACACACACACACACACACACACACACACACACACACACACACACACACAACCCCCAATCCCTCCCATAAATTATGAACAGTTCCTTAATGAGGACTTTAGATCCTTAGGTGTGATTTCAAGGGTTTGCCGGCTCTATGCCTGGTCATCCCTCTGTACTAAATGCCATTTGTGATTGTACAATGTCTAATTTAAACATCCCTGAAAAGCATTAGGGATGATCAATTTTTTCCTGAAAGCTATATCTGGTGCATCAAATAAGATTAGCAATATCAAAGCAATATCACGACGGGGGACACACTCTTTCAATCCATCACATTCAGTCCCACCTCAATACTCTGGAAAATCCAGACTTCATGCAAATATATTACTCAAAAAAGATTAAGAACACATGATTTTTTACTGACACAGTTGATCCTTCACAGTACAGTGAAAAGTCATAGGTCTTTTCCATCTTGTGGTCAGTTTTCTGTCCCTTACACCATCTACACTACACAGTATTTCAGTGATATCACAGTATGTTAGTTTATAGCTGAGGGTAAGCCCAGAACGAAGAACACAGATGTATACATCTTTGATGAAATCCTCAAGCATGGGCCACTAAGGATGATAATCGGTGCAAATCTGGGACTTGAACCCAATATCACCAGATCCTGTCATACTCAAGGGACACAAATCTCCACACTCACCTGCATCATCTAGAATTGTGAGACAAACCTTGCTAATATGTTTATGAATATGACAAAAGAAGTTATTTTCTACATTTAAGTTAAACTTGGCATATTACCTTGTCTTTCGTCCAATCTCCATTTAACACAGTTTTGTCTGCTACGTCTGTTGAGTCGAGATACTTGGCCCGGAAATCATCCCCAATTTTCTTCAGATGTTTAGCAAATACCATACTCCTCCTGGCCTGAGGTTACCATGGAAACAGAAAAAGCATAACCTTAGGGAAATAGATAGTGATGAGAATCAGGTTGGGGTTTATCATGGACAGATTGTAATCAGCAAAGTGTTTTCAGGTGTAATATTACATACTTTCAATGAAACCTTGAACATTGTAAAACTAATACATGATAACAGTTTCCACCATGATCCTATATGAAAATTTCACATTTGTTGAAACATGGCTATCATGGACATGAACTGGTGTTTACTTTGTCAGGTGTTTACCTTCTATAAGCCACCTGTGCTACTGCCACTGCATTCTCTTCCCACAGAGGTTACTTGTCATCTTCCTACGAACCTCTGTTCTAATACGGCCATATTTCCGGGTTCTCGTAAAATCACCTAGTGGTGAAAAATCGCAACAAATATCGCACTTCTTTCTATCTAATCAGAACACGTTTTACATTGACTTAGATCCAACTTGTGTTGAGGTGACACACAAGACATTTAATGGCTAGCTTGTCCGTTGTTAATGGCTAGAGGTTGTTAACGAGGAAGCTGATGGAGACGCCATTGATCCACCATTACATGACTGAGTTCTGTCTAGAAGAAACATTTGCACATCGTGCAGGGGAAGAGGTTCTAGTTTTCCCGAAGCATACGGAAATTACCGAGGCCTTGCGAATGATCACTTTTGAAACAACGTCGCTGATTGCACAACTAAATCTGATTGCAACCAGTCACGAATCCTGAACACACGCACCATGAAAGGGCCGTATTAGAACAGAGGTTCGTAGGAAGATATGACAAGTAACCTCTGTGGGAAGAGAATGCTGCCACTGGTTAGAACACTGATGGTTGGAGCAGATTGTTTAAGTTTCATCCAAAGTGAAAATGTAAAGGCTATAAAAGTAACCATTAAATTTCTGCAATAATTCACTTCCCAACTTCAAGGCACAAAAATCTGAAAGATTGGTTTAGTTTGGTTGCTTAGCGCCACACACAGCAATATGGAGTCAATCTGTAAATAATCAAGTCTGAACCAGACAATCCAGTGATGCAATTGGGATAAGATGACATGTGTCAACCAAGTCAGCGAGCCTGACCACCCGATCCCGCTAGTCGTCTCTTACAACACCAGATCTGAAATATGGTTCCCCAGTGGTTCCTGGTATATATTCCTTATTCAACTACTTACCGTCCAATACTTGATGTCTCCAAAACGATCATGCATCACTGTCTCCGCCCTGTCAACCATGACTGACCTGCAACAACAAATTGTCACATGTGACCTTGTACAGTCACCCCTCGTCATAACGCGGGTCTTGGGGTCCATGGATGACCACACGCATTATACATAACACAGAATAAAGGCCAGGGAAAAATTATATTTTCCATAACATTGCATAACTGCTATTTCATGTATAGTGTATTAGGGGTTTATGGACACATAAGAACAATTTGTTATTGTCCCGCTGATTATCACAACAACTGCAAATCTCACCATCATATTTAAGACATCTTAAAAAACCATCATGATAGCATTACACTGACTGACTGACTGAGTTTGGTTTACGCCGCTTTTAGCAATATTCCAGCAATATCACGGCGGGGGACACCAGAAATGGGCTTCACTCATTGTACCCATGTGGGGATTCGAACCCCGGGTCTTCGGCGTGACGAGCCAACGCTTTAACCACTAGACTACCCCACCGCCCCTGATAGCATTACAATGTCTGTGTGATCTATTATGAGTGTAAACACTACCGTCAGAAAAGATAGAATCCCATTGATATTTGGAGCTTGAACATTTGAAAACCGTTTGAATATAGGAAGGCGTTTCCTATTCTCGCTGTACTTACGGATATCGGCTGAAAAAATAACACAAACAATTCTTATCGTAATCAATGCTTGTTGTTTTTAAATGAAGGGCCTTCTCCTCTAACATCTACATCTATCAGCTGCCAGATCCATCAGGTGAATTACCACTCGTGAGCCCGGTGATAAACAATGCCATCCGCCATTGACGAAACGAGGCTTCTCCCATTCTCGCGGTATTACCAGGAATTAACTTTATTGAGTGTATGTAAGAGCAATCCTGCCGGAAAGGGCGGGAAAAAGTAATAATATGTCCAAGTTGGTATAAAATCCCCAATATTCGTGACAATGCAAGATTTTGATCACTTACAGACTTGGTCCACTTCCTAGTTACCAGTCGGTGATGTAAACAACCGGTAAGTGTCGCGCATCGTAAACGTGTTTACCGCGAGAATAGGAGACGGACCTATACTATTTGAATAAAAGAGCAATTTTACTTCAATTACAAAAATTGCTAATATATCCCCTATACATCTACATCTATTTTTACGTCTATCCTCTACACCTTTCCTGTGGGTAATTACACAGATTGTATATACATAAATGTCTGTTTGTTCTTTGCTCTTTTCTATTTTTAGGCATTAGTGAGTGATGCATTCAGACCAGCACATTTGATTTCTGTAGCTGTTGTTTCTGACTTCTATAACATCTATACACAAAACGACAATACCATCAAAGGCACTATACTTGTCCTGCATTAGTTTACTGTTGTTAAAATCACAACTTGAAAAGACAAGAAAAAGAAATTCATTTTGGAAAGCTTATCTCATTGGTAAAAGACCAATGAATTAAGGGAAGGATAACAATATATGGAAGGACAACTTCTTTTTTACAGTGAAACGATGTTTCAGTGTAGGTTCTAATACTGTTGGTGTTCGTTCCTTACTCTTTCAACTTCTAAATGCCTCTCAAAGAAGTTTACCAATGCCTCCTTCATTTTGATTTCACTGGTCAAGGTCACTTAAGGTTGACGTGATTTGTCCTTCTAAGGAGAAGTCAGTTGATGATAAATGAGTGAGTGAGTTTAGTTTTACGCCACACTCAGCAACATTCCAGTTATATGGCTGTGGTCTGTACATAATCGAGTCTGGACCAGACAATCCAGTGATCAACAGCAATCTACGCAATTGGGATACGAGGACATGTGTCAACCAAGTCAGCGAGCCTGACCACCTGATCCTGTTAGTCTCCTCTTACGACAAGCATGGTTACTGAAGATCAATTCTTAACCCGGATCTTCACAATGCTACCAGATTTTTCACATCCAAGGCAATAAACATGACACTTACATGCCGGTGGTGTTGCTACCAGACTTTTCACATCCAAGGCAATAAATATGACACATCCAAGGCAATACATGCCTTACATGCGGTGGTGTTCTGTAGCTTTTCACATCCAGAAAATAAACATGACACTTACTGTAGCAAGAAAGCCGGTGGTGTTCTGTAGCAAGAAAGGTTTCAGGAAACTGACCATTCCCTGTATGGACATGCACTGGAACGACTTAGCGTGGACTTCGTCCCCATAGTTGAAGAACCAGCCATCAAATACTCCAGTCTCCTCGTTCTAGGAAATAAGAACAGTTCTCCTAGAATTACTTTAAACAGATATTACTCATACTGTTTCCTTTAGGGGCGGTGGGGTAGCCTAGTGGTTAAAGCGTCTGCTCGTCACGACGAAGGCCCGGGTTCGATTCCCCCACATGGGTACAATATCTGAAGCCCATTTCTGGTGTTCTCTGCAGTGATATTGCTGGAATATTGCTAAAAAGCGGCGTAAAACCATACTCACTCACTCACTGTTTCCTTTAGTGGCAATGGGGTGGCCTAGTGGTGAATGTTTTCGTTTGTCAGAGCGAAAACACCTGTTCAGTTCCACACATGGGTACAATGTATGAAGCTCTGGAGTCCCCTGCCATGGCATTGCTAACAGCGATGTAAAACCCAACTCATTCACCCACTCATTTTGTTAACATAAATGTAATCTGTCTAAACCTGTCTAAACATGCTAACACAGTTATGAGGCTTGGTTCCACTCTGAAAGACTTTGACCCAAGGTGATTTCTGTACAATATGTTTGTCCTAGTTTTATCCTCATCCCTTAAGATAATATGATTTGGTTCCCTGTGACACATATATCACAATTTTATAAACATGCTTCCTAAAAACCTCTAAAAACATATCCTGACAACTTTTCCAACAATCTACTGAAGCTTTAGTCCTTTTTTAATATAGGATAAGCTTAAAAATTAAGCAATTTATGTGGTCCCAAATAGTCCATATCATAACAATTCCACATATACTACAAACAAAAAGTATGGGAACACCTTAAAATTTCAGTCATTTATAGGTGAGTGAGTGAGTATGGTTTTACGCTGTTTTTAGCAATATTCCAGCAATATCACGGCGGATGACACCAGAAATGGGCTTCACACATTGTACCCATGTAGGGAATCGAACCCGGGTCTTCAGCGAGGCTACCCACCCCCATAGTCATATATAAACTTAACACGTGGTGACGTCATTTATACTCTAAGGTAAATGCAACCTCTTGTGTGCTTAATGGGCACTTTAAACAACATGTTAGAACATACAGTGAAGCAACTGATTCAATATTCGTTGAGTTTGAGTGACATGAAACATTGTCAAAAACAGCGAAAAACAAGGGTGCTGAAACACACCAGCACCATGTTTGATTCAAACACCCAAACACAACAACCTAGTGCATGTGGAAGACAGACTTCCCATGCACACAAAAAGTTGTATTTACCTTAGAGTATAAATGACCTCACCATGTTTAAGTTTATATATGACTATCAAATTTTGGGTGTTCCCATACTTTTTGTTTGTAGTATATATTCAAGCATACTTCAAAGAACAAGAAGACAATTCATTTTAAAATTGTGTTTCACTTCACAACATTCAAATTACATCAGCAGTCAGAGATCTAAAATATTATAAAAATAAAAATAAAGTACAGTGGAAACCTGATAAGTATAATTTCAAGGGACTCGCCAAAATTGTTTACTTATCAGGTATTTTACTTATCCAAACTTATAAAAACCTGCAAATGACAACCATATGCATGTATATGTATCCATATGTAACAATGAACAACTTATCAGGGCTGGCCTGCAGTTGTCAGTGTATTGTCAACTGCTTGACGCCACCGAGCTGTAAGTAGGATGTTTGTTTGACTGGAGACTGACACGACTGCCCCTCATGTCGGATTATGTGGTGATCGCTAATTTAGTTATCCAGTCTCTTTTGTTAAGTAATTTACTTCCAGGGACCGTGAGAAGAAGTTTAGTTAAGCGGTATTGTTTACTTATCCGAGTTTAGTTAACCAGACTCTAATAGTGATAATTAATGAAGAAATTTGCTGGGACCAAAGAAAAGTGTTTACTTATCAGGTCTGTTTAGTTAAGCGGTCTTTACTTAAGCGGTTTCAACTGTATGTTCATGAGACTGTTCCTGGAGTTTTATTCAGTTTAAAAAAGCCAAAGAAACATAAATGTCCCCAGTTTAGGACAAAAGAAAGTGTCAAACAATGAAAAGGCAAATGAGTGAGTGAGTAAGTTTAAACACCAGAAATGGACTTCACACATTGTACCCATGTGGGGACTCGAACCCGTGTCTTCAGCATGACGAAGTGAACGCTTAAACCACTAGGTTACCCCACCTCCCCGCAAAGACAAATGACACAAAAATAACACAATAATAATCCAGGAAGAAAGAATTCTGAAAATATCCTTTTCCTGCAAAGCAGGATCCAGGTTTCATCCCAGATATATCTGTTTGTCCCATAAAGCCAAGTGTGATTTACAACCTCCAGACTTAACAAACTATTGATTGAAACAAGGAAAGGAAAAGATAATATGATCATTTGCAAACTATGCTGTAACACAACATATTATTGACATTCTGATTCAATATAAAAGAATCGATACACATTAATGGCATCTAAATCTAATGTTCTGTCACATAATGACACACCCAGCTTAAAAGAATCCCACCAGTTGCCAGGCAACACATTAATCATTGCCACTACATCCTGCTTGTCAATAATCGTCCTGATAAAGTAACAGCTGCTTGAAATTTGTTTGTCCAGAACACCAGGAAGACTGGAAACAATTTTTCTGGGACGTTTTATCATAATTTTGTTTCATCAAATATACCTGTACAGTCAAACACTGTTGTGTTTCAAAGTAAAAGGGGCGGTGGGGTAGCCTAGTGGGTAAAGCGTGCACTCATTGCACCGAAGACCCGGGTTTGATTCCCCACATGGGTACAATGAGTGAAGCCCATTTCTGGTGACCCCTGCCTTGATATAGCTGGAATATTGCTAAAAGCGGCTTCAAACTAAACTCACTCACTCAAAGTAAAAACCTGGTCAATGTGTATTCATTATTTAGTTATCGTGTGGCGCTTGTGACGAACTGCGGATAACTCGAAGCATTTATGTAGGTCCCTTCAACTTCCACACAACAATGTCTGACCACATGCAGTCTTAGAAATTCTTGTCTGTTTAAGAACAGTCCAGAAGATAAGTGGAAACCTTATTTAACCACTCCCTAGCTAAACCTGCTTGACCATGACAAAAATGTACACTATGTATATATTTTCTATTAGTTTTATTCAGTATGAATTTGTAAGTTTGTTGTTGAACTGGTGCAGAATTACAACCCTCAATGAGGACTTCCTCCACTGGACTGACTGACTGAGTTTGGTTTTACGCCACTTTTAGCAATATTCCAGCAACATCACGGCGGGGACACCAGAAATGGGCTTCACACATAGTACCCATGTGGGGATTCGAACCCGGGTCTTCGGCGTGACGAGCCAACGCTTTAACCATTAGGCTACCCCACCGCCCCTCCTCCACTGGAAGTTTCCCGTATCAGCAAACTTTTATAATCTTGGAGAAGCATGAACTACAATAGCTGTACACATCACTTGTGAGAACATCTTGGTGTAAAACAGAATGCAACCAGCTTTGACATAAATGAACTAATATTACATTAACGAGCAAGTGAATTAGGTTTTAAAATCTAGCAATTTTCCAGCAATACCATGGCCGTGAAACACCAGAAATAGGCTACACACACCACACCCACATGGGGAATCAAACTTAAGCAAACACTTTAACCACAAGACTATTCCATTGCTCCTAATGTTACAATACATGCATTACTAAATGCATTTTTACTATGCAACTTTCCACGCAACTTTTAGCAACATTCCAGCAATATCATGGCGAGGGACACCAGAAATGGGCTTCACACATCGTACACATGGGGAATCCAACTTGAGAAACACTTCACCACAAGGTACTAGTGTTGGGATTTGGTTAAAATCTCATAATTGATGATTGGTTCATTACTACCGATCAATCATCGAAAATAATTGGTTAGCATCATTTATGAAATTTGATAATGCACATAAAAATAAGGAAAAAACAAATAGTTCTTATGGGGTTTTTTGGCAAAATTTCACATCTTTAAAGGATGACTAGTATGTTAGTAACATAAATTTCTTGGAATCTTTAAGATAAATTCAATCGTGACTTGAAACGAGCTTGTAGTGCTTACGAAATGTAACAGACAAAACCAACCATGTGAAAAATATTGTTAATGAAAACAAGTGTTCCAGAATTGGTTGTGTCCGATTATGAGAAATTGTGATCGATTGCTTGGTCGTTCAGTCACTACGACCAAGCTTCGATTATTTCAATTAATCGGACCACCACTACAAGGTACCCCACTGCCCCATTTGTTTTATTACATGCATTACTAAAATTTAATCATGCTCACTGTGAGTTTAGTTTCACTCCACTTTTATCAATATTCCAGCAATATCATGGCAAGGGACACCAGAAATGGGCTTCGCACATCGTACCCATGTGGGGATCGAACCTGGGTCTTCGGCATGATGAGCCAAACTCAATCATTAGGCTTTCCCACCAACCCCTGCTCACAGAGCAACCTTGATTTGTGAGTGAGTGAGTTAATATTTAACGTCACATCGGCAATATCTCAGCCATATCGTGACGAACCTTGATTGTATTGTTATCTCCCATTGATGGCGGCACTCACCCAGGTGTACTTCCTGTACTCCATGGTGTGGCACTCCCGCATGTCCATCTTCTCCTTCCACTCCCCGCCCCAGCCCTCCTTGTAGTACTGGAGATAGTACACCTCATCCACCAGCCACGGCTTGGGAAGCACTGCATACACATCAAGTCAGAACATTCTTGGTCTAAATACAGCCTTGGCATACAAATACTCTTCATATTTGAGTGAGTGAGTGAGTGAGTGAGTTCAGTTTTACGCCGCACTCAGCAATCTTCCAGCTATATGGCGGTGGTCTGTAAATAATTGAGTCTTGACCAGATAATCCAGTGATCAACAGCATGAGCATCGATCTGAGCAACTGGGAACCGATGACATGTTGTTTTCATATTTAACGACAGTAGCAACTTAAGTTTGTTTCTTCAAACATCAATACTGAGAATCAAGACACGATAACCCAATTGACCACAATCATTCAGGACCCGTGAAGATCCTGGGTAGAATAGGTCTTCAGCAACCCATGCTTGCCATAAAAGGCGACTTTGCTTATAAAGGATATTTGTATGCGACTAAACCCATCGGGTTTCAGGCTCGCTGACTTGGTTGACACATTTCATCGGTTCCCAATTGCGCAGATCGATGCTCATGCTGTTGATCACTGGATTGTCTGGTCCAGACTCGATTATTTACAGACCACCACCATATAGCTGGAATATTGCTGAGTGTGGCGTAAAACTAAACTCACTCACTTACTCACAATCATTCAGAATATAATAAATGCAATTTTGCCCCATGTGCTGCATTTCAAAAATGCTAAAAACCTGAGCTGACCTGAGCTGACAAACCTAAACATATAACCAGGATATTTGTATGATTCAAACCCACCTCTAAATTTTAGGTTTCTAGCATGCAGTAGGGACATAATCTGCAGAGAGTATGGTAGCTCCTTGGACATATGTCCTCTTCATTGTAATCTATTCACAACACTAATATTAAAACAATATTAGAAACACAGGTATATATATATCGGCAGGATTACCTTTCAGAAAGTCCTCAAACTCAATGACCGGTACATATTTTCTGAGACTCGGGACATCAAAGAAGACCGACCATGGGATGCGTGACTGGTCCATTTGGCGGTTGGCCCAGTGGTACAGGTGTCCCCAAGGAGGCAACACCAGAATCCAGGGTGAGTCTTCATTGAGGGTCTCAACCAGGTTGGCCATGCGCAGGTACACATCACGACGTAGGTTGAATCCCTCCCCTGGGTTCACTTCCCACAACAGATACCTGGAATGGGAACATTCTCAAAGTTCCAGATAGGCTACATTTTTGCATAAAATATGCAAATAAATTTTTGCATATTTTATGCAAATACATTTTTGCACAAAATATGCAAATAAATCACCACAAACAATTAATCACCACAAATTTGTTTTGAGTTGCTTCCATAAAATCATGCATGAATAAAATTAAAGGTGAGGTGAGGTGAGGTGAAATTGGGTTTAACGTCGTGCTTGAGAATATTTCGCTCATATGACGACATGCATGCGTGTGTATGTGTATGTGCGGCTGCTTGTACTAGCCCAGACTTAAGCTGGTTTTATAGTGCTAGCCCACTGAGATACCATGCCGCAGTGAAGCATGAATACCCTACTCAGACACATTATACTGACTCCGAGCCGACCAGTCCTTGTTGTACCCATTAATGCCGAGCGCCAGGCAGGGACCAACAAGTACCATATTTTAATGTCTTTTGGTATGACGTGGTCGGGGATCAAACCAGCGACCTTCCGCTCTCGAGGCGGACGCTCTAACCACTACACCACGGAGGCGGTCGAATAAAATTAAAACCCAATAGAATACCAATAGTATGGATGGGTATAAAGAAATATTATCATCTTCATCAATGATACTTTCATCTGTGACAAGAAACAAAGATATATTTAGCTGATACTTACATTTACATAAATGATACTCATATTTATGCTTATGATATTATAATCTTCTTCTACCTGGCATCATCGATCAAATTATCAACTTTGATAACCACATTTTCTAGATTAATGAACTTAAGTTCTGGGTCGAGTTTATACAGCAAATGGCTTAATTCATAATGACTGATTGTTTTTTTTAACTTTTAACCCTGATAGATTCTTATTGGGGTACTGTTAGAACATTTGAAAAATAACTCATCCATTAAATTTGTCGCATTGAAAAATTTGAAAAAAATAAATGGATAAAAATTGTCACATTATTAAATAAATATTATTCACTTAAGGGGGGTGTTTTTTGGTGGGAATGCTGATATTTGAAATTTGCAAATGAATTTCAGTAAGTTGTGAAAATACAGAAAAGGCCAAATGAAAATATACCACCAGCACGCTACTAGTCATTCAAATAAATGATGAATATATTTGTATAAACAATATCCAACTATTGTGGCAACTTCACAAGACAATATCATAGTCTGAGTAAAGATACCCATAATAGTATCATATACGGATATATCATCTACGTAGATCTATTAGCATCTGTGTACATGAATGTATCTTCTACACAGGTGTAAGTATCTTCTACAGGACTCCAGATAATTTTTCATGATCAGGAGTACGTGCTCAGGTTTCAATATATGAATAAAACCTTAAGAGTACATTTAGAGTACTGAATGGAAATTAATGGCGTATCAGTAATCTTGTGTTTCGTTTCATATATGCACCACAACATTGCTACTCTTGTGTAAACAGGTCAATAAACAATAACACAATAATTTTTCAGATAAATACGTATGTAAATGATTCTAAGACCTCACACCATTGGGTATGATGTTTTGATTAAATTATTTCAACCATTATCTTGCATATGTTATGCCTATTAGCTTTGGTTCGATTTCCCGACCGACCCTACATATTCATCGGCCTAACAATTTTACTCACCACAACAATAAATTAAATTTATTTTCTGACACATGAGTAATGTAAAATATATTTTGCAAAAATGGATACCTACCCTAGTTCTGAAATATAGGAAATCGGAACAGAACATTTATTTTCTGGGCCTTATCTGTATCTTCTACACAGGTGTTATCTGGAGCCCTGCTTCTACGTAGGCGTCTGTAACATCTACGTAGATGATAAAACAATATTACACTCTTGCAATAACACCATAAACTCCTCTGCAGTGAATATACATGAAAGTATGATATTTCTCTTCTTGCAAGTGACACATGTATCATTGGGCTTAGCTTGTTCAACATCCGACACATTTTGGCATACAATAAACAGAAGAAAATTACAAATTGCCTAAAACAGCAATTTAAGATGAACAAAATTTGTAAAATGTGAATTCTTTGGATTAAATCTACCCAACAGACTAGATCCAGGGGAGTTTAATGTTACCCAAATAAGACTATTGAATTCCCCATGAGAATAATGAGATGTAAGTAAATGCCTACATCCTGGATTCCATGCATCACTAGACGGCTGAGGGGTGGAAATAACTTTAAAATTGCTAGTGTACTCCGGTACAGTGGCACATGTAAATCACTTGCCCTGATAATTTTTCCACTATACCGGCCGTTTTCTTGTTGATTTTTTAAATAAACAACATAATTAATATTGGAAAGTCAACTGGACACTGGTACAGTGTGATATACAAATTTGCTTGCCCGACAGAAAAAAACACTGGACTCAGGTGTCGGGCAATGGGTTATTTCCACCCCTGCGGCTGGACATGACTTAACATACTGACCGAGCATGGTCTCAGTACATACATTAACAGTCATGTCCTCAAACCCTGTACAACCTGTCTGTTACACAGGTAACAAACGTAGCATTCTGAGTTCACTATTTATAGGACCGATTTTGATAAATTTGACTGCCATCAAGCTTAAAATATAGGACATCGTAACACTAACTTGTCGACTATGATGCCACAAGCCAGTGCTATATCAAGACACTATGATATCTGTGCCAGCTAGCTGACTGTACAGGTTCTGTGATACAGTAACTCGCCAATCATATAACTGCACTATTTAACAAGTGATTATAAAGTGATATTCACATGCAGCAGTATACAGGTAAAGTAAATACAGGCAAGCACAGTTGTGTCGAACTCTGATAACTCGATATCTCGGTTGTCTCGATATAACATCTCGGTCCCGGCAAAATCCTTCATAATTTAGCATTAATCAAGCTCTTTTAACTCGATACGGATGTCACGATATTTCGGATATCTCGATATAATTTCATGGTCCCAACAAGCAAAATTACCATTTTAACTCGATATTTGCAAAAAAACTTGATATTCAGCTACCTTTCATGGGCAAGTATCCCTATGAACTGAGGTTGTTTCCACACGTTTCCACACGGTGCGGCATGAATCAAAGGGATGCAGTAGTGTAAACTAGTTAGGGCTAATTGAGTTGAAGGTGTCACTTGTTTGTTATTTAATTAGGATTAATTAAGAAGGAATTTATTAGGAAATACTCATTGTTACGACTAAACACTACTGATAATGGATTATAGTTTCGAATCAAAACATGCTGCGATCCAAGGTTTTGTGTAATCACGTGACTTTCATGTGATTGTTGAGTTGTTTCTAAATGATATGTGAAGATATGCCCTGGTCGGATGTCTCGAGGCCCGGATAACTCAATATTTTTTTCTTGGTCCCATGAATATCGAGACAACAGTGCTCGACTGTAGTCAGTTAAATACTACTGAGGTGGATGAAGGATCCACGGGGTCATGCATAATACCCAGATCAGAAAGTTCACAGTGGGAAAGGGGATGCACACTCACTGTCACTAGGTCCAGGTTAGTGTATATCCTGGGATACTATACATGTTATATATGTCAAGTGTTGTACAAAACATTGTATTTCCCTTATATTTAAGGAAGTTTACAGTCTGTCTGTCCATCCATCTGTCTGTATATACTATTGTGGACTAACTTCTGATATTTAAGGTGGTAGGGGTAGCCTAGTGGTTAAAGCGTTGGCTCGTCAGCCGAAAATGAAATACCACTCAACATTCATAATACCCACTCCAATAAAATTACAGTGGGTTTTGAGTACCCACATTAGGGTTCGATTCCCCACATAGGCACAATGTGTGAAGCCCATTTCTGGTGTCCCCGCCGTGATATTGCTGGAATATTACTAGTCAGTCAGTCTGATGTTTAGCTATAAGTCTAGCCCACTCTGCTTCCATGCTACTGTCTTACATGGGTACCAGACTCTGACACAGTATGCTGACTCTTAGCAGAGTAGTCTTTGATTTATCTAACGTCATAATGCTAAGACAGGGCTCCAGTTAGTTTTTCAACATCAGGAGTACGTACTCCTTATTTGTTCAATATAGGAATACTGGAAAACCTTAGCCTACATTTAGAGTACTGAATGGAAATTAATGGAGTATCAGTAATCTTGTGTTTCATTTCATATATGCACCACAGCATTGCTACTCTTGTGTAAACAGGTCAATACACAATAAAACAATACTTTTTTCAGATAAATACGTCTGTAAATGATTCTAAGACCGTACACCATTGCTGTGGTGTGTATCTGCTACGTTTTCTAAATTATTTCCTACCATATCGTGCTTATTTTTTATCCGTACATATGCCGATATCTGGAGCCCTGTAAGTGTATCATCTTGAAAGAACCATCTTTAATATCTTTTGGTAGGACATGTACATGGAATCAAACCCAGATCTTTAACTGGACCACAAAGCCACTGCCAAACTGGGCTTGTGTCCAGATGTGTATTATCGACCTTATAGTTCCGAGTCTACATCTGGATGTTTCATTTATGCCATGCTAGAAATGGAGACTTTTGACTTTCAATTAATATGATAATTGTTAGTTTCAAGGCTGATGTTTATCATACATGCTTACATGCTTGAATTAGACTTGCACCAACCTAAACATAACTTTTGTAGTTATTTTCAATGTACTTGTTCTTCTTCCTAAATGAACATGCATTTCAATGGTTTTGATGATATCATGTGTATAATATAAAAATACGTGTCGTGGGTAATGTCAGTGATATCTACACAGACACTGACATCAATGATGGGGAACGTAGAGACGGTGCTGAGCAAAAGGGGTGTGGCACTGATGGGTGTTGACAGATGTTTTCAAATATTTCACACGAAACATACAATATAACAAACTTCTTAAATTGTTTGAAGCTCACCTATCTAATAATACAAACATAATAAACAATTTAACAATGATTTTTCCCCCAATTGCGGTCCGTGTGACTGAAAATGAGATTTGTTTACATATCACGAAAATACCAGCACATTCGTTTCTTGCCTCACCTCGGTGCCTTTGCCTCGCCAAATTCCACCTTGTGACCTGATGCTGGCTGAAGATCCTCTTCATCATCAGTGTGACAACTGATGCTTGTCAATGCCGTTGCCAAAACGGCTAATAACAGTATTTGTGACCTGACATAAGCCATCATGTGTTTGAGTTTGCCACGCTGGAACAGCGGAAAGGAGAGTGAATAAGGGAGGTAACTCTTACATGTACCAGTAACCAAACCGGTTTGTGAACTTTTTATCAAAAGATTCTGCGGAAGTATCCATAGCTTTTATTGGCCCATTAGTTGTCACAGCTTGTGTCGTTGTGTGAAAAGAGATCTAGTCCACTAGTTGTGTTGACAACAAAGCTCCACAGAAGTAGTCTACTCCGGTAATACAAGTTAGTCCAGCTGATGGCCACGCTATTTGAAACATGTTTAACTGAGTAGAAAAAATAACTCATATTGAACTTAAGAATCGTAAAGGCTTTGTCGATGTAGCCCTAAAACATCGATAAAATGTGCATTTGTATGTTTGTATAGTATTCATGTCTCGACAGATTAGAATTTGTACGAATATGAATATAGAGACTCGTGTGAAGGAATTTCATATTCTGTGAGGTGAGGTGAATTGTAATTGGGTTTAACGTGGTGCTTGAGAATAATTCGCTCATATGACGACGTGCATGCGTGTGTATGTGTATGTGCAGCTGCTTGTACTAGCCCAGACTTAAGCTGGTTTTATAGTGCTAGCTCACTGAGATACCATGCCGCAGTGAAGCATGAATACCCCACTCAGACACACTATACTGACTCCGAGCCGACCAGTCCTTGTTGTACCCATTAGTGCCAAGCGCCAGGCAGGGACCAACAAGTAGATCTACCATATTTTAACGTCTTTTGGTATGACGCGGTCGGTGATCGAACCCGCGACCTTCCGCTCTCCGGGCGGACGCTCTAACCACTACACCACGGAGGCGGCTTCACATTCTGTGTGTGTGCGTGCGTGCGCGTGTGTGTAAGACCCTGAGACTATATTTTCAACCTGTCTGTGAATTAAACCATCACAAATGACATATTTATCCTTTATTTGGAACTGACAATCTAAAAGCAGGGTATTTACATGACAATTGTTCAAGATAAATAGATTTAGCGATTTTTTTGTTAAGAATACTCAATATTACATAAATTCATCGATTACTGTAATTTACGATTTCATATTATACCAGGTAATATATGCCAGCCTCAAATGCGTACACATGTACGCGAGTAGACGTGGTATTGACAAACAAACCATTTAATGACAGGATGATAGGAAAACAATTCTTCAAGTGAAACCTCGAAACTATATTAATTTCCTGTAAAGAGTCACTCATTGTTTTGAGATGAACTTACCCATGAAGGTCCGGGTTAGAATAATGATCTTCAGTAACCCATGCTTGTCGTAAGAGGCGACTAACGGGATCGGGTGTTCTGGCTCGCTGACTTGGTTGACACATGTTATCGGTTCCCAATTGCGTAGATCGATGCTCATGCTGTTGATCACTGGGTTGTATGGTCCAGACTCGATTATTTACAGACCGCCGCCATATAGCTGGAATATTGCTGAGTGCGGCGTAAAACAAATTTCACTCACTCACTTTGAGATGCACTCCCTCATCAAACCGTACCCCCACCTCCACCCCCATCAGATACAAACATTTTTTAAAAACCAGGGCTGTTGCCTTAACCTGCGAAAATATGTCTTGATCTCTTTGTAATGCGAATAGGTGCTGTAACATAACGGTTGAAGTAGTCGATCTTCGCACTAAAACCTAACATTCCATTTTCCATTCTCTATCTTGCTACACTTTGTGTACCCCATTCTTCATATCTGCTGCCATGGTATCACTGTGCTTTTCGATCGCCCCACCGGAATTAAAGGCTAAAAGAGAGTAAGAAGCGCACGTAAAATCCCACTAACTACACACGAAATCGCCCACGGTTACGCACAAACCTTTCCTTTCCCGAACAGTGGCGTTAATAGAAGAACACCCTGGTGTGGGATGAGAGGATACGGTTTCCCTAGTAGCAATCCTATGTACTGACTGTCATCGGGAAACCATAAATACAATGTCTAAAGATAAAGGAATGAGCTTCAGACATCACTCTAAGAATTCGAGTATGAGTATAAATGCAAGATTTCCTTACCGTTGAAGTCCCCGTGAAGATCCGGAGTAGAATAGGTCTTCAGCAATGCTTGCCACAAATATGCTCGTAAGAGGCGACTAACGGGATCTCGCTGACTTGGTTGACATGTCATCGGTTCCCAAATGTGCAGATCGATGCTCATGCTGTTGGTCACTGGATTGTCTGGTCCAGAGTCGATTATTTACAGATATAGCTGAAATATTGCGAGTGCGGCGTAAAACCTAACATTCCTCTCAATCTTGCTACTCTTTGTGTACCTTACCGTTGAAATGAAATTGTAAATGAAATTATTACAACTGGTTTTAATTCTTTTATCCATGGTGGTCCAATGCTCAAATCACTTTGTTACTAATCTAAAGTTCAATTGCCATTTAAATCCTTATTAATTAAAAGATTTGTGTGAACATTATTCTTGTGTGTTTACCTGTGCTCAGTAAAGTTCCAATACCCTGTGGACTTAAACTTTATGTGTAATGTCAAAGCTCACAGTCCACGTCATGACATCTCAAAGCTAATGCTAGTGTGTATTGGACCTCCATGCTGCGTAGTTGTCACATGTCAGGCTTTTATCTGAACTATGCGAAAAAACATATTTTTCTGAACAACATCAACATAATTCGACAACTCATCAACTTATCAACTTATTATCATCTACCGCCTCCGTGGTGTAGTGGTTAAAGCGTCCGCCCGGAGAGCGGAAGGCCGCGGGTTCGATCCCCGACCGCGTCATACCAAAAGACGTTAAAATATGGTACTTGTTGGTCCCTGCCTGGCGCTCGGCATTAATGGGAACAGCAATGACTGGTCGGCTCGGAGTCAGTATAATGTGTTTGAGTGGGGTATTCATGCTTCACTGCGGCATGGTATCTCAGTGGGCTAGCACTATAAAACCAGCTTAAGTCTAGGCTAGAACGAGCAGCCGCACATACACATACACACGTCGTCATATGAGCGAAATATTCTCAAGCACGACGTTAAACCCAATTTTACCTCGCTCACTTATTATCATTATTATTAATTATTACTTATCAACTGTAATGATGAGAGTATTTAGTGTTGTGTTCTTGGATCCACAATGGGTTTGTGCGGTTTTAAATGAATTGATATTTTAGATCCTTGGTGTACGATGCCATTTGAGTTGGTTGATTGGTTTGTTGTTTAACGCCGCACTCAGCAATATTCCAGCTACATGGCGGCGGTCTGTAAATAATCGAGTCTGGACCAGACAACCCAGTGATCAACAGCATGAGCATCGATCTACGCAATTGGGATACGATGACATGTGTGAACCAAGTCAGCGAGCCAGAACACCTGATCCCGTTAGTCGCCTCTTACGACAAGCATGGGTTACTGAAAACGAACACTAACCCGGATCTTCACGGGTCGTCTCTTTCAGGGATATATTTTCAGATGTTAGGTAAAAAGACATTGATTTCTGCGAATAGATACGCGCATATAGGAAGAGAACACACGAAGAACAGCTTGTATGAATATGAATTTTATTACAAATATTAAAATCAATGCGCATATTGAAATGCTTGTCTATGTTTTAAAAAACGGATATGTGTGTATAGTTATAAACTAACAACAATAAAGCCACACATCATATTTGGAATAATAAGCATAACACAAGAACAGTGTCACAAAGTCCCCTCCCAAAATATAAACAGTATGACCTTTCTAAATGATGTAATGCTGTTGCATAAATGTTGAACGTTTTACTGCTGGAGTTTCGAATACTTCAGTTGGAACATACCTTTTATGAGGGCTTAGTCTTATCTTTCATGACACACAGAAAAGATTGACTTTCACATAGCATAACAAGAACATATTTGAAATTTAATATATTAAAATACATTTGACATCTGATTATATACCTATCAAACGTTGTGTATTATATATCTGATTATGCCTATTAAGAGTGGAGTATTATATATCTGATTATACCTAACAAACGTTGAGTATCATATGCCAAATTATCCTAGTCAAATGTTGAGTATTATATGTCAAATTATCTCTGTCAAACGTTAGTCAATATAAATCGGGTTATGACTATCAAAAATGGAGTATTTGATATCCTATTATCCCAACCAAACGTTGAGTATTATATTATGGTTGTTCTTTAGGCGCATGTCAGTTTATGAATGATGAGTGAGTGTGGTTTTACGCCGCTTTTAGCAATATTCCAGCAATATCACGGCGGGGAAACAAAATTGGGCTTCACACATTGTGCCCATGTGGGGAATCGAACCCGGGTCTTCGGTGTGACGGGCGAACGCTTTAACCTACCGCCCCCATAATCAGGCCAAAACATTTAAATCAGGTCGTGACCTTTTTTGTTCAGTACACTACTAAATTGTTCATTTACACTTCCAGAATGAATGGTCCAGTGTGCATTTACACACATATCTTTACCTTTCCTCGATCGCTAACGCCCATACTTAAATATAGACTTAAGAGTGAGTGAGTGAGTATGGTTTGATGCGCAATATTCCAGCAACATCACGGTGGGGGACACCAGAAATAGGCTTCACATATTGTACCCATGTGGGAAATCGAACCCGGGTCTTTGGCGTGACGAGCGAACGCTTTAACCACTAGGCTGCCCCACCGCCCCATAGACTTAAGATAGTCCTAGCGCTAAAGTCGTTTTGTTCAAGCGGACCGAGCAGGTTACTATAGTAAACTGTCGTCTCGTCATGAATGATGACTCCGCAAAGGGCGACTTCCATTCCTGCCATATTAGGTTCAGTGCAATGCATGATGTATGTGTTTCCTATTCCAAGTATGCAGCTGAAGCCTGATGAATGCATAACAAACAGATGTCAACATTACAATTAACAAGCGCCACATATGCAACACCTGTGTGTGCTCACACATGAAGTCAAATGTCTGACGTTATCCTGAACTGATAATGCCAGTTGAGTTATTCGGGTTAAATAAGGTAAACGGGTTATATGATATCATTAAGTTTATTGCTACGTAATGAATAACAAATGAATAATGGGCTTCTTCCAAGAACCGGAAGTGTTTACACTCCCGTGTTTGTCTTGACCCAAAATATACCTAGTAGTTACCTGTAAGGTAGATTCAAACAAAGGATAGAGCGAGTATGTTTATTTGTTCGTGATGCCAAAGTCTGATTGTATGTTGTTTAGCGCCACTATCCTCAGTGCAGTAGGACTTGGTCTCCAGCACTGACCCATGCTGGTGGTAGGAGGCAACAGACCTGATCAGGTGGTCACGTACCCTGACGTCATTGATCGTTGCTCGTAATATCGACCACTAGTTTCATCGTATAGCTGCAATAAAGCTGAGTTCGGTGTTAAACAACAAATAAATTACGTTCAAATACTTGGACTATACGCTGAAGACGACAATACAATTTAGTTAAAACATACGTTTAAACCTTGCACAAGCATATGCTACAATACCTAAAATTGTTTGTAAAAGAAACAACGTATGGCGCTCAACGTCCATGTGTAAATTTAGTAAAAATAATGTCGACAGTTTTGTTATGTTGTCTTGGAAGGAGGTATAACGCTATTGCATATTACAATTTCGTATCTTGTCTCGTCTCGGCTGGTTGTTTTTTCCGTCGCAGTTTCTTCATCACGTACTTCACAGGGGAGGTAACTCGAAAGTTAAACGTCGGCAAGAAGGGGACGTAACGCGAACATCCACATTTCCTCAAGAAAGGTGTGATGATGGGAAGGTCGTAGATGCTGGTGTGATTGCCGCCGAGGGAATTGTCGTCTGCTTTTTTTCGCCATTCTAGAATTCCTCTCTCCTCATACGTGCCTGCAACAAGTGACAATCAGGTTGTCAGTGTGACGTGTTGTCATGGTGATGAGACGAGATGATGGAGCAGAGGGCAGAGGTCGGTCGTGTTAAAAGATGGTCACATTGCCCGGTGTTAAAATGGGGTAAAATATGGATTGATCGGCACGGAGCTTTCATAATGTGATCGAATGGGATAACATCTTAAACAGCAGCATAGAGTGAGTGAGTGAGTTTAGTTTTGAGCCGCTTTTGCAATATTCCAGCAATATCACGGCGGGTGAAGCCATTAAATGGGTTCACACATTGTACCCATGTGGGGAATCGAACCCGGGTCTTCGGCGTGACGAGCGAACGCTTTAACCACTGGGCTACCCCACCGCCCCACAGCAGTATGGAATCTCTGTGAGCTAGCACTATGAAAGCGTCATAAGTCGGAACAAGTATTGTACATTGCTATGTAAGTCCACTGGACCCGAGTACATATCTCCATCTACCCAAAAAAAATCTACAGTACTACTGACTGAGTTTAGTTTTACGCCGCTTTTAGCAATATTCCAGCAATATCACGGCGGGGGACACCAGAAATGGGCTTCAGACATTGTGCCCATGTGGAGAATCAACCCCGGGTCTTCGGCGTGACCAGCGAACGCTTTAACCACTAGGCTACCCCACTACTCTCTCGAGATATACAGAGGCGAAGAGATTCGACACTTTCTTGCGCTGCATGTTTTACGAATCTGATTAAATGTCCGCTGTTTGAGTTCAGGGACCCACCAGGTACAGTGTTGTCCAGGAAGAAGGCGAGCATCCCACCCACAAACATCGACGTCCTCAGCAGAACGGTAAGAACCTGGTCCAAGTCCTCGCTCCCTGCACCAAAAGAGGGATATTTCACTGCACATACTGAACACACTCCTTTCTACTACTTTAACGGACATCGGCAAGGACTCAAGGCTCTGAATAAATTCAGTCTTGTATACGTTCCCTGATAAAGTTGTCAGATCTTATCGTATTTTGTTAACAGGGGCGTAGCTACCATTATGAAAAAAAGCCCGGGCTTACACATGATTTTGAAAAGTTGGGCAAGCCCTCAACACCAACTAAATAAAAAGCTTTGCAACCTACCGGGCTTACACGAAAAAAACTTTTTGTTCATTTTTTTTTTCTCTCTTTTCTTTCTTAATATTTTGATGTATTAGTTTGAGAAAAACATTGTCAACGTGCGGTGTGTGCACGTGATACTTAACAGTGACGTAGTTTCATAGGGGGTAGTGTTGAACATAATCTTGGTCTGTGTACCTCAGTGATAATTGTGCTGGACTATTACATAGGGGGTCGTGTTGAACATAAGTTTGGTCTGTGTACCTCAATGATAATTGTGCTGAACTATGACATCTCTGTGAACTGTAGAAATTTAAAAATCAGTGCAATGGTATGTTATTGCTTTGTCAGGTTTAACAGAAACCAAGTCAGAATCTCGGAGTTTGAATCAAGAGAGCTACGTGCTGTTGTAAGACCATGCCCTCCTTTTATCCCTGAACAGGTATACATTTTCTGGACATAGAGCTCAGTCATATTCAAGGTTGCGGTACTTCTTCTCATAGCTACAAGCACAATTGTCCTAAAGGTGCCTCCACATGACGAATGTTAACCTTGCTCTCTCCTCTCGGTGTTCACATATTATATCTGTTTGCCACAGGTGCAGTGGTTAAGCTGTCGAATGGTGTTTACAGGTTATTCATCACAGACAAAAGACGTTTAACAGTTGTTGTCAAGTTGGGATGGTAGGTGATCAATGTGGGTATTTATGCAATATGGAAATCAGTCATGTCTGGTGAATGCAGTGACATCGTGTCTATATTGCACTTGCAAGCGGGACCATGTAAGTGTAAATAGTATCAACAGGGCACACAAAGGGTCCTGTGTAAACTCAACTGACACCTTTCACACAAAAGTGTGACTAAGGTGGGTTACTCAGATATACTAACCTGTATATATGGTATACTTTGCTGTACATAACCAACGCATACATACAAAACATCTGGAGTCACGTGCATAAGGTATTTGCTCACACAAAAGACTTAGTGAGTGAACAAGTAAATATTGTTTAAAGGTGAGCCAGCAGTATTGCAGGTAGTTGCGGCTAAGTTTGTAAGAATATATGACGAAACACTTAATTATGTATCATTATAACAAAAGTGTCATATTTATCATCCAAAATGTCTACTGGTGGAACTACGGAAACATAAACGACCCACTCTACTAAAATTGATTGTGTATGTAGAATATACGTGCGTATAATTGACTTTCTGTAGCCTGTTTGAACAAACACAGCTCTTAACCTTAATGATCTTGAAGAATATCTCATTTGTAATCGGTGTGATGGTCTGAAACTAGAATACGATCACGTGACCAGCTACTTTAAGCTTTTAGTGTTTTTTGTTATATTTTTTATTTTCTTTATTTGTTCCCATAATTGAATACAAGCATATAATTAAGCAATAATTAAGTGTACATGTGCATGATCAAAGTTCATCAACTGGTAGCATAAAGAAATTATAATCCAATAAAGTTATTCCAGTTTGATTACAGATTAAGTCAGAGATTGAAAATTGAGGATAAAGGAAACCATTTCTCTGAAAATTTATCAATTTTTTTGTTCCTTCCGGATATGAATTTTTCAACCGTGTAAGTGTCTTTCAAAATTTTTAAGAAATTATTAACTTTTGGAATTATTTTCTTTAACGTGCAAGTGTATATATATATATATATATGTGTGTCTTTTAGCAGAAAAGATTATATGATTTAGCAATGGCTTATTACCCAAAATTCCAAACCAAACCAAAGTCTTTCTTATTTCAAATTTCTGTATGTTTTGGATTATCCAAATTTCAAGTTCTTTCCAGAAGGTTTGGGTTACATGACATTCCCAATAGTCATGACATAAAGTTTCACTATCCACATTACAAAAGCTACATACTGTATTGTCAACAAGTTTCATTTTCGAAAATTCTTTTGTTTTGTATATATAATTTAAATTGAAAATCTAAAAGTTTTACATCTTTCAAATTGTTTCTGCAAATATTAAAAATCATACGCCAATCAAAATCAATATCATAAAATAAGTTTTCCCATTTTAGGCAAATATGAGGTTTAATATTGTCAGATAAGAGTTTATCATAAGATAAACTTGAACCTTTTTTCAAATCCATAAAATCTTTATGAAGAAAGTTATAATCCAGATCATTGTTATGTATATTTCTGTATTGTTTTATGGTCCTTTTCCATGATTCAGGTATGATATACAAAACATATCAAGATCCTTATATGCACTCCTAATATCAAATTTGAGCTTCAGATCTTCAAAAGACCATCTTCATTACAAAGGTCCTTAATTGTTAAAATTACATTTTTAGCCCAATGCCTAATAAAGTGATTTGGGCTTTTGAAATTATCATCATGAAAAAAAGCCCGGCTTACACATGGTTTTGAAAATGAAAGTTGGGCAAGGCCTCAACACTAACTAAATATAAAGCTTTGCAACCTATCGGGCTTACACGAAAAAAATGGCTTGCTTCTCGCCTGGTTAAGGAACAGATTTTAGCCTAATATATTGTCTTTAACATTCTAAGGACATATATGTACATTGTATGCGCAAGTCTTCGCAATTTATCCGGGTTCAAGTTTCATTTTACCTAAGCTGACGGTCAAATCTCCACCTGTCTAAAGAGAGGCACAGCTATTGTCGTTTTCAAAGTCTGCAGCTTTTAATTGACTTGCTGTGCCTGTAAACTGCGCCATAGCGCCACTTTTCTGTGTTAAAAACCGTTGACTTGCTGTATAGGTACCCGTGTTTATTGTCTGGGACTTACTGTTGAAGTACGTGTGGTTTTAGCCTGTGACTTATTATTTACCTATGGGACTCGCCAAACTGTGCAGCGTTTACCTGTGTTTGAAGCACGTGGCTTACTCTCATATTACCTGTGTCTATAGCCTTCGGGTTGTTATTGAAGTACTGGGGGACCATCAATCCAATGAGTAAAGACGATCCGATGATGCACAGATTGCGTCCAGATGAAAGGTCAATATAGGACAACGTTGACAAGCCAACTGCCGTCACCATGCCGAAACTAATGACAACGATTCCCCCGAGGACTGGGTCCGGCATCATCGTCAGCAACGCCCCCACCTTGCCAATCAGTCCCGACAACAGGAAGATGAGGCCGGCTACGATGAAGGCCGCTCTGCTGGCAACCTACAATGATGATGTTTAGGTATCCAGTGCTCAGTACGTGAACGCCCTTTTCGTGAACACTTCGCGACCTTTCAGATAGCCATTCATATGCGTTTCTTTCACTTTTTACGCAAAATAGAATCTGTCTCGGCAGACGTTTTTTTTGGCGTTTACGTATCATGAATTAACTATATGAATTATATGAATTAATAATAATATATACAGTCAATATCATAATGGCAATAAATATATGTATGCATGTGCGTGCGTGCGTGCGTGTGTGTATGTATATAATACATTTATTACATTATATATTATAATGCAATATCCTTTGGCAATTCTGACATCGTTAAAGTCAGTCTTTTGGCCCTTAGAATCGAACGTTACATGTACATCCTATCAGAGCTGAAGTTCATGGTGACAGAATATCGAATAACGACCCCAGTGTTTTGACACGAAGAACGTTCCAAGCATACACTGGTACAACTGGTAGGCACGTGTATATAGTGACAACGCCCGTCTCTCACACTCAGACACAGCTAAGAGACAAGCTGGATGGAACCGCTCAACCACAAAGCAGATAGATCTGTAGATCTCATCAGCCCAAAGGGACTTGTAACGCAAAAAACTGACGGTGTCTTAGCACTATACAGAAGTCTGTGGTCCCGTCAGTGACAGTATATACCCCGATGCCAGTTTTTTTTTGCGTTTCAATACAAGTCCCTGTGAATCAGCCATCTTACAGCAGTTCCAAAACTGTGGTCTTCAGCGGACTTTCTGAGCTGTTTTCGCTTGTTCATCGGCAGTACTGATTTTACATTAAACGTAAAATATATTTTAATTCAGTCGAAAACCAACTTTTGTGAAACCTATGGCTCCGACGTTCTGGCTATACGATGTCGTTGCGCCTCCAGACCCAACAGCACCGGAAATGAGACTTCCAAACCCTTCTATTGCAATGCCGCGGTTAATCGCATGCGCAGGTGGTTGAGCTTCGCCCGAGATTCTTGCGCATGCGTAGTAATCACCAACAGACTCAATAATGGAGGTGATGGTCGCTGCAAACATCGCCATGAAGCTTGCAATTGTTATTGTAGGCATACCCCACTGCCCTGGAAGAAAAAAACAATCTAGAATTGGAGTTTGGTTTTTCGTTCGAGACAAACATATGTCCGATCTGTCTGAATATTTTTACATAATTCTACTGCAGCAATAAAATAGTCCCTTGCTGCCTGAAACAACGTCAATACGACGTAAATATCATCGCGGAAGAATTTGCCATAACGATATACGTCATTATTATAATAATGAATATTATACGTCATGAAGAGGAAGGGATTTGGGTTATACGCCGCATTTAGCAATATTCCAGCAATATCAAGGCAGGGGATACCACAAATGGGCTTCACACATTGGACACATATGGAGAATCGAACCCGGGCCTTCGGCGTGACGAGCGAACGCTTGAACCACTGATCTATCCCACCGCCCCTAGACATGAAGAATCAGAGTCGGCGTGTTATAAAGTCGTGAAATCCAATAGCACGCGATCGTCCGGAAATACCTGGCAGGGACGGGCACAGATTTTGGAAAAAAACATAAGAGTGAACTTAAACACAAAGTACTGGTACATTAATGGGAAACCATTTTTGTTTGTTAACTAAACAATAAATCTATAGCTACAGATCGTTGTGTCGAACTTTGATGTGTCGAAAATACGGTCGAGTCGAAGTCAAAGCTTCGTTCCTTTCCTTATTTATTGAACATTTTGTGGTTGTGCCAAACCTCGGATAACTCGGTGTATTTACTTGGGTCCCTTCAGTGTCACCCAACGTTACCTTATCAATTACCAGCACAATGAGTAAGCCATTCGTAACTACTCGCCTCTTTCCGTGACCTACACGAAGACTTGTATCTGTATAGTAACGTATCTGTATAGTAACGTATCTATATAGTAACATAACGTATAGTAGGCCATTGTTGCTAAGAATCGTGTCAAACCAATCAAATGGCGCGTTGGAAAATGTGAAATGAGGTCAAATAGTTTCTTAGCGATTATCGATTTTCATTATTATTATAAAATTATCTTGTAACTGATACTTGTTAACGATATAAGAAACTTACTTGAAGTGACTTTCGTGTTAAACAAATTTATTTCTGTTGTTTTCTAGGCGTAGCCATGTTTGGAAATTTAGAATGATCTTTCCTTGGAAATAGTCCTGGACTATTTTCATCTCCGTGCCCGTTTGCGCTTAGACACGGCCCAGTCGTGAACATGGCCACGAGAGGGGTACGAGTCGCCATCCGGCTTGCCGGAATGTCACGAGTAGTTACGAATGCTAGTAAGCTTCATACAGTGAGCATGCACACACACAAGCACGCACACGCACACGCACGCACGCACGCACGCACGCACACACACACACACCCGAACTGCGATTGTCTCGACACGTGATTGTACCTGGATATGGGAAAAACACCCAGCTGGCACTGTCCACCACGGCCATCTTTACGTCCGTCCTGGCAAACCTGGCTTCTCCCACCGTCGGGAAGACGTTGGTTGCGGTGAGGATGGCGCAAAATGACCAAGCTATCACCACAGCTAGAAATACCTGCAAAATGATATTTAACGAAAAATGTCATTTCCCCTTAAACAAGCGAGTAACGTAAAGACCGGCACGCAAGCAGCGCGTCGGAAGCAATATTGAACCACAATGACGTGAGTGAGTGAGTGAGTGTGTATGGTTTAACGCCAGAAATGGGCTTCACACATTGTACCCATGTGGGGAATCGAACCCGGGCCTTCGGCGTGACGAGCCAACGCTTTAACCACTATGCTACCCCGCCGCCCCACACAATGACGTAAGATACAACGTAAATGATCCAACATGTTTACAATCTCTTATTCAAATTGGAAAGAATTTGAGAACCGCTGCAGCGATGCTCTTTATGAATGTGAGTTAAAACAGTCTGTTGAACTGTGATACAGCGTGTGGTGGCACAAGATCATAGTTAGTGGCAGTGTAATGAAGTAAGGATTTCCCGAACTAGTAATCGATAAAGTGAACAACAGTCATCGACTTCTACAACGCAATTTACCAAAATATATTCTACATTTTGAAATTGTTAACAACGGAAACGGTCTGCATCGACGATTTGATGTAGCAAATGGTTATTTATTTTTTTAAGAAAGAGTAACTAGATCTAAGCATGGCTATTACTTACAGGTAAGAGTTTGAATATGGGATATCTGGTCATGTGACATCCCTTGTCACGTGTGTAGGCTGGGAACGGGACCCGGATGTTTCTCATGTAGAGAGCGAAGAGAAAAACGAGGCCGACAGTCCTGCAGAAATATTACAACATATGTCAAACAAAGCACCTATTGTGATAAATCTTGTTACATACACAAGGAGATCTATAATAGTCCAGCCTGTATATTTACGTATACAACCGAGTCATTCCGCCTGTATATTTACGTACAACCAAGTCATTCCAGTTACTGTACATATAGTGATGGTATTGGCATACAACATGCGATACTATGCATTACGATACTAAAAGTGTAGTCACGACGATATATTGCCAAAGTATTGTCCACTAAAGCTGCTATACAAATCGAATCCCGATACAATGGTAGCGATACGAAACGTATCACGCTACTAATTCTAACACCAACTATAAAACACCGGAAGATCGAAACAAAAACAATGTTTAAATGAAAGAAACTTTAATTTGGAAAACGTCACATTAGGCACTTATTTTAAAAACAAGTACAAAATAAATTATAACATAATACTGTTATAAACAGACAACATGGATCAAAAACATCTTTGATATCTGCATGTTATTAGATGCTGCCATTACAGTCACATAATAGAATGAAATTTGTGCTGATTTTAAAAACAGTATATCTTGACAGATATCGCGATTCGGCAATATTCAAAGTTAAACATCGATGAATCGTGGCCCATTTGAAGTATCGTATCGGGATATACGACAATGTAAAACTTTGTATCGATTCACTGTGGCCCATGGATCGATGCATCGATGCGTGTCAATGAATCGTCACACCATTAATAACATACAATTTCTTATACATATTCACATGTCATGTTGTACTCATTTTAGGGCAGTTGTAACTGAACTTAAAAAATGTTCACAATTACCGAATACTACTTCCGGCACGGTAGTAAGTGAGTGAGTTTAGTTTTACGCCACGCTAAGCAATATTCCAGCTTAATGACGGCGGTCTGTAAATAATCGAATCTAGACCAGACAATCCAGTGATCAACAGTATGGGCATCGATCTAAAACCTTATCAACCAAGTCAGCGAGCCTGACCACCCGATCCCGTTAGTCGCCTCTTACCACAAATGGGTTACTGTAGACTGAGCACTACTTCTGGCACGTTACAATGTGCGTCCAAATGTATTTCGGGCCTGTGGGGTAGCCTTGTGGTTAAAGCGTTCGCTCGCCACGCCGAAGACCCGGGTTCGATTCCCCACATGGGTACAGTGTGTGAAGCCCATTTCTGGTGTCTCCCGCCGTGATATTGCTAGAATATTGCTAAATGCGGCGTAAAACTAAATTCATTCACCCAAATGTTTTTAAAAAGAAGAAGAAACGAATCAAGTTCCAGTGACTTACAAAACCGTTATCCCCCAATGTTTCTGGCAGAAGTTCAGCGCCACCCCAGTCAAAGACAGTCCCACGAGACTGATAGTGGGAACAATGGTGATTGGTCCCAGGAACTGCAGCAGGATCCCCAGCAGTCCCGTGCAGCCAACGAAAATTTGCACAAGAGAGGCAAGCATAATACCACCCTGAATCTGTATATCAAGAAAACACATAGGAAATATCTGGAAACATACGTAAATCCGGTCATGGCATGTATTTCCTACTGTATTTACGTTTATTTCAATGGTGTACTATCCGGCTTTTGGTGCTGTGGCACAGACAACGTATCATCTCTACAGTACAAGCGTGGTGTCTTAATATATTATTGGTAATACATCATCAGATAACAGTAAATGTATTGCAACAATTGCCTACATCATCCAACCGTGGAGATACCATATATTGGTGACGCTCATTAACCGACACTGCAGGGTGAGAATAGTTGGGTGGGCACCCCCATCGGGTGTTGGACGGGGTTCCAACTTATTGCACTTATATTTCAATGTCTGTTATTGGCCTCTGTATCGAAAAATCGGAAATGTTTCTTATGCCATTATTAGATTGTATTTGTACACTAAAAATAACATTATTTCGTACTCTGTCACAAGCACAGGTCCTCTTGTCTTTGCGAGGATTAAAGATTAAACAAAAAATTAAAAATAAGATGACCCCGACTTGAGGCACTTCGAGTCGGGGGTCCATTTCTGGTGTCCCCCGCCGTGATATAGCTGAAATATTGCTAAAAGCGGCGTAAAACTAAACTCAGTCAGTCAGTCAGTCGAGTCGGGGGTCATCTATTTTGTTTTGTTTTGCTTTGCTTTGCTTTGCTTTGCTTTGCTTTGCTTTGCTTTGCTTTGCTTTGCTTTGCTTTGCTTTGCTTTGCTTTGTTGTTGTTGTTGTTGTTGTTTGTTTGTCTGTTTGTTGTTTTTGTTTTTGCGGGGGTATTTGGGGAGTTTTTTTGGGGGGTTGTGTGTGTATTTTGTTTGTTTGTTTTTTCATCTTTAATCCTCGCAAAGACACGAGGGCCTGTTGTCACAAGATCATGTCACGTTATATTCACACAACTTATGCACAACGTTATGATAAGGTTCTAAGTATGCTAGGTGACACTCACCCGCGCAGTCGCGCACGCACACACACACATAAATACATACATACACAAAGAGAGAGAGAGTTGCTATACTATTTATCTACATATGCTACTATCTAAAATTTATATTCTTGCCAAGTGGAGTTAACTTTCGATTGGTGTATTCTTATAATGACCTGTACCTCTCTCATACGCATTTGCCAAACATCGGTTCTGGTCAGCGACGAGTTTGAGCCATCAGCGTTTAATACCTGTCCACCTAGTACAAACAGAATGAAGAATAATAGCAAGCAAATACAGACATTTCCTATTCGACAAACACAAATGATACAGTATGAAAGTAAATTCATACATGTATTTTGTACAATTCGCATTTTTACATACACCAGAACTGAGATTTTCTGTATGATAAAAAGCATTTTTAGACGAGGGATACGTGACTGCCTAATTCTATCGTACACTTAATTCTATATTCATCAACCTGGTAAAGAGTATCGGGTTTTAGGGCCATGAGTGGCAAATATGTCCCCACTGTGGCCCTGGCGGAAATGTATACCAAACGGGAGATATGTTTCAGTAGATGGACTCCAGTTTCTATGTCTAGACATTGTGAACAAGTTATTTGCGTCACAATGAAATGATGACTGCTAGGGGTTAATGTACAGATTGACATTCTTGACTCTTCAGTCGGTGGATGACGTCACCGGGAAGCCTGTTCCATAAGTCCAAGAGAGTCTGTTCAAGTTCCTGTCGGTTCGCAGGAGGTGGTACACCCTGTCTCAGCTGACGATCAAAATGATCCCAGAAATGTTCAATGTGGTTCATGTCTGGAGAATGCGATGGCCAAAGCAATACGTTGACTTTAACGTTGTGCAGGTATTCGCGAACAATTCTGACAGTGGAACAATTTCAGACAGCTACGTTGTTATCGGGACCATGTTGCGTTTTGGTGAATGTTTTCTGCTTGGGTTCAAACCTGTACCAGTGTGTTTTTATGCAATTACTTTAAAAGTGATAACTTTCTTTTGCCCGGTAGTTTATATGATGAACATACAAACAAGGTTGGTTTGGAATGAAGAATTCAAATTGTAAGGATTTGCAATTGCCGCAGTGTGCAATTGTGCATGCGTGTCTGTCTGTGTCTGCCTGTATGTTTGAACCTAACTATTTGTGTCTGTCTATGTATTATATGAGCTTTTTGGTTTTGGTAAAATTGGTTCTCACGCCAATAAAGTAAAGTTGAAAGGAACATCTCAGTGTTGAAAAGCCGTTCTCATCACACACACAACATGAGACCAAGGAGAGCCTTGGTATATACAAAGGCAAATTGATATTCTTGTCGAATAACATGCCAATATAGTCAAGTGGCCTGACAAAGTGGGTATTGAAACTGTCTGCTTAAACAAGACACTAGATGATATAAACATTTTACTTAATATAACATGAAACAACTCGTCTACTTTTATGTATTTCTTTATTAATAAATAGAGTCTGGTAACAATGGTGTCATTCGCATAAAGAGTTATTTCATCCGTGAGAAAATAGTTCGCGAGTAACATTCGGTAAAGTCCCTCTTGTGTTCCGACCTGTGAAGACACTTAAAAAGCTGGAAACTTAGATTAAAATGTTTTATAGATCACAGATGTTCAACACAGACGTTGGTTCCCCATTGACAAGGAATTTGGGTCATCATTATCCACCATTGACCGTTGACCTACACCGTGCAAAACTCCTAGCAATGCTAATGTAACGGACATTCACCTCAGTCCATGCTAATATATCCTTGGTCGGAACGACGGCCTATCTCAGGCTTAACATTCTTCAAAGGCATTTAGAAGTCAGGCTTGATTCCGAATATTTAAAGGCCAGGGATCTAGTTAGGTCTTCCTTGACTATCGGATTATTTTCTGTTTATTCTAATATTGATCATAACCTGGTCAGCATCAGCAAACCAGCACAAATGTTTTCTTTGCCCCGTGTCATTTTACATCTGGCTCAAAACGAAGTTCTTGAGGAAAGGTTTCGGGATCTATGTCAGAATAGGATTGGGATTAACTATGCTTGATAGTCCATTATGGGAGCTGGATCGAATTTCAAATTCGTAACTTTGGTATATGCATGTTTTACTCAAAGAATACAGACAAAAATCATGTTTTGGGTTTTGAAGGCATATTTCGATAGCCGGTTACTTTTTGTAAAATGTGGATATAATACCAACGTTTTTATAATAAATGTGTTCAGGCTTGGGTCACAATGAATTGTTGGTGTTACCTGGTCCAAGATCCGGGCACTTCCATCGTTCTAGAGCCATGAGGGCAGCAATGGCCGGCAGGAACTTGTGGCATCCACCTTGAACTATTGGCAGCCTTGAAATATAGAATGAGACATTATTAAAACATTGAGCTCACTATTAGAATGTCATTCAAAGAAACACTGTGAAGCATTTTTCAATGAAATATTTAGTAAATACATAATTTCTCTGAAACTTACATTAAACAGAATTCATCAGTAAACACCATCTCACCTTACATCGACGTCACACTGCAGGGTGGTACACATGCCCCCAACTACACACACGCCCTCACCTTACACTACCACACTGCAGGGTGGTACACACGCCCTCACCTCACACTAACTACACACTGCAGGTTGGTACACACGCCCCCAACTTACACTAACTACACACTGCAGGATGGTACACACGCCCTCACCTTACACTAACTACACACTGCAGGATGGTACACACGCCCCCAATACTTACACTAACTACACACTGCAGGATGGTACACACGCCCTCACCTCACACTAACTACACACTGCAGGTTGGTACACACGCCCCCAACTTACACTACTACACACTACAGGATGGTACACACGCCCTCAACTTACACTAACTACACACTGCAGGATGGTACACACGCCCCAGCACCACACTACCTACACACTGCAGGATGGTACACACGCCCTCACCTTACACTACCTACACACTGCAGGATGGTACACACGTCCTCACCTCACACTAACTACACACTGCAGGTTGGTACACACGCCCTCACCTTACACTCACCTACACACTGCAGGATGGTACACAAGCCCTCACCTTACACTACCTACACACTACAGGATGGTACACACGCCCTCACCTTACACTACCTACACACTACAGGATGGTACACACGCCCTCACCTTACACTCACTACACACCTACAGGATGGTACACACAAGCCCTCACCTTACACTACCTACACACTACAGGATGGTACACACGCCCTCACCTTACACTACCTACACACTGCAGGATGGTACACACGCCCTCACCTTACACTACCTACACACTACAGGATGGTACACACGTCCTCACCTTACACTACCTACACACTGCAGGATGGTACACACGCCCCCAACTCTCCTCACTACACACTGGGATGGTGCCACACACCCAACTTACACTCACTACACCTACACTACACACTCCATGCATGGTACACACGCCCCTCACCTTACACTACCTACACACTGCAGGATGGTACACAAGCCCCCACCTCACACTCACTACACACTGCAGGATGGTACACACGCCCCCAACTTACACTAACTACACACTGCAGGATGGTACACACGCCCCCAACTTACACTCACTACACACTACAGGATGGTACACACGCCCCCAACTTACACTCACTACACACTACAGGATGGTACACACGCCCCCAACTTACACTCACTACACACTGCAGGATGGTACACACGCCCCCAACTTACACTCACTACACACTGCAGGATGGTACACACGCCCCCAACTTACACTCACTACACACTGCAGGATGGTACACACGCCCCCAACTTACACTCACTACTGCATGGTAGGCCCCCATGGTACACTAACGCCCCCAACTTACACTCACTACACACTACAGGATGGTACACACGCCCCCAACTTACACTCACTACACACTACAGGATGGTACACACGCCCCCAACTTACACTAACTACACACTACAGGATGGTACACACGCCCCCAACTTACACTCACTACACACTGGAAGGATGGTACACACGCCCCCAACTTACACTCACTACACAATGCAGGATGGTACACACGCCCTCACCTTACACTACCTACACACTGCAGGATGGTACACACACACCCTCACCTTACACTACCTACACACTGCAGGATGGTACACACGCCCTCACCTTACACTACCTACACACTACAGGATGGTACACAAGCCCTCACCTTACACTACTTACACACTACAGGATGGTACACACGCCCCCAACTTACACTCACTACACACTGCAGGATGGTACACACGCCCCCAACTTACACTCACTACACACTGCAGGATGGTACACACGCCCCCAACTTACACTCACTACACACTACAGGATGGTACACACGCCCCCAACTTACACTCACTACACACTGCAGGATGGTACACACGCCCCCAACTTACACTAACTACACACTACAGGATGGTACACACGCCCTCACCTCACACCGACGACACACTACAGGATGGTACACACTCCCTCACCTCACACCGACGACACACTGCAGGATGGTACACACGCCACACATGACGAGGAAGGTGGACATGATCTCCGACTTGACCAGCTCCATGTCCCCGGCGCAGATGTTGTTGGACACCACGAGTGGGATGGAGATGGTGGAGCTGATGCTCAGCAGCACTTGCTGCATGGAAATGAAAACTTTATATAATATCCTAAAAACCCCTTCTTTCTTTTTCGTAATTAGGATGCAAGTTTTTAGCATTTTCAGAGAAAGTAGATTGTGTAAGTTGGGTTTAAAGCGACGCACTTTGAATAGGTATTTCACGGCATACAACTCTATGTGTGAGAAACAGTCGAAAGTGATGCAGGCGGACTAAGTTCCCCACTGAGCACAGAATTGGTGCTAATAAACACAGAATCAATGGGAACTGAATTAGAGCCAGTGTATGAAATAAGGCCCGTCCGACCGCCCGAGATGGTTTAGATTTTTGAAGGACGGTCTAAATTTACAGCTACCCAGCCCGATGGTCTGGTATACAAATTTTAGATGTTCCATACATCTGAGTTTATTCGCCATATTGGTCTGGTTAAATCCATTTTTGGCTGGTAACATTTTGAAGTTACCAGCCCTGATGTCGGGCTGGATTTTTGGCTTATTTCATACACCGTTAGAACCCACAACCATTGGACTCTTTAGTTGCCTAAGCGCTACCTTGTGCTTTGGTGTAAATCTTGAAAACAGTATCAGGGAGTCGGGAAACAGTGGTAGCGTAACTTCTCAGTTAACAATGTCAATATCAGAAGTGACTACTGCAAAACTGGGTAAATCGCTTATCATCAGAGCGAGATATTTTGTTGCCTTCACTGGTTATCACTAATTGTTTTCAACCTGGAGTTTCTGAGTTGGTAATATGGTAGGTTGGTATCATTTTCGTTCATGGACCAACCGAATATGGATGTCTTGTTGATGTGGCGTCACAATTGGATGGCCGTTACCCTGATGTAGATAACGTATCCATGGTATTGTATGAAACATGCATATGTGCGGTAGAATTGTCCCACAACGAACTTGTGGAATGTTTCCAGTCACGTTATCGAAAAACATCCAATTAATATTACAATTAATATTACAATTAAAATTGATAACCTACGTATTAATGGATGGGATTTTGGATAAGCACACCCTGAACGGATCATAAATGTTATTTAGGTAACTACAAGGTACCCACTACACAGGTAGTGTACTATACTTGAAAGTATTTTTGTAATAAACGTGAAAGTATTTTTGTACTATACTTGAAAGTATTTTTGTAATAAACGTGAACGTATTTTTGTACTATACTTGATGTATATTTTTGTACTATGCTTGAAAGTATTTTATACTACATGAAAGTATTTTTGTACTATACTTGAAAATATTTTTTATACTAAACTTGATAGTATTTTTGTACTTAACTTGAAAGTATGTTTGTACTCTAATTGATAGTATTTTGTACTATACTGGAAAGTATTTTATACTAAACTTGAAAGTATTTTTGTACTATACTTGAAAATATTTTTTGTACTAAACTTGAAAGCATTTTTGTACTAAACTTGAAAGTATTTTTGTACTAAACTTGAAAGTATTTTTGTACTATACTTGATAGCATTTGTGTAATATACCTGATAATACTTTTTAAACATTTTGTCTATTGATCCCCTCATCGAGGATGTGAAACTTACCATGCTGCTTATCGCACATTTAATTATTAAATTTTCCAACAGACAAAAAACATAACTTTATAATTCCCCATCTACGAAACGTAATAACGTTGGCTCTACCCTGTGCAGTGTAAGAATGTCGAGTTCTGTTCTGGGTGCCGTTCCACTAACCGATCTTATCTAAGATCAATCTTAGCAAGTTACGCCAATTTTACAATCGTCTTAGCTAAAAGTTACACCCGTTCCACTAACCGATCTTAGGCCGATCGTAGCCGGTCCCGATCTTACGATCCGATCCAAGCTTAGATCGAGAGCTCTTTCGTGCGAGAGATAGAGGAATGCGAGGCACGAGTTTGCATAGTCTAGCAAATGATGGAAGTAGTTTACGAACCAACTGAATGAGTGAGTGTGTTTAGATTTACGCCGCACTCAGCAATAGTCCAGCTATATGGCGGCGGTCTGTAAATAATCTAGCTAAGATGCATAGCGTTCACTAACATAAGCGTTCATGTATCTTATGTATCTTATGTATGTATCTTAGCTATAAATAATCGAGTCTGGACCAGACAATCCAGTGATCAACAGCATGAGCATCGATCTGCGCAGTTGGGAACCGATGACATGTCAACCAAGTCAGCGAGCCTGACCACCCGATCCCGTTAGTGGCCTCTTACGACAAGCATGGGTTATTGAAGTTCAATATTCTAACCCGGGCCTTCACATCGGTATTTTTCCAACCAAGTGTAAACGTGGAGAAAAACCTAGAGCAAAATATATAGGGTAGTGAGCACGTACCTTGGTTTCAGGTGCAAGTGCGTGTGAACGCTGGGTATCAGGCATAATATAATAATAATAAATGCATATTTATAGTGCGCCTATTCCACATCCTGGGGCATGCTCAAAGCGCTATGTACAGATAATTTACACGAGAGTATTTACAGCCGAGATTATAAGTAATATACTGAGAACAGGTTTTAAGTCTGAACTTTAAAAATGTCAATTGTGTCAGAGCTTTTAATATGTGCCTGAACCTTGTCAATCAGAATAAACAAGCCGTGAGGAGGCTATATAGAATCTGTCAGTGGTCTTGAATAACACGCGGCCTGCCTTTAGAATCCCCCACCAAATATGCGCAGTGAAATCAAACATATTTGTATCTTTTTGCTTCAGAACATTGTTCACTTCACGGCTGTCCCTATTCTTAACCACGACGTTGCAATATTGTTGTACAAATGTGTTACAATGACGACAGTGGTCAGACTGGCCTGACATTTGTAAGGCTTCAGTGCAGTGTTTGTTTACATCACAGAAATATACAAATTCATTTCATTTTATTTTTCACATAGAATAGGAAAGCCACCATTTTGGTTTCTCTACGATTGATTTTAGCTATCCTAAAGTTGGTCATGAGCAACTTAGACTTTGAATCTTAACTTTACGATTGACTTAGGTAAGATTGGTTAGTGGAACGGTATGCCGATCGTAACGTCACACTAAGATTGGGATTTTAGGGTTTACGATTGGCATAAGGCTAAGATCGGTTAGTGGAACGGCACCCTGAACTCTTAACGTTAACCCACAATGACGCTGTACAGTAAATATGGGAGAAGAGCAAAACTTTCATACAAAGCATTAGAAAACGCCCATTAGCATAAACATACATGACACAATGACACAAGGTAACAAATAAATTGATTTTGGAGCACATTATTCGATTTGTTCTAAACTCACCTGTAAACCGAAGACAAGGCACAAGTGGGTTGGGGGCACATCCTCCACCCCGTACTCCAGCCCAGGGTCGTTCACATGGGCGTTGACATCCTCCCCCACCGGCGTCTTGGTGGGGACGTCTCCGGACGAGGCACAACATACTCCATACACGTCGCTTTTGTTGTTTTGGCGTTGTTTTAGAGTTGTAACGTCGCCCTCGCTGTCGCTAAACGCGACGTTGACGTGCTCCATGTCGTGAATGAAGTCTTCCTGATTTCTTGTGAGACGAGATGTACTGGACAGACCAGGGAATGGAGTGCGTTTGGGCGATACGCTCTGGTTAACATAGTTTTGAACATAATAAGAAGAGGTGTTTGATCCAGTTTACAGATTATTTGGTAGGCGTGTTTTGGATATTCGTTTCATCGGGGCTGTCATGTTTGCCGGGAACAGAGCATATGCATATCCGAAAGGTTCTGAAAACGTGTTTAGGGTTAAAAGATCCTCGACTTACTATCAGTGTTATCGGTACACATTTTCAACGTGGGTTGAATTGGATTCTGGCTGTGATCAAAACCCAGTTACAAACATTTGGCCACTAGCACTTAAACATTAGGCTATAGTGATGATATCACTCCGCTCCACTCCACTCCGCTCCACTCCGCTCGCCCACATTCTCATTCCACACACCCAATCGACTAGGGCTGGGACGGGTACTCGAATCCGAGTCGGGTATAGCTGGAATCGAGTACTATTTCTAGGAATCGAGTACCCAGAAAAGGAGAAGGGCACATAATAACTTGTCTTTTTTCTATCATTGACGTAACACAGATTTGCATCATTGGTATTGTCGGATTAATGGAGGTCATTATTAACGACTGTATATATCTGAGCATGAGCAGTGAGGAGTCAAGTTACAGTAACAGCGGTAACGAAACGTCCTGTGTTTTAACGAGGAATGCATGTAATGGTGTTGTTACTCTCTATATTTGTTAAATAGACGTAAATTAAATAGCCTACGTTCAGGTTTCAGTGTGTTCTTGCCATCCTTTCAAGGTTTGTATAAAAATCTTCGTCAACTCGTGATTGAATATTCAGAAAGTTGACAGAAGCGCTTTATTCCTTACATTTCCGGGTACTCGATTCCGATTCGGGTACGTACATGCGCTCGATTCCACTTTTTCTTTCCCGTCCGAGCCCTACAATCGACGCATGAAGATCCTGATAAGAATTAGAATTGGTCTTCAACAACACATGCTTGGCGTAAGACCCGACTAATTAACGGGATCAGTGGTCAGGCACGCTGGCTTGGTTGATACGCTGCCATCGTATCCCAACTGCGTAGATCGATTATCTACAGACCGCCGCTAAATATATATTGGGAATACTGAGGAGCGCAGCGGTACTGTGACAACAATCAACCAAACACCCAACATACCACTGGCTCACTCACTCACACATTGGTGATACGATTGAATCCAATCGTATTGTCAAGCTATAAAAGACCGAAAGTAGAATAAGTTACAGAAAAAAATCTAACCTTACAACCAGGAACATCCTTTCCGGTATAGGTGTGAAACCAGTAAGTGAAACCAGTAAGTCAAATCAGTATTTTAGGGTTAGGGATTGGGTTAGGTTCAGGAATGAACTCTCGTCAGTTGCGAATCCCACTGGACGTGTCCTCCCTCGGCGCTCACAATATGGACCACTCGTTGCTATTCTGTATCTAAAGAGTGACGGACCCGTAAAAGATCCGGGTTAGAATTGATCTTCAGTAACCCATGCTTGTCGTAAGAGGCGGCTAACCGTATTGGGTGGTCAGGCTCGCTGACTTAATTGAAACATGTCATCGTATCCCAATTGCGTAGGTCGATGCTCATGTTGTTTATCACTGGATTGTCTGGTCCAGACTCGATTATTTACAGACCGCCATATAGCTGGAATATTGCTGAGTGCTGCGTAAAACTAAACTCACTCGCTAACTCACTAAAAGCACTATTTTCCCTCGATTATCCAGTTAATTACATTTATTTTATTACCTTTATAACTTTGTAAACAGTTATCATGAAATAATGGAAATAAATTACTTTGAACAATCGAAAATACATTTAATTATTTAGAAATGTATTTCATTCAGATCTCACCCGAAACCTGTGCAGATGTCGTCGGTTGCATACACGTCTTACGACACAGCGATTTGATCAAATTTGCAAACGAAAACTGGGTTAGACTCTCAGCAACACAACCCCGAACTCCTAACCCCATTACAATGACCACGCATACATATATCCCCGTTGACATATGAAATAACCCGAGCGTTACTGACAAAACTTGTAGGACTGTCCTTTTCAATGTGTTTGAGTACACGACAGGACTCTTTTCTCGTAATATCTATGCGGAGGGTATTTTTTATTGAAGTGTAAGCTACGACTCAGGGACTCACAGAAGTATAACGAGTATTTGAGATATATTCGTGACATATATACCGGAAAGGATATACATGATGAAACTTGATGAGTTGAAATCCCTTATGTAGACACTTCCCTTTGGTACCGGTACGCTCATTGTTTATTTAGCATAATTCTCTATCCGATGAGTAGAAGCCTTATGGATAACAACTTCTTTTACATTCATTATACAACGTTTCAGAGCTAATTCTTGTTCCTTCATCAGGTGAATGCTGAGTCAGCAAATGTATATAGATAGAACATGTTTACACAACGGAAGGTGGGAGAATGTACAAAGATAACAATATAATCACAAAGCCAATGTAAGAGGTGAGGTGAAATTGGGTTTTAACGTTTTTGGAGTCGTGCTTGAGAATATTTCGCTCATATGGCGACGTGCATGCGTGTGTATGTGCGGCTGCTTGTACTAGCCCGGAGAGCGGAAGGTCGCGGGGTCGATCCCCGACCGCGTCATACCAAAAGACGTTAAAATATGGTACTTGTCGGTCCCTGCCTAGTGCTCGGTATTAATGGGTACAACAAGGACTGGTCGGCTCGGAGTCAGTATACTGTGTCTGAGTGGGGTATTCATGCTTCACTGCGGCATGGTATCTCAGTGTGCTAGCACTATAAAACCAGCTTAAGTCTGGGCTAGTACAAGCAGCCGCACATACACATACACACACATGCACGTCGTCATATGAGCGAAATATTCTCAAGCAGGACGTTAAACGCAATTTCATCTCACCTCAGCTTGGCAATTGGTGAGACCACATTAAGAAAACTTAAACATCAGCTTGGCAATTGGTGAGACCACATTAAGAAAACTTAAACATCAGAAACTAACCAACTTATTTTCCAACAACAATATAATGAATAAAGAAACTCTTATGATACTTCTATACATCTATAGATCTATCTTTATAAATGGATCGACGGATCTTGTGTGGGCAAAGATGAAGGGGTTCCCGGCCTGGCCAGGAAGGGTAATCCAGCCCAAGGATGAAGTGAAGCGTCCCTCCAACAAGAAGCCTCATCATTTTGTCTCCTCCTTCGGGTCTGAGAACTATGCATGGATCCCAGAAGAAAGCATCCACCTGTATGCTGACAATCGCAACAAGTACAGCCTCACGTCCAGAATCCTTCTCCCACCGTCGTTGGATCCAGAACAATTTCTTCTATATTGCCAAACAACAGTTCCATCTTTACAGCCGAACAGTACAGAATACTTTCAGATTCTCTTTTTAGCCTTCAAGCCTTTCAAAAACATATGTTCTAAACATCGACTTTTAATTGAAATTATTGAATTACAAAATGATCTTGCTACTGGCCAATGTAACATCGTATTCTGTTGGTTACCAAGCCATGCTGGAATCACTGGTAGCACGATGGAGGATTCTGCTGCTAAGGCAGTACCAACAAATCTGTGACACCACTTCTGAAACCCTACAGTGACTATAAACCTGTAATTAAAACTTATAGTCGGGATCTCATGCAAAAGAAGTGGGACACCCAAGTCGGCAATAAAATCCTATATTGGTTACACCTACTTGGGCTGTCAGTCCAGATTTGAAGAGGTCATTTTAAGGCGATGCCGTATTGACCATAGCAGACATACAGATGCATATTTATTAAAAGGTGAGGATCCTCCGTTTTGTATCTCATGTGATGAAAGAATCACGGTCAAGCATGTCCTGCTTGACTGAATTGATTTTTTCATCACAAGGGATAAATATTATAGTGTCAAAACTAAAAGGACCTTTTCACATTTATCCTCATTTAATCTTGGTTTTTTAAAAAGAAATACGTCTCATTCATCAATTCTGATGTACAAAATGATGTCTTTTATACTTTGGTAGAATGTAATTATAAACAGAGATTGATTGTGGCTGTGCACTCGACAGGGTTGAAGTACAGTAAAATTAATGTCCCCCTTAAAGGGTACGTAAGCTGCATTTCAATCAAAGTATTGTTATATTTGCCATTGTTTTAATAGTAGAATATGTGCTATTTTATAGTTCGGATACATTTCTCAATAATCGCCAACATCTGAAGGGATGGTGTAACCCCAGCAGGTCCATGCAGGTAGCAAAAGTACTGTAAGTCCCCATATGGTCCCTAGTATGGTTCAGTTGTTGCAATACTCAGTTGAATGCCTCTCAAACAGTTGATACTCAGCCCGTTTTTATTTTGTATGGTCCTGAGGGAAATCCAGTTTTAGAGCTAAATGCTTGTTTAAACTCTTGTTTCTGTGATATTCTAGTTGGTTTTACAATCCTTGGTCGACAAGTTTTTATAATACTGTACTTATTATGAATTTTAACTAGATTTAGTCACGATATGACTGAAATACTGCCGATGTGACTATAAATTTACACTCACTCATTCTTTATATGGGCACTCGTGAAGACCAGTGAGTGAGTGCTGGGTAAAGCAAATAGCTCTTCCCCTGTGTGGACCCGGGGCAGAATGTGTTCACAGCACCCCATTGCTGGTCGTAAAATGCGACAGTCTAAGTAAAATGCGACCAAATTGGGCAACCTGTTTGCCGTGGGTTGCACCCGTGTGTCGTTGGAGGAAGGGATTCTGGTGGTTGAGGGCAAAGGAGCCTGGAACCGTTCACCTAAACGGGTGGTAGAATGGGCCCGGTTCTATCAATCGGCTGGTCACGCCAAGCCCTGTGCATGAAATATATGCATATACATTATTTGAATATATGATATGTTTTGATAGGTCTTGGTCGACGTATTTATGTTATCAAACTGAAATCTGCTTAAAGTCTCATGCCAGAAGGCGTTGGCTAATGGGCCAATTCGGTGATGTTGACTTCGAAATTTCTTGTTATGGTAAACTAATGCAGCGTCATATTTGCTGAGACCGCCTCCGTGGTGTAGTGGTTAGAGCGTCCGCCCGGAGAGCGGAAGGTCGCGGGTTTGATCCCCGACCGCGTCATACCAAAAGACCTTAAAATATGGTACTTGTTGGTCCCTGCCTGGCGCTCGGCGTTTAATGGGTACAACAAGGACTGGTCGGCTCGGAGTCAGTATAATGTGTCTGAGTGGGATATTCATGCTTCACTGCGGCATGGTATCTCAGTGGGCTAGCACTATAAAACCAGTTTAAGTCCGGGCTAGTACAAGCAGCCGCACATACACATACACACGCATGCACGTCGTCATATAAGCGAAATATTCTCAAGCAGGACGTTAAACCCAATTTCACCTCACCTCATATTTGCTGAAGCATAACACCCCTGTATCCCCGGTGTTTGCAACCCCGGTTATCCGATGCAATTAAACACCGCTCTTTTTGGCACTCCATGGTAGTTGTGGAGCAGGGATGCTGAATGACATTATTTCTACTATGTCTCAACAAAACCCTGGTACAAACAGATCTTAACGTAGACATGTAGAAACTGATGAAACTGGTTAAAATGTAAATGTGTCTTCTGTACTTCATTCATGGCTTCGCAGAGCTGTAGGAATCCACCCTCCTCACGTTCACCAATTGAGTTTTACAGTTTTACCAAATACCAATTAGTTTTATGGAAGACATGTTGGAAACATTTTAAAATGTCATCCAATGAAATTCCCTATTTGACGTACACCAAATTATTACTGGAATATTGTTCCAAACGCCGTCGACCGCCTCCGTGGTGTAGTGGTTAGAGCGTCCGCCCGGAGAGCGGAAGGTCGCGGGTTCGATCCCCGACCGCGTCATACCAAAAGACCTTAAAATATGGTACTTGTTGGTCCCTGTCTGGCACTCGGCATTAATGGGTACAACAAGAAATGGTCGGCTCGGAGTCAGTATAATGTGTCTGAGTGGGGTATTCATGCTTCACTGCAGCATGGTATAAACTCAGTCAGTGGCTTCAGCACTATCTCAGTGGGCTAAACCAGCTTAAGTCTGGGCTAGTACAAGCAGCCGCACATACACATACACACGCATGCACGTCGTCATATGAGCGAAATATTCTCAAGCACGACGTAAAACCCAATTTCACCTCACCTCACCTCCAAACGCCGTCGACTAACTCATAATGTAATGGCGGCCTGACTGGATACCAGGGAATAGAGTGTGTGAGCGAGTGAATTTAGTTTTAGGCCGCTTTTAGAATATTCCAGCAATATCACGGCAGGGGACACCAGAACGTTGACCAATTGAGCCACCATGACTCAATCGTCCAACATAATCCAGTGGAATTGGAGAGGACTTAGGAATAAATTTAACGACTGACAGATTTTAATCCAGGATTTTACACCATCAGCAATGAGTCCACAAGAATCATAAAATATCATTTGTTTTATCACTTTTCACCTCCAGGTGCACCAGTAACTGGTGGTTCCTCCATCTTGGTAAGACAGGACGTAATTCATGGTGTTGTTCCACTAACTACCAATCTTTCAAGATGTTGCAGTTCGAATAACATTTCACATTGCCTTAACACTCTGCTCTTGGTACATCCCACCCTCTTCGACTTTACAGCAGGCGGATCTACAAGCTTTGAATGATCAGCTCCCCAAACCCTGTGTCATCAAGGGTATTCACAACGGGCATAACCCTCTATGGGGAAGTTTTTGTACTAACGCTAAAGGCAAAGTAGTTGAAGATTATATTTCTGACAATAACATATGCATGTTAAATGACTGCTCCAACACGTATTTACATCCTGCCACAGGAACCTATTCAGCATTGGAGCTTACTCTTACAGATGCCAATTTACTAACTGAATTTGAATGGTCTGTCCATGATGGCCTATGTGGAAGGGGCCATTTCCCTACACTACTAACCGCCTCCGTGGTGTAGTGGTTAGAGCGTCCGCCCGGAGAGCGGAAGGTCACGGGTTCGATCCCCGACCGCGTCATACCAAATGACGTTACAATATGGTACTTGTTGGTCCCTGCCTGGCGCTCGGCATTAATGGGTACAACAAGGACTGGTCGGCTCGGAGTCAGTATAATGTGTCTGAGTGGGGTGCTCATGCTTCACTGTGGCATGGTATCTCAGGGGGCTAACAGCTTAAGTCTGGGTTAGTACAAGCAGGCGCACATACACATACACACGCATGCACGTCGTCATATGAGCGAAATATTACGTACGACGTTAAAAGCCAATTTCACCTCACATCACCTCACCTACACTACTTTAAGCTATCACCCCTACTGATGAGCCACCTTTGATTAGATGGAAATTTACCAGAGCAAACTGTCCATTATTTCAAACTCTTTGTTCCAGTACACTGAAGTCTGATACTTTCAGAAATATTCTGGACCCTATTCAGTTATTCTCAGAGAAACTGAAAACTATAGTTGGTGAAACTATTAACTAAATAGTCAGGCCTGAAGTAGATCTTTCACTCACTAAGTTAAAAACGTTTTAAACAAATCAACTATCTATAAACAGGAATATGTACAATTACGTGCAAAATATAACACTCATAGTTCATATTTCACAGATGGTTCCAATGATGGTGGCAAGGTTTCAGGTGCCACTGTATTTGGATCTAACATAATATATATCTTCCAGGGATTCCTGGTAACAGTTTCATCTTTACAGCTGAAGCCAAAGCAATTCAAGTAGTCTTGGAATATTTACAACTGTACAATGAACTTTCCACTGGCCAGTATGACATCGTCTTTTGTTGGTTACCAAGCCATGTCGGTCTTGCTGGTAACACAAAGGCTGTAACAGCATGTAATGTGTGTGTGTGTGTGTGTGTGTGTGTTGGTAGTAGGGGGGGGTAGGGGGGATTGTCACTTTATGGTGACTCTTGTTTATTCTGATTTTAAACCTGCTATCAGACTGTACATTAGGGAGTTCATGCAATCAAAGTGGAACGCCCAGGTAGGTATAAACAAACTTTAAACTAAAAATACACAGGTCTTTAGATTATACCTACTTATGTTATCAAGCAAGGCACGATGAAGTCGTACTAAGACGATGTCGAATTGGCCATATGCGTTTTACTCATAAATATTTATTAAACGGTGATACATTTTGTGTCCCTTGTGTTGAGAGAAACACAGTCAAACACATTTTGTTTAACTGCATAGAATTCTCTCTCATAAGGGATACCTATTATACATCATCATATTTAAAGGATCTTTTTACAAATGTCAATTCTCTTTTAATTCCTGGGGTTTTTTTTAAAGAAATCAATTATTTGATACATTTTGACTATTTGAATTGTTTTAATATCAGTTCCTTGTTTTCACTAACTGAGACTATTGATGGTGGTACCACTCAGTGGGTTAAAGTAGTGTAGAATTATTGCCCCCTTGACAGTGGCACGTAAGTCCTCACTAATTGAAGTAGATAACATCAACTAGTGTCTTAAGTGCTCTATTGTAGTTAGATTTTTAATATTGGTTAGTCCTGCATACAACCACTGGTGGCCAAAGTGATGGCATAAATCCTCCTGGGAATCATGCAGGAAGCAGAGGCACCGTTAGTCCTCTTGATCCCTAGAAGGTGGTCGTTAGTGGTCTATAGCCTAGTTTTAATTTATACCAAATAATAATCAGATGAAGTAATATTTTAATAAAGAATTGGTTTGTTTTATAACTAAACTGTGATACTGAACTTATTGTTTTATTGTCCTTTATAGACAGACTTGTTCACGTCGCTAAATGGCCGAAATATTGTCGATTCGATGTAAAACATTAATATTACTCACTCACTCTTTATATGACAATATGTATAAAATATGTAGCCAGAAAAGAAAATGAAGTTGAAAAGATGTGTGTGTGCGCGCGCGCACATGCGTGTGTGTATGTGCAAGTTCCTATAGTAAGCTATGTCACGCTGACTATTTGGAGTAGAGGGATTGCGAATCATTGACGGAATATTAGCAAAGCGTTGATTGATAACTTTGGGGTCAGAGCTACAACAACGCATTTTTTCTTTGAAAGGAGCCCAACTAGTACAAAAATAATGCATAGTCACTTCAAATTCCTCGTTAGATGAGTGAGTGGCTGATTATGTAAGTCTGAGTATTAGACCTTGCACTATATATATACTAAGCTAATCGTAATCCACATAACAAAATCGTCTATATTGTGCAACTGAGCCCTGCAAGGTCTAATGCTCAAGGTGGATAGCTGGTACATATGAGTAGGTAGAAGAAAAATCTGAAATGTTGACGCCTATAATTTAACCAATAGTTCAGGCATTAATCAACGAATGTAGCATCCAATATATGAAACGCCAGTTATATTATTTATTCTCTGTCCGTATGTATACCTGTGAGCGAGATGTATTGTGACCTTCACCTTGAACCAGGAAGGGGATTTCCCAGGTCATATTGACATCACATCCAAGATGGCGTCCCCTAGTCTGGAATACTTCAATAGTGTGTTCCAATATGTACCGCAGGGACACGAAAAGGCATTAAAGCAAGCCTTTTATAACACAGCGGCCAATATATTCATCCTTTTCGCAGGTGCAGCTCTAATCGCTGTCTATTTCATCCTTAATCCGTTTCTTCGACCATTATGCTGGGCAGTTTTGTGCGGGACGTTTTTGTATCCTTTCAAGAGGTCGCTAACAAATGTGCTAAAGAAATGGTTAAATGGCCTGAGGACTTCCGATACTCCCTTCGCAGTAGGACTAGTAATTTTACCAGTACAGGTGAGTGTTGACAAGGTTTGCTGTGCGTCGTATGTGCCGCAACAGGTATTTGTTGCAGCAAGTTTGTTCGAGGCAATGGTCTATTTCTGGCGCTAATTCAGTTATGCCAATCATGAATCACGAGCTGTCGACAGCTGTCAATCATTATGTGCTGGAGCCATCGTGCACCGTGGCTCCAGAATAAGATAGTTCAGGCGTGCATGTCAATGATGCAATGGCTTAGTTTAAAGTAATTATTTAAACTTTGGGTGTGTGTTTTTCATTTTGATACATTTTTTATGCAGTCAGATCTAGTGCATAATAAAGCAAACATATGGTTTATGCAGTGCAGGGTGGAGAGAGGGGTATTGAATCGTACCTAGATCGTGTTGATTAAACCTCAAACAGAGCAAAGTGGGAAGATAATGAATGGTGTGAACCAAATATGCCCCAGCTCAATACAATCCTCTCAAACTATGTAACATTACAGATCAGTGTGGGAAGCAGGGTAGCCTAGAGGTTAAATCATTCTGTCGTCACATTGAAGCCTGGTTATGTTTTCCACATGGGTACAATATGTGAAGACTATTCGGGTGTTCTCAGCAGTGATAAACCTTGAATCAGAGCACCACAATTCTCTTTTATTTTAGTGTCGAAATTGCACTTTATTGTAAAGTGCACATCACTAGTGTATAAAATAGTTTTTAAATCTGACCTGTCCAAAAAGGTGACCAGTCCTGTACAAACACAGCCAGCCCCATAAACTAAAACAATAAAAAAGCAACAAGTTAAGTATATTTTTTCAAATATTTCCCCTAACCAAAGGACGGCCTTACTTATCTAATAGGCCGTCCTTCACAAAACCGACTGTGAAGGACAGTGGGACGGGCTATATTTTCTATACTGACATCACATATACACAGACTTGGAGGTTTTAGTTATTACTATTACATATATATAGTAACGTCTTTGAGTGGAAAGTCACATAAGGACAAACTTTATGGATGGACAACTTCTTTGTTCAGGGGGGCGGTGGGGTAGCCTAATGGTTAAAGCGTTGGCTCGTCACGCCGAAGACCCGGGTTCGAATCCCCACATGGGCACAATGTGTGAAGCCCATTTCTGGTGTCCCCGCCGTGATATTGCTGGAATATTGCTAAAAGCGGCGTTAAACCAAACTCAGTCAGTCAGTCTTTATTCAGGTGATGTGACGTCTCGATACAGATTCTATACCTGCTTGACAACGATACAAAAACCTGAATAAAGAAGTTGTCCATCCATCCTTATCTATGATACAGAGGTTTGAAGTTTGCTTCTTTATAATGATGGAGTCACACTGCAGTTTGTGGTAATATATTCAATTTAAGTATTCTGTTGGGAAGCGCATAAACAAGAATGTGTTGATTTGCAGGTTCAATAATTTGACAACAACAAAAGCCACAAATGTTTCCTCACCCTCTCCACTGTTGCAGGTTGTGAACAACAGCACCAACACGCTGCTGAATATGATACGGAACAATTACTACGTAGTTGGGGGCTTCCTGCTGGGCATGCCAGTCCTTCAGTTTATGTATTATTATGGAGTTGCCCAGAAGATATTCTACTTCTGTCTGGGACTCCTCAACTTCTGCCATGACATCACAGCGTGGTTCAGCTCTATGTGGGTAAGTCAGAAACGTTTTAACCAAAAGTTTGAACAATTATGTGTCATAACTTTCCAATATGTGTGCATGTTTATTTCAGTGATGATCACTGGTCATTGGTCATTTGAACATTTTGAATCCTTATCACCTTATATTGCTCCGTTGTTTGAGAAAATACCACATAACATCATCCAGTGTTGGACCTGCTCCGTGGTGTAGTGGTAAGAGCGTCCGCCCAGAGAGCGGAAGGTCGCAGGTTCGATCCCCGACCGCGTCATACCAAAAGACGTTAAAATATGGTACTTGTTGGTCCCTGCCTGGCGCTCGGCATTAATGGGTACAACAAGGACTGGTCGGCTCAGAGTCAGTATAATGTGTCTGAGTGGGGTATTCATGCTTCACTGCGGCATGGTATCTCAGTGGGCTAGCACTATAAAACCAGCTTAAGTGTGGACTAGTACAAGCAGCCGCACATACACGTACACACGCATGCATGCCGTCATATGAGCGAAATATCCCAAGTACGACTAAAACCCAATTTTACCTCACCTCATCCATTGTTCTTTATGTAACAGGGGCAGTGGGGTAGCCTATAGTACTGTCGGAAATAGAAAAAAAACCTGTATTTTCTCATTTATCTCTACAATTTATGTAGTTGATATGTGAAAGTGTGAAATATCTGTTAAACTAAGTTCGGCCTAACTACAGTCTCGGTGGTAGAGAGATAGGAAACGAAGAAAAAGGACTTTACTGAGGAGAAATTAGTGCAGAAATGAGCAATGCAGTTTTTTTCTAAGTCCAAACAGACTTATTTGGAACAGACCATGGCTTTATGCAAATTAGTGTGCGACGATATTGTATTACAAAGGACACTTTTTAAATGCCCAATTTGAAATTAGACGTAGATTCATTATAAACGATAGCTGACGTAAAAAATAATAACTTTTATGCCGAAACTATTAAGGATGTAGCTACCATGCAGTTTCACTGTCACTATAAAAAGAAACAGATAGGAGGGGCCGTCTCAAAAGCAAAACCTGGGGTCGGGCTTGGGGATAGAGATATCAGCTAAGATAAGATAATCCTTTAGGGCACTTATACTGGGGAGGTACACGGTACGTCATAACAATTTACAAATAATATCCAGTCCTGTCGATCTTCGGGTGGTCATACCACCTTTATACTACGATGCGTTTCTATGGTTTTCGGGTATCATACTCTTTTACATATCTCAACATAAACTATATGAAACTATATGAAAGAAAGACACGTAAGATGTTAATCAATAGATGAGACATAGGCAACACACATGAAAAAGCACAAAATATCTTTGAGATGATCCCTTGTGCCTGTAGGCAGCACATGCATTTCATGCCAGGTGAGTCGACGGTCCGTCGTCATACCTGGCTGAGCGACCTAATTGCCATCTATAGTCTAATCTATTGTTTTCAGCAGCTATTCATATTTTTTCTAAGTTTTGCCCGATTTTACGAGTAAACATGCTTTTCTGGATATCGTATTACGCATCCCACTGAACGCCAAAGTGGGTTATTTCGACATATGCTATTTGCAATTGTGTAAATTTTAGGGATACAGGGTAACAGCCTAAAAACACAGTTTTTTTCTATTTCCGACAGTACTATAGTGGTTAAACTTATAGTGTTTGCTCATCACGCCAAAGACCCAGGTTCGATTCCCCACATGGGTACAATGCGTGGAGCCTATTTCTGGTGTCCCCCACCTTGATATTGCTGGGATATTGCTAAAAGCGGCGTAAAACTAAACTCACTCACTTGCTCACTCACTTACTCGATGTAACATTACATCGTATGAACAATAGACAGCGTCAGTGAAGTTTTTTAATAGTGAAGTTTCTGATATTTCACATGCTCTCGGGATTATGTCTCTTAAAATGTCAGTGAGTAATATATAGAATAACCTTCTGGTTTGCTAACTCAGAATTATGGGTTTTCTGTCCCTTGTAAGTGAATGCTGTAAGTCCCTCACCAAAGGCTCATGATTAACACGATTCATTCATTATTATTATTATTATTATTATTATAGGATATTTATATAGCGCACATATCCACGCACTAGTGCATGCTCAAGGCGCTGGTATTTTTTCCCTCGATCATTGGATGTCAGTCTCAACGGCACATCGCATTATCAATCTCAACTCCCTGGGGAGTATACAACTCTTGCAGCCACTAGGCACACCAAGTTATTGTGGCTTTCTCATCCTAATGAGGTTAGGACGAGGTTCACACAGATAGTCCATAATTCCTCATAGCTCGTTAGTTTCTATCTATTCTTTAAAAACTATGAGTAAGCCAGCGTCCTGTACATGATGTACTTGGCATGTAATCACCAGTACATTTACAAAACCATATTTTCAACAGCAGCATTTAGTTCTCATAGTAGTTCTAAAAAATGTACAAAGCTGTGGGAGTGAGGACTTAGGAACATGTACTTTCTATGTAACAGTGCATGTGCTCAAGTGTCAAGAATGTCCTCATTTGCCTTGGTAGAAAAATTATTCCTCTTCATCAGGCTCTTCAATAACAGAGATATTATATCAATAAACATTTCATATATTGAGGTCATGATTTCACAGGGAACAGAAATGTGCATGCAGTAATCACAAATGTAGAGAATACAGACAAAAGAAAATTGCTTTGGGATGCACTAAAATATTTGTGACATGACTCTACATCCAAGTTGAATTAGATTGTTGATGATGATGATGATGATGATGATGATGCAACACAGAAACATGCCAGTCATAGTTCTATAAACACTTTGTAGAATGGGCCCTGAATTGTAGATGGTCTAGATCTTGTAAGATGTGATGATGATGATGATGATGATGATAGATTTACTGACATGCATCTTCCTGTTTTGTCAGCTGTGGACCATCTTTATCGGCTACATCATAGCAGTGATCTTCCTCTGGACGGAGGAATCCAGGAAGACGTTTCACTACATCTCTATCACAGTGTGGGTCACACTCATCCTCCACATCGCCACGGTAGCAGGCCCTCTTCGTCTCCTTCTGTTGGCTGCCCTTGTTGTTGTCATGGTGATTGGATTTGTTTCTGAAGCCAGTAAGGAATCTACAGAACCTGAAGGTGAGGCATATGTTTTCAAACAAAATGTTTTGAAATGAAGGTATTTTTAAGCTAAGTGACAAAGACATTTGTTGTTTCAACTTGTCTGTTTTACACCTAACTCCACTGTAAACCTGGAATTCTGATTTGAGTGTCATTAAACCAAACTAATTTTTATCCCGTCGGCATAAAATGCGAAGGGATATGGTCAATGCCTCGTCGGTCTGTCCATCCATCCATAATCATTTCGTTTCCGGAGCATAACTAAAAAACATTCAATATTTTTCAAGAAAATTGGTATAGATATCATAAGGACCTCAAGTGGTGCCTTTTGCTATTTACAGATTTTTGGCATTTTTGTTTTTCTCTATTTCCATGGAAACAAATTGGACTTAGTCTCAAAACGGCACGGAGTTTGTTTCCGGAGCATAACTAAAAAATAGCTGATTTACCAATAAAGATTTGGAAGACATATGAGGCAGATCCCAAAGTGGTGCTTTTTGCTATTTGCAGATTTTAGGCATTTGTATTTTTATCGGTTTCCATGGAAATGATTTGGACTCATCATCTGATGACTCTTGTTTAATCCAGCAAAAGAAAAGCCAGAAGAACAGCCAAGCAGCACAACTGGAAATGAACCATGGAAGTCCATATTTGACAAAGATTCAGCTGGCCAAGACGTGAAAGGTTCACAACCTCCGGTATCGACTCAGAAACCTCAGTCTTTGTCCCTTTCAAGTGGAAGCAAGCCAACGACCTCTACCCCGACCAAAGCTGTGAAACAACAGGACACCCCTGTAGAAGAAGGAGCCCAGTCACTGAGCAACCAGTGCTTCGTGGCTCTCTTCTGGGCGCACGTGCTCGTCAGACTTTGGATCCATGTATGGGGCATGATCCTGATTCTCTTTCTGCCTCTGCTGCTGTTGATCATCAGAGGATTAGGTCAGTACGGAAATAGCTACATGTACATTAAAGGAAAGTCTAAAAGTCATTGGGGCGTTGGGGTAGCCTAGTGGCTAAATCGTTCGCTCATCACGCTGAAGACCCGAGTTCGATTCCCCACATGGGTACAATGTGTGAAGCCTATTTCTGGGTCATGGTATTGCTGGAATATTGCTAAAAGTGGTGTAAAACCATACTCACTCACTCACAATTTATTTGTCTCAAGCCATCGGACCAGCTCTTTGTCAAGGGCTGTAGTAATGGTATGGTCCTATATACTGACCAGGTGCAACAAAATTTGAGAACATTGCAACTTCTTAAAAACAAACTACTTGGTACTTTGTCAACCTGTTTGGAGTGAATGAGTGAGTGAGTTTTTGTGTTACGCCGCTTTTAGCAATATTCCATAGATATCATGGCAGGGGACACACATTGTCTCCATGTGGGAAATCAAACGCAGGTCTTCGGCATGATGGGCAAACGCTTTAACCACTAGGCCATGCCACTTATTTGGAAGAAGACATTTTCTTAATGTCATAATGATGGAAAGAATTTATGTCTTGTATATTTATGTGAAACTGACTGATGATAATTATGTCTAGGTATATTTATGTGAAACTGACTGATGATAATTATGTCTGGAATATTTATGTGACACTGACTGATGGTAATTATGTCTGATATATTTATGTGAAACTGACTGATGATAATTATGTCTGGAATATTTATGTGACACTGACTGATGGTAATTATGTCTGATATATTTATGTGAAACTGACTGATGATAATTATGTCTGGAATATTTATGTGACACTGACTGATGGTAATTATGTCTGGAATATTTATGTGAAACTGACTGATGATAATTATGTCTGGTATATTTATGTGAAACCCACCAGAAACACTGATTGGGTATGATTTTTTACAGCTGCCCAGTTTAGCAGTGGTGGGTTCCTTCATACGAGAATGGAAAATGTCAAGAAATCTCTGAAAGACTGGTACACCAAACGAGAGGACGCCATCGCACCTCGCTCCATTAGTGGCCTTGCTAAGATTGCACTGAAGGGAGACAAGAAGGTATGATGTGCCTATGTTCTGTGTCATTTGAACAGAGATATATATTTGCAAGTAGAGCCAGATATTTGACACCATGCCCAACAGGTGGTCCACAACAGGTATCAGTGAATTTCTGACATTTGAATAGAGACAAATAGGATTCAGCGTATCATGCATGAAACTCATGTTATATTTTGTAATTATGACATATATTTCTGATAAGAGTGATAATAACATGACGTAAGCTTTCATGCCTTTCAACCCTGTGCACTGAAAAGAACCCATGAATCCATTTGTAAATGAACAGATGGTGGCCACATGAATACGTGCAAACACCTCGTTGCGGGTAGTGGTGGACCGATTAATTGAAATAATCGAAGATTGGTCGCAGTGACTAAATGACCAAGCAATCGATCATGTTCTCTCATAATCGAACGCAAACAATTTTGGAGCACTTGTTTGCATTAACGACATTTTTCACAAGGTTGGTTTTGTCAGTTACATTTCATGAGCACTACAAGCTCGTTCCAAGTCACGATTGAATTTATCTTTTAAAGACTCCTAGAAATTTGATCCTAACATACCAAGTCATCACTTAAAGATGTAAGATGTGAATTTGCAAATGCATTTTGTGCAATTTGAAAAAAAAAAAAAGAACTTTTCTTTCTGTGCATTAACAAAGATAACCAGCTAAAATCTGACAAATGATGCAAACCAATTATTTTCGATGATTGATCGGTTGTAATGAACCAATCATCAATTATGAGATTTTAACCAATTCCTAACACTAGTTGCGGGTACAGCAACATGCAGTAAACCTGGACAAAGTACTGTGACTATGTGTCCCAGTCCACCCAGCTGTGAATGGGTACCTCGTAAGGATGGGAAAGCCACATTAACTTGGTGCGCTAGTGGCTGCAAGAGTTGTATGATCCCCAGGGAGTTGAGATTGATAATATGATGTGCTGTTGAGATTGACATCCAATGATCAAGGGGAAAAAACAGTGCCTTGAGCATGTACTAGTTGCGTGTATATGTTGCTATATAAATATCCTATAATAATATAATAATCTTATGTTTTCTGGTATGATAAGAATCATAAGAATACACATTTTATTTAACGAACTATTTCAAGAGCTGATTAAAAGATGGTACTACTTGTTACCCTGCCTGTGCTTGGAATTTTGGCTGTAAAACAAGGACTGATCAGCTCGGAGTCATCAACTATGTATGTGTGGGGTATCCATGTTATTTTGGCACATGGTATCTCACACTCTCCTACCCAGAGTTCCATGCGCTCGCCGGAGTGTGGGTATCTCAGAGAAAGCCACTATAAATATGGCATCAGACAATACCACTGCAAGCAGACACGTCTTGAGGGTGATGTTAGACCCCATTTCACAGCCACCAGTAATTGTGTCAATTCTAGCTACGGGACTAATACTTGATAATGTTTATTTGTTACCAGGTGATCGATGCTCTCGAGGTGTCGACAGACAAGGCCACCAGTATTCTGCTGATTCTTATTCTCCTGATTGGATCAACTCTCTTTATCATCATCGGGGCTATTCAGGTAATTCTAACATCAACACGCTGAGGGAGAAATGTTGTAGAGGAAAACGTCAAACATTAGCCATGTTAGTTTCACAGGTTCAGTGTCGGCTTCTGTCATGGACCTTGTCGTGTCGTCATGCTACCATCATTATGTACTGTTATCTCATTAAGTCATGCCAATCAGGGTCTGGTTAAACAGGTATGGTGGTATTCATAGAGCTCTGCTAGGAGAGTGATCTATGTTGGTGGTGCCTGTCATGTTACCGGGCGTGTCCTAGTGGTTAGAGCGTTTGCTCATCTGGCAGAAGACCTGGGTTCCATTCCCCATACCCCCTGCTGTGATATTGCTGGAATAATGCTAAAAGCGGTGTAAAAGCTCTCACTCACTCGCTAACTCACTCACTCACTCACTTTCACTCAATCACTCCTGCCTCCGTGGTGTAGTGATTAATTGAAATAATCCGCCAGATTGAGGCGTGAAGGCGACCAGCTGAATCGATCATAACTTCGTCACATAATCAAAGAAGCGCTACCAATGTTGGTACACTTGTTGGTCCCTGCCTGGCTTAACAATATTTTTACATGGGTACAACAAAGGACTGTTACGACTTGTAGGTCAGTATAAGCTGTCTCAGAGTCATTATTCATGCTTCACTCTTAAGGCTCCATGGTATCTCACTTCTAGCATACTATAAAACCAGCTTAACTCTGGGCTAACAAGCAGCCAAAAGCTACACCCATGCAGTCACTCATGTGAGTTTTCCTTATTCATGCATGGCATTAAAACTCTTTCACCTCACCTCACTCACTCACTCACTCACTTTCACTCACACTCCTCACTCACTCACTCACTCCTCACTCACTCACTCACTCACTCACTCACTCACTCACTCACTCACTCACTCACTCACTCTCCTCACTCCTCCTCTCACCCACAAAGATTATCCAAGTTTCATAATGACTGCATATTACTGCTATCCATGTCAAGGATACATAACTAAGTGCACGTTGCAGATAGTTCTGGGAAAAAATATTTTCCTCAAAACTTAAATGAAATACAAGTCACCTGTTCAATGCCATGAAAGTATGTGTTACTGGGTATCATGAATTTGGAAATTTGTGGTTCCAGTTTGCTACTATATACTGTCACTGGGACAAGGAAGATCCCTGCAATAGTGACTCTGTACCTGATTTGTTACAGATTCACCAGGAGAGTATCCATATGGTTACAGTTACTGGCAACCTGTTCAACGAGAAGGTCAACCCTGAGATCAGCCAGTGAGTAACACGTCTCAACTGCTCAATTTTACAATAAACTAACAATAACATGTAAACTTATGCTACAGTTAGCATTTCTCTTTAAGCTCCATTATCCAAGTAAAAGGTCAATGTCTGATACAAGCTGATTAAAACAAAGAATAAGTATTCTGTCTATACGGCGATGTGTGATGCTCGATTCTGTTTGGCTGAGATCAAAACCGATACTTAAAATGACAGTTTGAGGACTGCTAATTTTAGTATGAGATACCCGAACTTCGTTGGACCGTATTGTTTGTAAAAACAAACATGCCGGCAGCATCTTTGTGTGTTTTGAGTAAAAGTGAATGGTTTGAAGAAGAATTTCTTGACCCTAATCCCAGTGAAGAAACAAAGGAAGCTGGAAAATCCGTCAACAGCGTAATAAAGCGTATATTCAAAGCGGGTCCAGATCACGTTATATCGGCGTCGACAACACTGCGTCGAGTCCTAACCTGACCGGCTTCCATCCCGGACGTAATGCCCAGTCCTTCCACTTCCACTGTCCATGTATCCCATAAAGCGTGTGGCATGTCAGGTCTTTTCCATATTGGGAATAGTAGGATGGTTATCAACAATGATTTCCGTGAATAAAGTTAAGCGAAGCTTAATTTAGTAGAGGTTGCATTTGGGCAATTCGGGTTGTCATACACAGTAGGGGAGATCAATATTTAAGCAAAAAAAATCAAATTTCTTGCTCACAGTATAAACTGTATTTTTGTGTGTATTTATGTATGCTGCTTGTTACAAATACAAAGCATACTGGTTCCTGAAAATATAGCATTTATTTGTTATAAAATGTCTTATTTTGTTCATTACAGATTTCCATCAAAATGCACTGATTCCAGCGATTTCCAGGAAACCCCCTTCGTGTTCTTACTGCCAGACAGTTCGGTTTTAAAATGCTTATCAGTCGAAGCCAGAATGAGATAAAGCCTTGGTTTCAATTTTTGCATTTATCTTGATTTAGACCGCTAAATGTATAATTAAAAGTACCAGCGTTTAGCGTCTTAAATCAACGACATGGGACTGAACTTGAAAACCAAAGTAGCTTTATCTTCTAAGTACATTGAAGGAAGCTCATAGAAGTCAATAATTTAGCTATACCTGGTTGGCTTTGGTTTGAGGAATACCACTTTAGGGTAATCCCTGTTCAATTTTATAGTAATTCAAGCAATGTCTCTTGACTCAAGGCATAAGGCCAAAAAACAAATATGTCCGTTTCCGGTAACCCGACCGACCCTATCCTAACCCACCCGACCCTAAATCTTTTTTTAACCAAGTCAAAATCATGACTGGAGTGCATTTCAACTCATCATTTTCATCCAAATCGAGTATGATATTTTCATGTTTTTCAGTGTATGTAGGGCTAAAATGGATTGCATTGAATTGGCACAATGGGCTCTCACTGACAAAACCTGCAAATAAATAACATAAATAATGATTTGATATAGAAATCTATCAATGTTTCATCACAAGACATTGTCACAACATGATATGGTATCCTTGAAGACATTCTCAGGTGCCCACCTGGTGCTACTAAAAAAAAAAAAGATAAACCCGACCCACCTACCCTATTTTTTAAAAGCATGTAATAGGAAATGGACATATATTTTTTTTGCCTAATATATATCATTCAGAAAGTATTTCAGTTGACTATGGCAGCCCATGTAAACAATGTGTTGTATTTGCAGATGGCTGCCAAACAGCACTGACATGGAGAAGGCTATGGACTCCATGGCTGAGAATGCCTACATCTACGGCCGGGACTACATCGCCTCCATGGTGGGTGCACATACAACATCCAGTTTATACTGTTGTATCTGAAAACTTTGTCTTCACCTTTCCCATGTTCCGTGGCAACGACATTGCCTTCATCTTTTCCATGTTTCATGGTAACGACCTTGTCTTGACCTTTCCCATGTTCCATGGTAACAACCTTCTCTTCACCTTTCCCATGTTTCATGGTAATGACCTTGTCCTCACCCTTCCCATGTTTCACAACCTTCCTTCACCTTTCCCATGTTCCATGGTAATGACCTACCTTTGCCATGTTTCATGGTAATGACCTTGTCTTCACCTTTCCCATGTTTTCATGGTAACAACCTTTCTTCACCTTTCCCATGTTCCAGGGTAATGACCTGCGTGTTCACCTTTGCCATGTTTCATGGTAATGACCTTGTCTTCACCTTTCCCATGTTCCATGGTAACAACCTTTCTTCACCTTTCCCATGTTCCATGGTAATGACCTTGTCTTGACCTTTCCCATGTTTCATGGTAATGACCTTGTCTTCACCTTTCCCATGTTTCATGGTAATGACCTTGTCTTGACCTTTCCCATGTTTCATGGTAATGACCTTGTCTTGACCTTTCCCATGTTTTATGGTAATGACCTTGTCTTGACCTTTCCCATGTTCCATGGTGATGACCTTTCTTCACCTTTCCCATGTTCCATGGTAACAACCTCGTTTCTTTCCCATGTTCCTTTTGTCCATGTTCCATGGTAACAACCTTCTCTTCACCTTTCCCATGTTCCATGGTAACAACCTTCTCTTCACCTTTCCCATGTTCCATGGTAACAACCTTGTCTTCACCTTTCCCATGTTCCATGGTAATGACCTTGTCTTCACCTTTCCCATGTTTCATGGTAATGACCTTGTCTTCACCTTTCCCATGTTTCATTGGTAATGACCTTGTCTTCACCCTTCCCATGTTTCATGGTAATGACCTTGTCTTCACCCTTCCCATGTTTCATGGTAATGACCTTGTCTTCACCTTTCCCATGTTTCATGGTAACAACCTTTCTTCACCTTTCCCATGTTTCATGGTAACGACCTTGTCTTCACCCTTCCCATGTTTCATGGTAATGACCTTGTCTTCACCTTTCCCATGTTTCATGGTAATGACCTTGTCTTCACCCTTCCCATGTTTCATGGTAACAACCTTTCTTCACCTTTCCCATGTTTCATGGTAATGACCTTGTCTTCACCTTTGCCATGTTTCATGGTAATGACCTTGTCTTCACCCTTCCCATGTTCCATGGTAACAACCTTTCTTCACCTTTCCCATGTTCCATGGTAATGACCTTTGTTCACCTTTGCTGTTTCATGGTAGCAACCTTGTCTTCACCTTTCCCATGTTTCGCATGTGTGGCCTTGTCCTCACCTTTCCATGTTTCATGGTAATGACCTTGTCTTCACCCTTCCCATGTTTCATGGTAATGACCTTGTCTTCACCCTTCCCATGTTTCATGGTAACGACCTTGTCTTCACCCTTCCCATGTTTCATGGTAACAACCTTGTCTTCACCTTTCCCATGTTCCATGGTAACAACCTTTCTTCACCTTTCCCATGTTCCATGGTAATGACCTCGTGTTCACCTTTCCCATGTTCCATGGTAACAACCTTGTCTTCACCTTTCCCATGTTTCATGGTAACAACCTTGTCTTCACCTTTCCCATGTTTCATGGTAACGACCTTGTCTTGACCCTTCCCATGTTTCATGGTAACGACCTTGTCTTCACCCTTCCCATGTTTCATGGTAATGACCTTGTCCTCACCCTTCCCATGTTTCATGGTAACAACCTTGTCTTCACCTTTCCCATGCACCCTTCCCATGTTTCATGGTAATGACCTTGTCTTCACCCTTCCCATGTTTCATGGTAACGACCTTGTCTTCACCCTTCACATGTTCCATGGTAACAACCTAGTCTTCACTTTTCTTATGTTTTCATCTGTAACAAACTGATTTGTGTATATCAAATTTCTCATGTCAATAGTCAAGTCCCTTCTTTCATATGCAACTACAAACTTACATTTTCCATGGGACTAACAATAACAATGTTATCCTCATTTTCCATATGGTTCATAGTAATGATTATCTTTCATTTCCTATACGATATAGGGGTGGAAATAACCCATTGCCCGACGTCTGAGTCCAGTGTTTTTTTCTGTCGGGCAAGCAAATTTGTACATCACACTGTACCGGTGTCCAGTTGACTTTCCAATGTTAATTATGTTGTTTATTTAAAAAATCAACAAGAAAACGGCCGGTATAGTGGAAAAAATATCAGGGCAAGTGATTTTACATGTGCCACTGTACCGGAGTACACTAGCAATTTTAAAGTTATTTCCACCCCTGCGATACATGATAGCAGTACTCTAACATATGATCCATAATATCCGTTATCTTGTCATTTCCTATACTTCATGTGAACAATTTATCTACATTAAATCTCATTCTTCATTTGCTATATATCTACATGGCAAATTCACCAGCAGTAGCCACCCTGTCCTCCTTCTGTAGGTTCATAGCCTGGTTGATACTGAAGGACAGAACAACACAGAGTTGGAGGTCCGCGTCCTGGAAGTGTGGGATCAGCTCTACCAAGGCTGGTTTGCCAAGGTCAGGAATCACTCACTCACTTTGTTATGACTGCATGGGGATATCTGCAAGCTTCATAGCAAACCAGTTTGTCAGATTCAGTTTTGAGCATATTTTCTTATTTAATTTCTATGATTATGTTCGAAAATATGTTTTCATAGTGAATTGTTATATACCTTTTATGTTTTGCCTTTGATCATTCCTTTGCATAAAAGTTTGCTTCCTGTTTCTTTGTATCAGCATTGTCCATATGAAGGAATCGTAATAAAATACTGAATAATATGATGAAATTTTTGAGAAACATATATCAATTTGTTGGTAGCCTTTGGCAAATGTATTTTTTCTCTATCTTCAGGACATTTAACTGAATCAACAAAAATCCCTCACAGATTTTATACTTCTTGCACTTTGTCACTGATTAGTGTTACCATGGTTACCTTGTTGGAGACAATAAGTTAATTTCTTGGATTTTTTTTTTTCAAATTTCTTGATCTGAGAAGCATGTGTATATTGTAATTTTATTTGTCTAATTTCTATTTTCATTATTTTCCTTAATTATATATATCTTTGTTTGAATAATTTTCCTGTATCTTGTAGTGCTGATATAATCAAACTTTTTTTAAGTTATATTTGAAATTATATTTGGTAATAGTCTCCATAGTAATCCTTTACCAACACAAGTCATTACCATGGTTACATGATGTTATTATGCACAGAATTCTAGCCAATCACAAGCCTCTTGGAGTGTATTCCTCTCTGGGATAAAGGATTTGCCTATCTACTATAACCTCCCCACGAAGGTAGAAGTATTGCCTCCCGTCCCCATCAGTATTTCTCTTGGTGGTGGCAGTATGCTGTGGTTGATGCATCGCTGATGTGGAGGTTGTACCGCATGGGATTATGGGATAGGTTGGAAGTGGAATCGTGGGCCGATTTCCTCAAATGATTGATTAAATTTGGTGCCATTAAGGCACAAACTATTTTTGAGTTTGTTGTATGAGATTCTAATGCCAATCTGTGCCAATTTTTCTTTGACCAATTAAGACAATATTTGAAAAGTTTCACGAAGGTAATTGTGATTATTACCTGATATATCTGTTAGGTTTTGGGGACCATTTGATATTCAGGGACATGGAGCTTAGAATTGTTATTTATTAAGTGATATATTTTTGTGGTTAAAATTGTTCTCTGGGGAAACATTTTGGATGTCCCAAAAAGAGAATTGTTGTAATTCCTTAAGGAATTGTTAGTCTGTCCTGTTATGATAAAATATTCATACACTATTCATGCTATAGTCATACAATACAATTAACATGTGAAAGTTGTTTAAATTTAATTGTTTAAATAAAATAGAAACAGTTGGTTTGGAGGAAACAGCAACACAGATCGCTACAATAGTGCATAAAATTAGGTTTGCTTGTTTTATATCATATGATGAAACATTTCTTAATTTACATTTGAGGAAATTAGTTAAACTGTTATGGGTGGGCATCCTCGATAATCTCCAGGGTATACGTTCCGATAAATCTCCATTATACCCTGGATGCATCTACGTCTCGAGCTGATGATTTTATTACCTCCCTTTGCTGGCTCCGCATTCTCACAGTAGCCAATCAGATAAGCCGCCGTTAGAACCGAGCATGCCACTATCAACAAAGATAGCGGTCGCAGCCCCGAAAGTTTGTTCGCAGTGCGACTCAGATTTTGGGGAAAAACATACAGACAAATTGACAGGTCTGAAATCTTAAAAAATATACGCAAGAATTCTTTCTACCTCTTTCAGAGTACTTCTGCAACAATATATTATTGTGTTGCCAAGTTTAATCGGTTAGATAATTTAAAAAGCGAAATTGGTACGCTCAACTTCCCAGCGTAGACACCTGATTGGATAAATAGCCAACCAAGGGAGGTAATAAAATCATCGGCTCGAGCCTTAGATGCATCCAGGGTATAGTGGAGATTTATCGGAACGTATACCCTGGAGATTATCGAGGATGATGGGTAGGTTGTGTATGCCTTTTTGTATCCGTGTACATACGCTGCGTGAATTTGGATGTTCTGACTGTGTGGTACTTGTGCTTATCTTTTCTTCAACATGATGTGTCTGTGTCTTAATATCTAACTTCTACCCTATCACCACTGATAGGATAACCCTAAAGATAACCTGAAGATTACCCATGATAGATCCCACAATGTGATGGCCCATGGTAATCCACGGTAGATAGGTAATGAATACCAGATGCGGTGTGTTGTCATGTGCAAAGAGCACAGGTCGCAAAACAATTGAAGTTAAGCAGTGCTGGTCATGGAGAGTACTTGGGTAGGTGACCATCCTAAGAATTTTTAGGATTTCAATCCTGCCCCACAACAAAATACAGGTGACACATATGTGGTCTCACCTTAGGAAAATGGTGAAAAATATTGCCTCTGTTCACCAGCAGTGAATTCGGGCTACCAGTCAAATTGCCCCAGCTACAAAATGCCCCAGCAAATTTGGTCAAAATGCCCCGGACTTGGTCAAATTGCCTCCTTCTTTACAAAAGCATTAATAACATTCGCAATAATTGGTATTACAGTGTTGTCTATATTTGAATATTCCTTTGCTCTAATGAGTTTACTAATGGAACATTTATCAGAAATATTATTTCCTAATAACATTATATGAAGAATATAATTTCAAAGTTGACAAAAAGTATGCATTTATGGCATATATGTCATCAATTTAAATAAATTTGGACTTTTGACTACCCCCGTGTGGCAATTTGACCAAATTTGCGGGGGAATTTTGTAGCTGGGGTAATTTATCTGGTATCTGTGAAGGGGTACCCAGTGGGATGAGGTTGTCTTATTATTGTTTACCTTCCAGCGCCTCACAGGCAGCTTGGGTTGTAGGGCACACTGATCCACTGACCGAGGCATTAACGTTAGTGCTTTGAGCATACATCTTGTGTATAGAAGCACACACTTTACTATTTTATATGTCAGGGGAGATCACTCTCAGTCATTACTGTAACTATCTGTATGGGAGTAGTACTGTATTCTACATGAATATTGTCGAATATTGTTGACACCACCATATATGAACACTGTATGCAATCTTAAATACAACTCAGCAATCTAATCAAAGGATATTCGAACATGTTCCCCCTGTAACAGTGAAATACATAAATCTCTGTGGTATATTTTCTACATGTAATTTTCAGTTGTTTTTTTTATTTCATTGTGAACTGAATGCTTATTTAACCAGGATACCGTTGTACAAAGCAACAAGCTAAGACTACCTTAAGCCTGTGTTAAGGTATGGGAGTTACGATCACCTTAGCGCTAAGACTACCTTAAGTCTGTGTTAAGGTATGGGAGTTGCGATCACCTTAGTGCTAAGACTACCTTAAGTCTGTGTTAAGGTATGAGAGTTACGGTCACCTTAGTGCTAAGACTACCTTAAGTCTGTGTTAAGGTATGGGAGTTACGATCACCCTAGCGCTAAGACTACCTTAAGTCTGTGTTAAGGTATGGGAGTTACGGTCACCTTAGCACTAAGACTGCCTTAAGTCTGTGTTAAGGTATGGGAGTTACGATTACCTTAGTGCTAAGTCTACCTTAAGTCTGTGTTAAGGTATGGGAGTTACGATCACCTCAGCCCTAAGACTACCTTAAGTCTGTGTTAAGGTATGGGAGTTGCGGTCACCTTAGCTCTAAGACTGCCTTAAGTCTGTGTTAAGGTATGGGAGTTACGATCACCTTAGTGCTAAGTCTACCTTAAGTCTGTGTTAAGGTATGGGAGTTACGATCACCTCAGCGCTAAGACTACCTTAAGTCTGTGTAAAGGTATGGGAGTTACGATCACCTCAGCGCTAAGACTGCCTTAAGTCTGTGTTAAGGTATGGGAGTTACGATCACCTTAGTGCTAAGACTACCTAAAGTCTGTGTTAAGGTATGGGAGTTACGATCACCTCAACACTAAGACTACCTTAAGTCTGTGTTAAGGTATGGGAGTTACGATCACCTTAGTGCTAAGTCTACCTTAAGTCTGTGTTAAGGTATGGGAGTTACGATCACCTCAGCACTAAGACTACCTTAAGTCTGTGTTAAGGTATGGGAGTTACGATCACCTTAGCCCTAAGACTACCTTATGTCTGTGTTAAGGTATGGGAGTTACGATCACCTCAGCGCTAAGACTACCTTAAGTCTTTGTTAAGGTATGGGAGTTATGATCACCTTAGCGCTAAGACTACTTTAAGTCTGTGTTAAGGTATGGGAGTTACGACCACCTTAGCTCTAAGACTACCTTAAGTCTGTGTAAAGTATGGGAGTTACGATCACCTCAGCGCTAAGACTACCTTAAGTCTGTGTTAAGGTATGGGAGTTACGATCACCTTAGTGCTAAGACTACCTAAAGTCTGTGTTAAGGTATGGGAGTTACGATCACCTTAGGGCTAAAACTACCTTAAGTCTGTGTTAAGGTATGGGAGTTACGATCACCTCAGCACGCTTTGTACAACAGGCATCAGTCATACAACCATTAACATGATTTCTCCCAAGCATTTTCATTTTCCTTGTTTTGTAACATATATTGTCAATGAGGTGACATGGTAGCCTTCATGTTGCAGTATTCATTTGTCACATTGAAAAACCAGGTTACATTCTTCACAACCTTCTGTGACACTGCTGGAATATATCTATTAAAGAGTGATGTAAAATCATAATCACTCTATTGTCATATCTATTTTATTTTTCGGTCTTTCTGTTTGTCTTTTATCCTCATTTTCCTTTCTTTCTTTCTCTTTATTTCTGATCAGTTAACATCTTTTCTTGCAATTACTAACACTGAGATATGCTAAATGATGAGAACAGAGTTGCCTCCCTTAGACATTTGTGGATCCTGTGGTCATAGGGTTGGGTTCCTTTCCTAGGTTTGACTTGATTCTGGTTCTGAATCGAGATCTTAAGTGTACCAAACTTCTTTAGGGAGTTATCTAGTGTCCAGGTTCATATTTGTAACATTTAGCAGCCTATTATTACACGCATAGCTTGCTGGGGTATTATCAAGACATTCACAACATGTTTACTTCAAAGAGGTTATCATTTGCTTGAAACTTAACTGAACCAACTATTTTCATCCAAGAGTAGCATAAGGTCAAGAGGAATGTACCATAAATATTCTGACTGCTGATACATTGTCATGGTACAGTTTGCGATAAAGTTATGATTTACAAGTGTATCATGATACTAACTATACCTTTTATGCTAACAGCTCTGATGGTAAAATATTTCATTCTATATGTGGACTATGGTAAACCAGTGTTAAAGTATAGACGTTGTGGTCAGTTTTCAGCATGTTCTAGATTATCGTTCCCGCATCAATACAGTCGTTCATGTTCCTGCTTCTGTATTCCAGAACACCACCCAAGTGGCACGGCCTAGTTCCCCCGGGTTTCCGGACGTCACCAACATGACTGCCATGTGGGAAATGGTATCCCAGGGCAACGGATTGTTCAACGTGGGCAGTCTTGTGTCTTTCGCGCAGGATAATGTTGGCACTTTTATGTCTGTGAGTTGACAATGGACTTCAATATACACAGAATTGATACACACTGAAGGGGGCAGTTAAAACTTGACTTGACCTTATGTCGGTGGTCTGTGTCCATTCGTCTGTTAACAGTGACCCTTACAATCATGTCCTTCATCACCCAATATCAATATTATACCAGGGCTCCAGATAAGGGCCGTATCGGCGTCTGTACGGATAACAAGTATACATATATACATACGGTAGGAAATAATTTAGAAAACGTGGAACATACGCACCACAGCAATGGTGTACGGTCTTAGAATCATTTATAGACGTATTTATCTAAAGAAGTATTGTTTTATTGCTTATTGACCTGTTTACACAAGAGTAGCAATGTTATGTGCATATATGAAATGAAACACAAGATTACCGATACTTCATTAAATTCCATTCAATACTCTAAATGTACTCTTAAGTTTTTCCAGTACTCCTATATTGAACAGATAAGGAGTATGTACTCCTGATGTTGAAAAATTATCAGAAGCCCTGTTATATATACACATCACTATCACTGTCATTGTCTACAACAAATACCCTTTATATGAGGAAACCTTTGTTTAAACGTTTTGGGAACATCGGAAAATATTTTTTGATCAAGCAGAATTGCTTTGATATAGCCAGGGTATAGGTGCTAGATGGCTTCAGTTATATATTTCTAGGATTGTAATACAAGATTTATTATTTTGTATGTTGCATCAATAACACAATCCATTAAATGATCGTGTTGTCCTGCATTGTCAGCACTGTGGTCTAATGTCTGCACTCTTTTTGTATCGACCCGTGAAGGTCCGGGTTAGAATATTGATCTTCGGCAACCCATGCTTGTCGTAAGAGGCGACTAACGGGATCGGGTGGTCAGGCTCGCTGACTTGGTTGACACATGTCATCGGTTCCCAGTTACGCAGATCGATGCTCATGCTTTTGATCACTGGATTGTCTGGTCCAGACTCGATTATTTACAGACAGCCGCCATATAGCTGGAATATTGCTGAGTGTGGCGTAAAACTAAACTCACTCACTCTTTTGTATCAAAATATGGATGGCTTAGTACATGTTTAATGGCCTCAGAACATATGAATGTTTAATGACATTTCACTTCTCAACTAATATCTGCATTGTCCATGGTGACTGTATTTAGGTCTTCGAATCTCTCTGGCTGGTGATCAAGTCCAACATGGACCTTATGATGAGCATCGTCACCGCCATCTTGTCCATGGTTCTTGGAGGAGGAACAGCCATCTTGAATTTCATCATCTCAGCTGTGAGTTTGAAGTATTTTCTAATAAACACTGACTGAATTAGAGACAAGGGCCATGTTCTAAATGCAACACCGATACTTCTGATCATCGACACCCCTAGTGAACCAGAAACTCATGTCAGTGTGTAGGTCAAGGTGTGGAATTAGGCCCAACATTGTTGCAAATCTTTTCGGTGGACCAGTGGATAGAGGGTCTGCCTGTAGACTGAAAGCCAGGATGATCAATCCCCTGATCATGTTATAGTATAAATTTCTTAAAGATAGTACCAGTGGTTGCACATAGCCATAAGGGATACAGCACAATATTGGGATATCTATGATGAACTGTTTTATTACATCTTATCAAGCCAGCATTATGACGGTATATCTGTCAAGTCCATGCAGCCACATGTTTGCATCGCATGTGCACATCCCCGACCCTCTAGAGGTTGGGCCAGCATTATATATCTGTCACAGTCCATGCACATCGCCAGAGGTTGGGCCAGCATATATATGCAGCCACATATATGCACGTATATATGTGCATCAGTTCTGTGTAACTTATCAATGTAATAAATAACCAACATCTGCTGAATTACTAATGATAGATGTGTGATTGTTCCAGATCTTGTTTCTGACGACCCTGTTCTACCTGCTGGCGTCGAGCGGTAACCAGTACAAACCCCTGGAGTGGTTCTCCAGCATGAGCCCCGCAGGATCCCAGGCAGGGGGCAGCAAGATGGGCGGGGCTGTAGAGGAAGCAATCAGGTAGATATCACAGGCTCTCAGGAGGGGGTAGCAAGATGGGTGGGGTAGTAGAGGAGGCAATCAGGTAGATGTCACAGGCTCCCAGGCAGGGGGCAGCAAGATGGGCGGGGCTGTAGAGGAGGCAATCAGGTAGATATCACAGGCTCCCAGGCAGGGGGCAGCAAGATGGGCGGGGCTGTAGAGGAGGCAATCAGGTAGATATCACAGGCTCCCAGGCAGGGGGCAGCAAGATGGGTGGTGCTGTAGAGGAGGCAATCAGGTAGATGTCACAGGCTCCCAGGCAGGGGGCAGCAAGATGGGCGGGGCTGTAGAGGAGGCAATCAGGTAGATATCACAGGCTCTCAGGAGGGGGTAGCAAGATGGGTGGGGGTGGTAGAGGAGGCAATCAGGTAGATATCACAGGCTCCCAGGAGGGGCAGCAAGATAGAAGAAGGTGCTTGCTTAGAGGAGGCAATAAGGTAGATATCACAGGCTCTCAGGATGTGGGCGAAGATCTGGGTGCGGCAATGTTTCTTCCAGGAGAAGTCACCATCTTGTAAACCAAATAGCGATTGGAGGTCTGGATAAGAAATGGTCTTCAGTCAACCTATGCTTGTCAATCACTAGATTGACTCGATTATTGACAGATCGTGATTGGATGGTTAGGCGTTAACTAACTTGGATACATATATGATTATATTTTGAACAGGTACAACATGTTTTGTAACTATAAAACCAAACATGTCCGATTACTGTTTTGACTCGCCCCGATTATGTACTGTTGTAATTTTGCTGACTGGCGACAATCAGCATTCACTCACTAACCCTCAGGTTGAAAACTACACAAAGGCATTGTGATTTAAATTAGTGTTGTCCTAAACATTCAAATTGTTACAACCAATGATAGCTACGTTTTCCCTTCCAGTGGAGTGTTCATGGCTTCACTGAAGATGGCTTCCTTCTATGGCTTGTTCACCTGGCTCACACACCTGGTATTTGGAGTTAACATCGTCTTCATACCGTCAGGTGAGACAACACTGTTGTCATGGATACAAGTTCTTCGTGCTTGCATTAAATCTGAGATTTTTCTAGAATTGTTAAAAGTATCCCTGGCAAGCAGCATTAAAAAAATTGCATTCTGTTCAAAATTCGATTTTTGTAAAACTCATGCACCTTGTTCATAAGTGTCAGAATCTTGGATGTGACCTAGAACCCCATTTGACCTCAACTCATTGGTTTTCACTGATATTGCTTAGCCATCCTCAATGGTCAGCTAAACCTGTGAAGGTCCGGGTTAGAATATTGATCTTCAGTAACCCATGCTTGTTGTAAGAGGCAACAAACGGGATCGGGTGGTCAGGCTCGCTGACTTGGTTGACACATGTCATCAGTTCCCCATTGTGCAGATCGATGCTCATGCTGTTGATCACTGGATTGTCTGGTCTAGACTTGATTATTTACAGACCACCACCACATAGCTGGAATATTCCTGAGTGTGGCGTAAAACTAAACCAATTAACTCCCTCACTCAATGGTCAGCTACAGTATACACCATCATGTCCATGAAATATGGAACATCCTGTTGAAGTTCTGGTTGTCATCTTCAGCTCTGGCAGCCATCTTTGGTGCCATCCCATTTGTCGGCACCTACTGGGCTGCCTTCCCTGCGATGCTGGAGCTGTGGCTGGGTCAAGGTCAAGGTCTCTTGGCGATCTTACTCTTCATCGTGCACATGCTGCCAGCCTATGTTGTAGACACCGCCATCTATAGTGAGATCAAGGGGTGAGAGTAATTTTCAATCTGCTTAGAAAATATATGCCTTGGTGAAGCTTTGGATTAAACTTTTGTGACATATTTTTAGATCTGCAAATTTCTCCTATTTATTTAACATTCAACAATATTTTCGGGTTTGGTTAAACGTTGGTTAGACGTTTGTAAAAAATGGAGGAGGCGATATTTAGAAATACTTTAGACAATTTTACTGTTTTGTGACTTATTATCATTACGGCATTCTGACCAAAACAAACTGAAGGGAATACACTAAGCACTGTCTACCATCAGTAGGCAATGGCAGGTGCTTGGGGACAATATATTGATGGGAGCTTGGTAATTTGGTCATGTGGAGATGAAAATTAGATAGTACAATTATTATTATTTTCTGGACTTCTGTTTTAGTTCAGTCAATTATTTCTGTTTTTCAACATTTCAACCCTTGACTTTCAATTTGTGAATTCAGCTTCTTAGATAGTAGAGGTGCATTTTGTTATTTGGCATTTTAAATGGTAAGAGCTAGTTAGAGCAAGTAGGCTTAGAGTACATGCTGGGTGGTAGATTCCCTGATCTCTGTTAGTTCTGATGCCATCATGACAAGGCTGGAATAGAACTTATTCCCTCACTCATGCCATGTGTGTGTTTTGTTCAGCGGCCACCCGTTCATGACCGGCTTGGCCATCGCTGGAGGAATGTACTGCCTGGGTCTAGAGGGCGCCATTATCGGCCCCATTGTGCTGTGCTTCCTGGTCGTCATCGTCAACATCTACGGCACCATGATGCAGCCTGACCCCACCACTCCACAGGGCGGACCACGTAAGTTCAAGGGTCACTTCGGGTTCGCCACTTGCACTTTGGGTGTGTGTCATGGCATTGGTGCTTGAACAAACCCCATTCCGCAGAATTCCTATTCCTGCAACATTTTGATATTAATAGAAAGATATTGTCTTCATGTAAATAATAATGTTTATGAATGAAGTTAACAATGTTGGTATCCAAGGTTACTGCATGATATATTAGTACTACAATAACAGCTACTAATGTATGCCCCACTAAACACTGTGACACTGTGTGTGATTTACATTAAACTGTATGCCAACACTACGTTCACATTTTCAGTTCTAGGACTAACAGCCATTTTAGAGTGAGAATGTAAGACTTAATCATGCACTCTGAAGTCAGAGTCAGACATAGACATATCAGAATCACGAGATCAAAGAATACGCAGGAAAATCTAACTTATACACTGTGATCAACATATGTTCTTGCTGTTTATCAAATTCCTATTGACAATTTTGCTATACTTGCTTAAGCCATTACATGATTGCCTATTCTATTGGGTGCAGTAAAAAGTTCAAAATGGCTGACAAAGCTGACATGGGAAGTTAATCTATAAACTTTGTTGAGATTAATCATTTTTTCTCAAGTCTGAAAATCAAAACTGGTTAAGTGTTTCCATCTGTGATAAAAAATGGTAATGTTGTTTGTCCTCTCAGAATGTTATTGAACTTAGAAGAGCAGATGCGATAATTTTAAACACTGATTCCTGGAAATGTGGTGAATCTTTTGGTAAAGCATATATTATAAAAATTATAAATTGTTAAAAACCCTGTAGTTTAAATTCATATATAAAAGGTAATATATTTCATCACGCTTAATTAGGATTACTTTTTCATTAAGCAATATGACTTATTTCATATCAGTAAAACCAGTATTGTGAAAGAAATTCGCTTTTGAATGACACTGCAGCCGAGCTTGTCTATGTCTGACTTCTAGATCTAGGATGCTGTATGTTGTCTGTTGATTGGTCTGTTATTGTGTTACTATGGTAACCTGGCATGGGAACCCCTAAAGTGTCTGGATTGAGAATGGTGTAGGAATAGTGAAGAAGTTCTTCAAGTAAAACAAATGTTACCCATGTAAACACTGCGTTGTTCAATATGTCAGTAGCCATGATTGTGTCTGTGTGTCTGTGTTTTCAATGTAGTTTCAAGTATTTATTTTTTAATTCATAAAAATAAAATTTATTGTAAATGTCAATACTTAGGGATTTCATGGTAAGGAACAGTATTAACCAGTTTCTATTCCACAAATGTATAAATGACCTTTAAAGAATTTTTTAGCTAAATAATTCAGTGAATATGGATCAAAAACTTAATTACCGAGGTCTGAATGTACTTGTGTTTTCGAAATGTAAAGATTGAGGCATGATATTAAAGGAACAATCATAATATATGCTTTCTTACATAAAATTTAAACACATATATATAATTATGAACAGCAATTTTGTATTCAGTTTTGGGGGGGGGCCAATTGCATTTCACATTAGGACAAAACAAATGATAATTTATCTGTCAGAAATCAACCTAATTATTTTCTAAGTAATAGAAAACTTACTGATATAACTACTTGGTCAAAAGGCTTATTCAGAGGGTCCACTGGAAACTGGAGTATCGGCTTTGAGAATCCATGTTGTCTGTGTATGAAGCCTTTGATTGAATAACATGTATACAACTGGAAATATGATTATGCTTTTTTAACATTATTTTGTAATTAGGAAAATATAGATGAGACAGTATACAGCTTTTTGTCTGTGACCAATACTATTTTGTCAAACATGTGATTAATTTGCTGCAGCTAAATCTGAAAATGTGTTTTGCATACCAGTAATGATAAAGTTTAATGGACACACACATATCACAAAAAGATATATTTCTATGGTTCTGTAAAGCATAATGGGAGTCTAATCATTTAGTTTATGTATAGAAGATATATATTTTGTGTCTAATGTTGTTGTTTATTAGATAATCAGATGGAATGTTTGTCAATATTTGACCTGTGTTTGTTTATATACCAGGAGTAGCATTTCGCCACCCAATGATTCAAAGCAGGAATGCTTCCCAGTGGAATGTTAAACGGTGAACTATACATATTAACCACTGGGCTTTATCCTTGCACATCAGGGTGCAGTTCCACAAAGTTATCTAGCGCTAAGATGATCAGAATTCCTTTAGATCTACATAAGCTGATGATCACTTTGTGGAGTGGAGCCCTGTGCGTAGATTACCCTATGTCCATAGCAGTCACATATACGTCACCGTCATCATCGATATTGTCATCACTGCTCGTCATCATGCATCCATGACACCTAGCCTACATTTCCAAGACCAGCTGATGATTATAGTGTCCCAAACAATCACCTATGGATTAAATTATGAACCATGTAGCTCTCCAGTTGTGTGAGGTGCGATTAAAATTGTATAATCTTTTCATATATTCTACCTCAAAAGACTTTTGATTTTACTCCTCTGTCTTAAATTTTAAATATTGAGTGGATGGCTTTTTAGCATGTTTAATATTTAGTGGCAAAGTACTTTGGTGTGATAAAAAACGAAAAATCACCCATCTTGCTGTTCTGTCAAAAAGGGAAGTAACTGTGGATGTGTGGACATATAAGAGTTATCTCCCTTTTCATTTCTTTGTTTTTTGTGGATGACTACAATTAAGTGCTACACAATGCTACATTTATGTTACCTGTAGTCCTATTCCCAGGATATAGATGTGACATGATAATTTCAGGGGTTCAAAAATCCCATCGCCCGACGCCCGGGACAAGTCAGTTTTCATTTCGGGCAATCAAATAATGGTATCTTACTTGTCCGTGGGCTACTAGATAATTTCCACTTATGGTTTCAAACTGCTTGGATTTAATTTCATATCTGCTCAAAATGTAGCTTTTAAATTTCACGAATGATGATAAAGTAGAGTTATCTTTCTTTGCTATTTATCACTTTTCAATAAATTGTCCAGTAAACATTAACATCAAATACCATGTTGATTTATTCTTTCATAATTACATCATCATGATTATGTCATAAAATCAGGGCAAGTGGAAAATTTGTCAGGACAAGTTACTTTCTTAAAGTCACTTGCCCTGTGGCAAGTGGCTTTTAAAATAATTTTGAACCCCTGAATAATGCTAGGTTTCATGGTTGGATGACACACAATTTGGACATCAGAGCTTGACTAAGGCTCACAAAATCCGACAAAGACAATCTGACATATGTTCTAGTATAAAGTATATATGGCTGATATGGTGTGTGAAGTCCCGCCTGTCTTCACCCGCTGTCTGTTCCTGCCTCCAGGGGTCACTGCTGTCTGCACGAAGTCATTGGATGCATATTGAAGTGCATCGTATATGTATTCATCACGTGTGTCCCGACCTAGACGGGGTCATGTTTCCTTTCCCTGCAGTATTGAATGTATTTAGTGTCCTGTGTCCGTGTAGACTATATAGGGATTGGTCATCTAGTATCTAGCATAATCCTGAAATAACTTAACTATCAGGGTCATATGATTGAGATGGTCATAAAAAAATGATTTTTTTTTTTGTAACTAGTGTTTTTGGTTCACAAGGGGAATTAAAGGGCCTAATCCTGAAAAATTTACTATCAGGGTGACAATATTTGGATGGGCATAAAAATAAAGACTTTTTGTGTAACTAGTATTTTTGTTCAAAAGGGGAATAGAAGGGCCATTGTCACTGAAAAATTTCTGGTCAAAATTTTTAAAACATATATCCTAAACATTTCACAATAAGTCTCATTGTTCATTGTTTTCTAACCTCAGATTATGATTCTACTGTTTAAAGGTGTAACACAAATTGTATCAACATTGTCGGAGGTCAGTTCAAAATGACCACATTAATGACACATCAACAGGGGTCATACATCTTGGGCACAAATAATTGATAATATAGATAAGAATTTCCCCTTATTTTATACCTGAATCTGTATTACCATGATTATATTACGTCTACGTAATGTATTGATATTGGATAAAACCTGAGAACAATTTTGGCAATTTCACATGATCATAAACATGTAACTTGTGTAATGCTGTGAACCTATCATCAGGAGTTTACGAGATCAGGGCACTAAAAACATCAAGTATATCAGCTTTGTAATATTAGATTTCCATTATAAGGGGAGTGTTCAAACTAGAAGTGACTTGTACAATCTATGTCATCTACACCTACACTCTGTGTCCCTTGATGTTTGATGTAGATACTAACATTCCTTTCAGGATATGGTATGAGGTTCACCATCATTATTGTCACTGATTCATCACCTGAAACATGTATATCATTATTTATGGTCAAGTAGCCTGAGGCACTGAAATGGTCTTTGCAGAGTTGTGGCCCTTTGTTGGCGTTTAACTTTAATAACTATTGTCATCACCATACTCACTGGTTTCACCAAAGTGGAAAAATATGTTGTTGGTTACTTTAAGTCATGAAATCAATGATTCACCAAATTAATGCAAGTGTCAGCTTGTTGCTAAATTGTCATGAAATAAATATGAGTAGACTTTAATAATTATCCTAATCCTCCACAGATTTACATAACTTTGTATGGGTTGATAGTAGTTTGATTGAATAGTATCATTTGCTATCGGCACAAAATTAACTTTAACTGCCTGATGTGATCAAACTTCTGTGAAATTAAAAGGAACTAATTTCAAATTTAATTGGGTCATCAACAAAGATTGTTGTTTCTGGACATATTTACTGCCAGGTTGATCAGTGTTTTGGTCGTAATTAGAAGATTATTTTACAAAGACATCATCGTACATGGTTGGCGACCATCATAACTACTTGATCGTCTTGTGCAAACATTGCAACCACTGCAACTGAACTTTGTGATATGCACTGTCTGAAGTTATCACACGATCTAACATTGGTTAGGCTGTGTAGGTTGTTGTTCCGTCAGTTATCACACGATCTAACAGTGGTTAGGCTGTGTAGGTTGTTGTTCCGTCAGTTATCACACGATCTAACATTGGTTAGGCTGTGTAGGTTGTTGTTCCGTCAGTTATCACACGATCTAACAGTGGTTAGGCTGTGTAGGTTGTTGTTCCGTCAGTTATCACACGATCTAACATTGGTTAGGCTGTGTAGGTTGTTGTTCCGTCAGTTATCACACGATCTAACATTGGTTAGGCTGTGTAGGTTGTTGTTCCGTCAGTTATCACACGATCTAACAGTGGTTAGGCTGTGTAGGTTGTTGTTCCGTCAGTTATCACACGATCTAACAGTGGTTAGGCTGTGTAGGTTGTTGTTCCGTCAGTTATCACACGATCTAACAGTGGTTAGGCTGTGTAGGTTGTTGTTCCGTCAGTTATCACACGATCTAACAGTGGTTAGGCTGTGTAGGTTGTTGTTCCGTCAGTGTGAAAATATACCCCAAAATGCCCTGATTGAAATGTGTCACTTGCATTTTTAACATTAATTTCATGATTTATAGTATACTCCGTCCGTGAGTTGTGTTGTAAGATTGTCAGCTTGTTGTGAGGGAGGCTTTAAGTGATGCAGGTGTTAGATGGTAAGGGGTTCACTTTGGTGAAACATATGAGCTTGGGACAGTAACGACAAACCAGGAAATATACAAACCCATTAACAAAGTTTCTGGCTGCTTCAAAGATGCAGCTGAACACATTTCAGTGCCTTAGACGATTACACCTTCATGACCCTGATGCTTTCAGCACAGTAGATGATCATTTAGCAGATATATTTATAATGTCATTGTATAGGTAGGCTATTATAGCATCTGCTTCAATCATGCCACCGGTACATCACATAGCTAGTTCTCAGTCATGTTTTATTCCTCATATACCATATTTCCTCCATAAGACGCACAGGTGTCTATAACTTCACGCAAGCTGTTGACGAGTTGTCTTTTAGTGACTGGTGTCTGTTTACTTCTGGCACAGTTGCAAATCACTAAGTTTATGGGTCTAATAACACGCAATATCTTAATGTGATAAGGATAATTAACTGCACCAAATGATGGATCAGGCCTCTTTTTAGAAACACAAATTCTTTTGGACAGACTGACACAGTGTCAGTGAGAGCCATCATATAACGGAGGCATCAAATAGAGGAAATCCTGGTATGCATATGTACTTATCTGAATTTTCTGAAGGTGTCAGCTCTGAAATTTTTATGCATACGAGTAACTCACTATCTGAATTAATTCTGTCAGTACTGAGCTCTGAAAGACCTCCAGGATCAATTCATGAGAAAATTTTATCTGTAATTACTTGTTTCGAGTAGCTTCTTTTTATTACAAATTGTCTGCTTTATTTTTTAAGAACTTAACTAAATGGAAGTTTGCAATACAAAAGTTGACCCAATTGTAATTTGTTATTTTTTCTTATTATTTGTTTTAAGTCTTAATGGGTTGAAAGTTAGGATTATGTTTTTACATATTTAATGTATGAAAGTAAACTTGATTCGAATCTACCATGTGACTTCATTTGGCCACTCCGTTGGTGTTTAACAACTTTTTCCTGTGAATCTGACATTTTGAGTGGCATGGCGTGCACTTTAAAAATATGATATTCCATGTTTGATAGGAATATCTGGGGAAAAGCTGGGTGGAAAAATGTGGAAAAGTATTTTAACAACCCTGATGCACAAAGGAATTAATATTTTCATTTTCATCACTTTATGATGAGCGATAATTATGAAATTATTAATGTATTGCAAGGGATTCTGTGAAATTTGATTGGTTTACCCAGCAGTTTTTACAGGTTTTATTTGGTAAACAGTTTAGGCCACACCCACTAATGCACTACAATTTCCGATTGTCTGATCTCAGAATGGGAAAGGCTTGTTTTGCAGTATTGGACTAAACTGCTTCCACATTATTGTCTTCGGTTTTTAAATGTGAATGATTAAAATAGCAGGTCTATTTTTCTGGTGACCTAAATATTTATAACAGTTGACTTCATTATGTCTTCACGTTTGTGGATTAACAAAAATTAAAAGAACTGCTTGTATATGTATATATTCGATGTAGATTTACCTTCATAAGCGTAAAACATTGAAGTCAATTAAATGTCTTCTGTATCTAACACCATGTCTTGAAGCAAACAGTAATGAATAATGTTAAAAATGGTGGAAGATAAACATAAAAATTTGTGAATCCATGAATTTCGCTAACAATGCCGGCCATGATATCTGAATTATACTACCCATCAAAAGTTTAGACTCTCTTGAAGCACTCACTATATGTTATGTTATATATGTGGTTACATCTAAGATGAATTTCTCCACCAACTCAGGGGAACCAATTGAAAACCTTATGCAGATGAATTGCACCAGGATCATGCATCAAATTGCTGAAATGCATGTGCATATGTCATGCATGTGAACAGCTGTGTTTTGGTGTAAAGTTTTGTTAAGAATTCGCCACAGATTTTTATCATTTACTGAACTCATGACAATAATCTTTTCAATGTTACGAATATGTTGTACAGTACATCAGTTCATGACTAAACAGCACCTTTAAACAGTATGGAATAGTTTGTGAAAACTAGTTTAGAACCATTGACTGAAGTAAGTGGCTACATTTACACTAGTGAGTCTAAACTTTTGATGGGTAGTATATGTAACCATTTTTCGCGCTTATGAAGTCTTTTATGAAAGATTAAAGAATTTATACTATCCTGCATTATTTATTAACTGTACCTCCTGATGTCACTCATTTATCATACACCAACTCCACTTTTATTGGGATATTTGATCTTTCCTTAAATCTCAAAACCGATGTTCATAATTAATTATAAATGGAATGATACATGTGATTATCCCTGTTAAACTGTGAGTGGTATACTTCACTCACCTCATCACACTTCACTGATCATAATGTTCACTATAATCATAAAGATTCAGGTTCAAGAAATATATTAGAAGTATATTATTTCATGTCTTTTACATATTATAAAGATGTTCATACTTACTTACTTTCAGCTAGATATCTGATATCTGATGTTACATCTTACATTTCAGCATTCTCTAAAGACATATGAATTAGCATATCTGTTTAAAGAAATCTGGTATCTTTTTGTTATTTTAAAGAAATATATTTAATATATCTGTTTAAATAAATCTATATTATTGTACAGGTTTCTTACAATGGCTATCATTCATGCACAATTTCACAATGCTATCGTCACAATTTGTCTGTGTTAAATTGTTGTAGTTTCGGCTCTTATGACATTAAGATTATCATAGTTTTGGCTCTAATGATATTAAGACCACTGAAACGGTCCATGGTTTGATTTTAGACAACATAATCACTTATGCATCTAAAAATTACTTGTTTATCCCATTGCAGGTCGGTCAGTTCGGACACAGTGAAGCTCTCCTGAGGTCAAGGTCATGTAGGACGTTAATGGAGGAAGAATCTTCGGGTCAAGCAACTGACTTGAAATGCATGTTGTGACCTTGTCGTGGTAATAATACACCTGTAGAAATCCGGTGGTGCACTGCAGACTGTTTGAATAACTTTTGTTATGACATTTTGATTACCTCAAGCATGACGCAGCTGCCTCCAGCACTGGATGGAATACTTGTCAGATGACGTTTATATCTGTTTACTATTTTGGGCATAATTGATACTTTTTACTATTAGTATGAATGGCGTTAAACATGATAAATGGGTTGTGTATTGTTTCAGATTTGCATTTGATATTTTGTGTATGTATGTTCCGAATACTTAATATTGGTTAAGTCTTTACTTTTTGATTTATTCCTCTGTGTTTTTTTTGGGAAGTGTTTAATAACTTTTGAGTATTACGACTTGGAATTTGCTGTTAAACATAGATATAGAGGTACCGTATATCACTGTTGATAAAACCAAACAACAGTATAATTTACATACAGAAATCTATAGTGCAAACAAGGAATTTGTATACGATGGAAGTTTTTATAGCAAATTAGTTCTTGGAACAGTTATTCGAATGAAATGCAAATATTTAATATGAAACAATATCAAGGTGGCTATCAGACTCCAATTGACATCACCAGTGGATGTCCCCAATGGAATCTGAAAGTGATGCAGCCAGGAAAACTGTGAGATCATCTACCCTGTTCTTAAGGCAGCCCTGGGGCCATGGGGTAGCCTAGTGGTTAAAGCGTTGGCGCGTTCCCCACATGGGTACAATGTGTGAAGCCCACTTCTGCTGATATTGATATTGCTGGAATATTGCTAAAAGTGGCGTAAAACTAAACTCACTCCTGTTTTTCATGGTTTCACACCACATTCTTTTATGTACAGGGGCGGTGGGGTAGCCTAGTGGTTAAAGCGTTGGCTCGTCACGCCGAAGACCCGGTTCGAATCCCCACATGGGTACAATGTGTGAAGCCCATTTCTGGTGTCCCCTGCCATGATATTGCTGGAATATTGCTAAAAGCTGTGTAAAACCAAACTCAGTCACTTAAGGCAGCCCTAATTCCAAGTCCTCTAATTCTAGGTACAAAAACCTGCCTTAAACACAACAATAAACGGTACTTTCAAGTAGTTAAATATTTTTATGAGTTTTTCTGAGTGTATGATAGTTTGTAGTGGAACCCTGTTGATAGTGGTTTTATCGATCTCTGCAGTGCACCAGATGTGTAAGAGATAACTAACACGGCCATCACAGTCTAATGTGAGGTCATTTGCTGATGAAGTTAATCTGTTGAAGAAATAATTCTGTCAGTCCTTCATTGGTATTTTTAAAACACTAAACTTGAATATATGTATGGTTATATAACCCCATTGCTTGTGCAGTCTATATATATATATATAAATCTACCAGAGTGGCAGAGATTTTCACATGATGCACAGACATGCCTGACATCTGTCTGTATGATATTTATTTAACTGTAAGTTCTATTTTTGCAGCATGACATAACTCAGGCAATGTGAAGGTTGTTTAATTGCACAGCTTTGATGAACTTCTGTGCATATATATTATTGTCTGGGTGACCTTGAGTGTGAGCCTCACAGTCCCGGTAAACTATATCAGGTCTCCATGGAAACCTGACAGCTACACTTGTCCATTACCAGTTTTTCAATTATTCCGGTATCAATATGCTTGTAAAGCCTCAAAGGAAGAGATTTAGTACAATACATTTTGCATGCTTTGAAATATAAAGTCAATCAGCACTTGGCATGATACATTAAGGTGAAATTATATCTTCTTTGATTATTACACTCTAAGTACTATTTCCCTCAGAACTATTTGTGCTTCTGAATGATTGCATTACAAAAGCTGAATTTCTGGTACATGTAATTCAGTAGAATATGATGCAAACATTTACAATATATTATAGTTATACTGCTAATTTTCCATCTAGAACTTGGAAACATGCTAAAACATGGGAGAAATACAGGTTGAGTATTAACGTAAGTGAAACCATTTTTATTATGTTCTCTAAGAGACAGTCTTATTTTGTATCAGTGTTCTTGTATTCTTACATTTTCTTACTCTGGTTTGTCATACATTTTTATCTAGTCTTGTGTGCAATAATCTGTTTTTTTGTTACTGATAAGCACATAAACTGCTTGAACATGTTTGGAAAATAGTTTTGGAGAAAAATAATTTGCATAATACTCATTCAGGTGTTGTGTTCAGTAAACAATATTTGTTACTTTTAGTTCTAGGCCAGAGCTGTATGTTGTACAGTTTGGAAAGCAGACATATCTCATTACTTTTTTGTTTTTATTCTTACGCTGGTGGATTTGTTATTTTGGCCTTTCCTTTATTTGAAACTTTGTGCAATTGTAGTTTTTATACATATCTTCCAGTCATGTACACGTCATGTACTTTTAACTAGTCATAAGAAAGCTAGGACCAAAAAAATCTTTAAGTTAGCACAAGGAAGTTCAAAAAAAATTTTCTTTTCCATATGGAGTTAGTGATGGCATTACTTTTACTACCAATAGCTGTAGGAACATTTTAATGCACACACGTGTGAGTGTCACAGATTTATTGTCAACACGAGGTATTTCAAACTGATGTCAAAAAGAGGAAAGTGTAAGTGATTCACTAAGTCAATCTCTTTTTAAAGTTGTCAACATTCAACAATCATTTGATTATGACCAATCCAAAACCACAAATATTGCAGCATGAATTTTTAAATTCATGTAAATTCCTACTAAATATTCAGAAATGAGATCGGCTCAGATCGCCACATAATCTGACAATGTATGTGATGGTTTATTGATGATGTGATCAAGACATATCAATTGTTTGTTTAGATTGCTGTTACAGCAAATTGCATTCTTTCCTAAGTCAACACATCGATGAGATCTGAATTCAAATATCTTAAGATGTGAATTGTTTTTAATGTGTTTGTTTGTGCTGTCCTAACAAAATCCTGTACTTTATTCTGTCAGTAACTGTTTTTTTTTACATAAGTCTTAAATGTAAATGTCATGTAAATAGAGGAACATATTTTCTCATGATCTGTTATCACCTCATCGCCTTCACGTCCTCCGTCCCGAGCCTGCCACACTGACAGTCTTGTGTACACGATGTCCCTTAGTTCTGGCCACACAGTCCAGTGTTCCTGTCCCGAAATGTCACGGTCAAGTGAGGTCCAGTCAACGAGTCTGGTTGTGGTAGCACTCAGTAATCCAAGTCTCTAAATCCCTGGAGCTGCCATCAATCTTTTTACTCAACCCTCAAAACAAGCAAAGGTTGTTCATGACTGAATCAAAGCTGTTCTTCCAACAGGGCCTAAACAAGATACCAGTGCTGTCTGTTTCTGCTCTATGGATTCAAATCTAATAAAGCACTACAAAAGAGTCCTAAACATGAGCAGGTGAACTTTCTGTTACCAATGAAAATATTCTGCAATGTTCAACCTACATTATGGCTGCCTGTAAATATGGCCAGTCTAGGCAAACAAGTGGTTAATAGCATGAGCAACAGAAATCTTAGTAGCATCCAAACCTGATTAGAAGAGATAGCTAAATATTTTCAGGTTTTGAAGACTGAGGTTCTAACCAAACTATGGAAATCAGCCTGACAGCATTAAGTTGATCGGTGATTCAACAATAAATGGTGAAACACAGCCATGTTGATGCATTATTATCTGGTCACATTATATCAAGTTAAATTGTTAGTTTTTACTCAAGGTTGATTCCCCTTATGAGCATATGTGAAGCTCATTTCTGGTGCCATGATATGGTTGGTTTACCTAGAGCAACATAAAACTGTTGACTCTTGTACTAGCTGTTTGTAATTATGATGAGCAAGACTGACAGTGTGTGCAAGACTTTGGTATGCTTTTAGATGCTGCTCTGAACTTAGTTTAGGCACATTAGTTTTCCCTTCATCATACAGCTACTGTAACTTAGTGAGTATCTGTGCCAGTCAACAGTAACAGATGGTACCTTTGTGAACAGGTATGCAGTGGTACCAACTCTGTCCGGTACCAAGTCTACTAGTTGGCCCTTATCAATATCAGGCTTACCATGGTTACACAGATATATATTTATCTTTTGTCAAAGTCTCTGTTTATTATAACATGACACTGTGTCTTGGGTTGTAATTATGTCTAACGCACAACGGTATCATGCTTGTTGCAAATCTTTGCAAACAGCTGTCTTCATAACCTTTTACCCAGTGTTGAATAAGAACCATCCTCGATAATCTCCAGGGCATACGTTACGATCACTCTCCACTATACCCTGGATGCATCCACGGCTTGGGGCGATGATTTTATTACCTCCCTTGGCTGGCTTTTTATCCAGTCAGGTGCCTACGCTGGGAAGTTGAGCGAACCAATCACTACTCACTTTCGCGTCTTAAATTATCTAACCGTTTAAACTTGGCAACGCAACTGATGCAGAGGTACTCTGAAAGAAGTAGAAGGAGTTCTTTCATATATTCTTTTTAAAGTTTCAGATCTGTGAATTTGTCTTTATTATTTCTCAAAAATCTGAGTGGCACTGCGAACAAACCTTTGCAACTGCGACCGCAATCTTTGTTGACACTGGCAAGCTCGGTTGTAACGGCGGCTTAGCTGATTGGCTACTGTGAGAATGCGGAGCCAGCCAAGGGAGGTAATAAAATCATCGCCCCAAGCCGTGGATGCATCCAGGGTATAGTGGAGAGTGATTGTAACGTATTCCCTGGAGATCATCGAGGATGAATAAGAACATACAAATCCATGTTTTCTGGAATTTTTGGAGTCGGCAGTGATATCCAAAGATTTAATTCCTGGGCATTAAATACATGTGCAAATAGGAAAACACCAAATGTTTTCACAAAGGGATGGGGGAAATCTCTCTTCCTCCCCAACCACGTCTTATCTCAATATGCCAATGCTTGTTGTTCAAGTGCTTCGAACCGATTGTACCATTGCAATAACTTGTGTCAAACATACAGGGTAATATATTATCCCCCTTGTTCTCCCTACCAGTGTGTTTCTGCTTCAAATAAGTCTTTCATTTAGTTTGTTGGTTGTTTTGCTTGACATTTTTGGGTTTTTTTAATATTTTTATCATTATTATTGAAAAATACATTTTGTTTGATAGACTTCTGTATTGTACTTATATTTGTATCCTGCATCAATGGCTCGTACTTCGCTTATATGGGAATATTTATAAGTACATATGTTGATGATTATTTGTCAATTTGTGAAGATTTAAGGCATGAAACAACTGTGAATACTGGTTACATGCTTGATATGTTACAAGACAGGCATGCCTTATCTACATGATAGAAACAATTTGTTCAAGTTACAACCTTATTTAATTTTAGTTTGTTCAGGAATCAAACAATGAAAATAGGAAATGTGTGGGTTTCAACTTTCTGAGCGAACCAACCTCAATATTTTGCCCTTGGATCTTGTGTTTTTCTCAAGGTGTATCATCAGTTTTTATCACCATCCTGCTATACACCTTATTTAATGCCATAAGTGCAAACTTGCTTGTTTCGCTATAGATAAACAGGTAATTTAAAGAAAAATGTTTTAAAAAACAAATGATCGAGACCTACCTGTTTTATATTTTGATTGGTTGAAAAAGAAAACACACAATGTTTAGGATGTCTGAGCTCATCCAAACTCTATAATCTTCTGTGGAACTGTCTGAAGAAGTAGCTGAAATCTTTTGAAATAAGATTTTGTACTCCAATTTGATACCTCTGAAGAGAGGCATTAAATCAGAGAGGTACTAATTTAGGGTACAGTGTTTTATTTTAAATAAATTTGCAGTTTTATAAAGCATAATATGTAGCTTTCTGGTCATCAGGTGAAAAGTAAGTTGGAACCATTTTGTTAGGGCAGATGAAAGTTTTACTGACATGTTGCATTACCTTTGATCTCAGATTGGTGCTATATCTCATGCATGTATGTGTGTTCTCTTCCTATCTCACATTCCCCTTGGCTTTCTAGACATTTTATTTATTGGTAGGATTGTAGATGAGTTATAGAATGTGCCAATCTTTCTGTCTGTTACCTATTGAGTTTCTGTTTGTTACAGCCGTTTGTTTGTCATGAGAAGGATTGATGTGAAACAACAGCTCAGAATCTTGTATGTGCAACTTAAATTTCATTCTTCAAGAAAGTAGTATGTACTGTTATTTCAAGCAAGTCATGGTTGCCCTATCGTTCAGAGCATTTCAACTTTCTTCACATTGATGTTTAAGATGTTCTTTTCTGTCTGCAGTATGCTGCTCACATTTTGCTAAGAATGTTACCTGTGTTTAATATCAGAAAAACGGAAGTCTGCCATGTATGCAACTCTCCTCATCTCATCCAGATGACACAAACAGCATCATTTCAAGGAAACTTTTACTTGGATAATGGCCTAGTTGGGATTTATAGTACTTTTTTTTAAAACTATTAGAAATATACACAGGGCTGTGGTTGGAACAAAATAAGAAAATTAAAACAGATTGTTTTAGGTGATATTACATATTTTGGATTGGGTGATAAAACGAAAGATATTTGGGGTTTCTTCCAGGTGGACATCCTTTAATACAGAGGATAGGCTTATAGGTGTGTATCCCTCTTCAGGAAGCACACATTCAGACACTTTTTAGGTGATAAACAACAGTATACCTAAATCTATAGCAACACTATGACTAACTCATTTGGAATTATTTATTTCAAAACATGTTTTGCGGTATTAAATGTGAATTGTCAAATCACAAAGTGCATCCCCCTTTTCCCAAAGGCAGTGTCCAAGCTAGAAATAATCTGATTTATCCATGTCTCCTTCAGTAAGGCTCACAGCGATTCCTTGGTAGCACAGACATATAGACATAGCTTTTATCAAATTGTGGGTTATTATTGTCAAAACAGATAATTTGAAGGTTAATTTCCCCAGATTTCCACTACTGTATACTATTCCTGCTGTTGATGTTCTAACTGTTGACACATCGAGATTTGACAGAGTACTCATGTACAGACAGAACTGGCTATGCATGTACAACATATAAGCCTAAAGTATAATAAATATGCTTTCAGGAAGTGTCTTGTTATGTTTATATCACAAACTAAATCCTTCTTGTGATTTAACCCCTGAAGATCCCGGTTAGAATTGGTTTTCAGTAGCCCATGCTTGTCATAAGAGGCAGCTCACTGACTTGGTTGACACATGTCATCGGTTCCCAGTTGCGTAGATTGATGTTCATGATGTTAATCACTGGTTTGTCTGGTCCAGACTCAATTATTTACAGACCGCTGCCATACAGCTGGAATATTGCTGAGTGCGGCGTTAAACAACAAACCAACCAACCAATCTTGTCATTGAAGCCCCACTTGGGATACAGATTATATGTCAAGTGTATTGGTCGCCCCTTTACCAATCTCTTACATCTGAACTTAAAATATAGGTGCAAACACTCCACAGCTACTTAACCAGTCAATATTGAACTCCAGTTTACAACAGACTAATATACTTGCTCTCACAACGGAAGTAGAGCGGAAATACTACCAAATATCTCTCACGAACCGAAAGGGTGCTTTAAACAGCACAAAGATAAAATACCACAAAAAGCTTACAAACATGTATTGTTTAATACATTCACATTTGAATCAAGCTTTGTTTCAGTGAGGCATAGATCAATGTACAATAGCACCATATCACTATGTTTCAGACTATTAATGTACCTGAAGAGACAAATCGAAATATATTGAAAACTGAGATATATTAAAATAAATGTATAGTATTCCATTACATATCGGACACGTCGAGTAAAACATTGTATAAAAGTAGGTATTAAAATCAAGATCTGCGTATGTACTTCGTAAAGGTATCAGTGATAATATACATTAATTGAAAAATTAATCAGTTATGACCCTTTTTGACGGTATGAATATACGTCCCCAAAACGTATGTTTATTCAACATTCCTCTTACCATCCTCGATAATCTCCAGGGTATACGTTACGATAACGCTCTACTATACCCTGGACGCATCTACAGTTCCGCCGGATAATTTTATTACCTCCCTTGGCTGGCCTCTTATCCAATCAGGTGTCTACGCTGGGAAGTTTGATGCAGAGGTACTCTGAAAGAGGTTGAAGGATTTCTTGCATATATTTTTAGTTTCAGACCTGTAAATTTTCTGTATGATTTCCCAAAAATCTGAGACGCACTGCGAACAAACCTTCGCGGCTGCGACCGCCATCTTTGTTGACACTGGCAAGTTCGGTTGTAACGGCGGCTTTGCTGAGTGGCTACTTTCAGAATGCGGAGCCAGCCAAGGGAGGTAATAAAATCATCGGGCCAAGCCGTAGATGCGTCCAGGGTATGGTGGAGAGTTATCATAACGTATAGCCTGAGATTATCGAGGTTGTCCTCTTACTTACTGCATAAGCTCATCATCAGACACGAACTGGATACAATATATAAGGCATACAAGTATTTAAAATTACCATTTTATAAAAATGTGAGTGGATTTTACATCTGATATCACAGGCATAAAAGATAAGCTTTTTAAAGGACATGTCCAACAAACAGTAAAGCTAGTTACAAATTCAAAGTCCACGGTAACGTCATAACACAAAATATGTCAAAAACTTATTAAGTGGATGCTTTTTCCTGATTATCAAGTATTACAATGTTATATGGAAATCTATATGGTCCCTATTAACTTCAATCAATCCCCAGTACATTTTATCAGATGTGTTTTGACTTGTGTCTCCTTCTACATTTGGAGGGATGTGTTAAAGCGTTAGCTCATCACACCGAAGACCGGGGTTCGATTCTCCACATGGGTGCAATGTGTGAAGCCCATTTCTGGTGTCCCCCGCTGTGATATTGCTAATATTGCTAAAAGCGGTGTAAAACCATACTCACTCACTCTTCACAGTGTCAGTAAACAAATATGACTCAATTCAGATTGTCCTGGGTAAAATCGTCTCGACTGTCAACTGTAATTCATCATAAGTATGACCCAACCAATCAATCAATCTTTTGTGTCGCATAATGACAGTTACCCAGCTAACACACAACGTTGTGGGAATGTTATAAGCTGCATAATGACAGTTACCCAGCTAACACACAACGTTGTGGGAATGTTATAAGCTGGTAACGTCATGACACAACGTTGTCACAACGTTAGTATTTCGTCATTTTATAACGTTATGTCACAACGTAATAACAACGAAGTTGCAAATTTACGTTGAGGAAATGTTATGCTTTGGGCTCCTCACAACGTATAGAGTTTTCTGTAAAACGTATCACTTTGAGATTCTTTCTTCACTATTCAGCTACAGCTTCAGAAAACACACGACCAAAACAACATGCAATTTGACGAATAAACATTCAAAGTGAATTTCTGTTTTTATTCATATGTACTGTTCGCTACTGGGAATGTTATTCAACTATTAACGTTAAACAGAACTTAAGACAAGGCAAAATACGTTAGCATCAAATAACTTTAACCTTGTGGCGACGTAAACATGACGTATCAGAACGTCAGGCCACAACGTTGTGACAATGTAAATTGGAGTCCACAGAATAACGTTGTAACAACGAAAGCATATAACGTTGTCACAATGTAAATTGGAGTCCACAGAATAACGTAACAACGAAAGCATAACGTTGTGACAACGTAAATGGAAGTCCACAGAATAATATAACGTTGTGACAACGTAAATGGGAGTCCACAGAATAACGTTGTTACAACGAAAGCATTATAACGTTGTGATAACGTAAATGGGAGTCCACAGAATAACGTTGTAACAACGAAAGCATATAACGATGTGATAACGTAAATGGGAGTCCACAGAATAACGTAACAACGAAAGCATAACGTTGTAACAACGAAAGCATATAACGATGTGATAACGTAAATGGGAGTCCACAGGATAACGTTGTAACAACGAAAGCATAACGTTGTAACAACGAAAGCATATAACGTTGTGACAACGTAAATGGGAGTCCACAGGATAACGCTGTAACAACGAAAGCATATAACGATGTGATAACGTAAATGGGAGTCCACAGAATAACGTAACAACGAAAGCCTAACGTTGTAACAACGAAACTATAACGATGTGACAACGTAAATGGGAGTCCACAGGATAACGTTGTAACAACGAAAGCATAACGTTGTAACAACGTAAATCGGAGTCCACAGAATAAAGTTGTAACAACGAAACTATAACGATGTGACAACGTAAATGGGATTCCACAGGATAACGCTGTAACAGCGAAAGCATAACGTTGTGATAACGTGAAATTGTTAGCTTGGCATCAATCAATCCTGAGTTATTGAATAATACAAGTGACAAAACCCTTAATATAATCAAATCAAATGTCTGCTGAAACCTGAGTCCATTGTTCAGTTCCCTTTATAACTAAAGCAATTGTTTATTAATAATGATCAAACAGTTACAACACCAGGTGTTTGGGGAAAGGTGACCTTATTTCCTGCCCTATCGTGGCACCGTCACAGACACTTGTTATTTCCACTTGTCTTCATGGCGTTCTTTTAACTGTTCCAACACTAAACAACATATGTCACAGTATCAGATTCACCTGACAACAAATTACATCAAAACAGTTTGATATTGTTCAGCATTAAAGGGGACTGAAATGTTCGTTGTTTGAGGTTTCGTTGGTGAGAGTTACCGCCCTTTGAGATAATTTCTCGTCCTAATATAATTGACATGATAGAAACGAAATTCGTTTGTATGTCATTGGAGAACGTTGTTTGATTCAACTAGAGGTTTCGTTGGTGAGAGTTACCGTCCTTTGAGATAATGTCTTGTCCTAATATAATTGACATGATAGAAATGAAAGTCGTTTGTATGTCATTGGAGAACGTTGATTCATTCAACTAGAGGTTTCGTCGGTGCGAGTTACTGCCCTTTGATATAATGTCTCGTCCTAATATAATTGACATGATAGAAATGAAAGTCGTTTTTATGTCATTCGAGAACGTTGTTTGATTCAACTAGAGGTTTCGTTGGTGAGAGTTACCGCCCTTTGAGATAATGTCTTGTCCTAATATAATTGACATGATAGAAACGAAATTCGTTTGTATGTCACTGGAGAACGTTGTTTGATTCAACTGGAGGTTTCGTTGGTGAGAGTTACCGCCCTTTGAGATAATGTCTCGTCCTAATATAATTGGCATGGTTGAACTGAAAGTCGTTTGTATACCACTGGAGAACGTTGTTTGATTCAACTGGAGGTTTCGTTGGTGCGAGTTACCGCCCTTTGAGATAATGTCTCGTCCTAATATAATTGGCATGGTTGAACTGAAAGTCGTTTGTATGTCACTGGAGAACGTTGTTTGATTCAATTTTCGTTGGTGAGAGTTACCGCCCTTTGAGATAATGTCTCGTCCTAATATAATTGGCATGGTTGAACTGAAAGTCGTTTGTATGTCACTGGAGAACGTTGTTTGATTCAACTAGAGGTTTCGTTGGTGTGAGTTACTGCCCTTTGAGATAATGTCTCGTCCTAATATAATTGACATGATAGAAATGAAAGTCGTTTGTATGTCATTGGAGAACTTTGTTTGATTCAACTAGAGGTTTCGTTGGTGTGAGTTACTGCCCTTTGAGACAATGTCTCGTCCTAATATAATTGTCATGGTTGAACTGAAAGTGGTTTGTATGTCACTGGAGAACGTTGTTTGATTCAACTAGAGGTTTCGTTGGTGTGAGTTACTGCCCTTTGAGATAATGTCTCGTCCTAATATAATTGGCATGGTTGAACAGAAAGTAGTTTGTATGTCACTGGAGAACTTTGTTTCATTCAACTGGAGACTCGTGAAAGTGATATGTGGATCAGCATGGTTGTTCTTATCACAGAGCACTTGATATGAATTATCTGTAAAATCATCTTCTTAAAAGAGCTTTTTCAATCCCAAGACATGGCGCTTCCACAAGCACGGCAAATATAAAGGCCATACCATAGGTGATGCCCCACGTGCCCAGGAACTCGTAGCTCTAGAAGATAAAAAGTACCGTAAATTTACTTCTACACAGACTGGGTGTGCCACGTCATAACAATAACGAACAGTGAATGATATCGATTAACATACATTCATATTATATAATTGGTTTACTTGTACGTACACGATGAATTATAGAAGCCACAAAGCCAAATGATCAGAGTTTGGTATTTGCAAATCACGAATTACTAATGAAACGAAAGCAGAATCAGCTTTCCCCATGTTTCTCTTAGACATTGACGATCTACTTCGCACATATGACATCATAGTTTTCGGTTTGGTGTTTTTGTAATGACTAAAATTGACGCAGAAAGCCTTAGCTAGCCTGTTCACCTGACGTTTTAACGACTTTGCCGAACATATACTAATTATACTATAAAATATATATAATATATATATTACAATAATATATCATACTATAAATATACTATAATAGACTGGTATTGGAAGGAACCAAAATGTGGTTAGGTCTGCCCCGGTTGACCGTGTTGAATATTTGGCTTGAAACTTACAAGATATTCTGCGTTGTAGTAGTAAGCTGTGCGTCGATTGGCATGCCTGGTAGTCAGAACCATCACGTGAAGGAGATACGCCCCGTACGTCAGTCTCCCCAGAGGGATCCAGGCCTCCCACGACAGTATGGAGTTGACGATACCTGCAAGGATGTCAGAATATATCACCCACCTCTACTACAAAAATGTAGTTACACCATTACGTAGGGAGAACGATTCAATCTACATTGGAGACTGACTGAAGCAGTCAATCATCTATCCATTGGTGCTGGAAAATACGTCTTATTCCAGATTATTCATCGAACGAATGAAGCAGACATATATCATGTCAATCAGGACACAACCCTTACCTCCACTGGAGCAGACACATATCAATCAACAGACACCAATCGCCAGGAAACACCCTTGCCTCCACATCCACTGACACAGACAAATATCATCCACTGCCACAGACAAATATCATCCAGGAACCATCCTTACCTCCACATCCACTGCCGCAGACAAATATCATCCAGGAACCATCCTTACCTCCACATCCACTACAGTCACCCATCACCAGGAACCATCCTTACCTCCACATCCACTGCCACAGACAAATATCATCCAGGAACCATCCTTACCTCCACATCCATTGCCACAGACAAATATCATCCACTGCCACAGACAAATATCATCCAGGAACCATCCTTACCTCCACATCCACTACAGTCACCCATCACCAGGAACCATCCTTACCGCCACATCCACTGCCGCAGACAAGTATCACCCAGGAGACACACAGGGCCCAGGCAGGTCTGTACAACACCTCATGGGTCAGGAGAGATGAACGACCCCAGGTAATCTGTCCGTCTGTCCACTCGTCGTAAGTGATGTAGGTACATACTAGGGCCACACCCACGGCCAATGTCCAGCCTAATGTCAGCCACACCTGGAAGACAAGCTCCACATTAACAGGAAGCTCAGTGTCATTGTGGACAATGAACACCAACAACACTAACAGCTCAGAAGGTGAGTTGAGGTGAAATTGGGTTTAACGTCGTGCTTGAGAATATTTCGCTCATATGACGACGTGCATGCGTGTGTATGTGCGGCTGCTTGTACTAGCCCAGACTGAAGCTGGTTTTATAGTGTTAGCCCACTGAGATACCATGCCGCAGTGAAGCATGAATACCCCACTCAGACACATTATACTGACTCCGAGCCGACCAGTCCTTGTTGTACCCATTAATGCCGAGCGCCAGGCAGGGACCAACAAGTACCATATTTTAACGTCTTTTGGTATGACGCGGTCGGGGATCGAACCCGCGACCTTCCGTTCTCCGGGCTGACGCTCTAACAGCTCAGAAGGATTTAACAATCTTTCAATGAAGTGTCAAAATGAACCCCTACCAACGTACACAGGAACTGTATGGCCCACGTGTTATGTTTCAGTCGTGTTGGTTCGTTATTGTTTTTAGTTCTTGGAGTGGCATTATACAAGTTGGAAGTTCAATAATGAAACATTTTATGTATAACAACTTCTGTATCGCGAGGGCAACGTTTCGATACAGATTCCTACTTGACAACAGTACAAGAATCGGTATCGAAACGTCGCCTTCACGAAATATAAGAAGTTGTTATCCATAAAGTTTGTCATTATTATTATTGTTTGTGTTCCATCGCTGGTAGTCATTTAATTTGCTTATCTTCCTCCTGACGACTGACCATAAGCATTTCATAAATCCATATTTTGGGGAGTAAATGAAGATTGGACAGATTGTTCATTAATCACAATCATGGCAGATGTCTGCCGTATACTGCGACTTTATTCAGCTGAATACAACCATTTGTTTTTGTAGCTTTGCGCCCAAAGTGGTACAGTGCATGGCATGTATTAATTATGCCAGGATTCAAAGACCAGAATTTTCATCGATTATTATTGTCTTTAAGTCTCATCATGCTGACACGCCAAGATGTAACTTCAATAATGGTCAACTCAGTTTAAAACCAAACCCACTCTCTGTTTTAATTACCTTAGTTATATTCAGTTTACACTTTGTTTTAAATAACAGGTATCCCAGGGCCATTCCGATGGCGAACACGCCCACTCTACAATAAGGCATGAAGTAGATCTCCGTCTCGAACTGGGCAGAATTGCTGAAAAATATATGAAATAAAGCTAAATGCTCTGCATTATGGTATGGACACATATATAATACATTATGGTATGGACACATATATAATACATTATGGTATGGACACATATATACTCATGCCAATAATGGTTGTCACCCCTTCAATCTTTTTAATTGGAGGGCTGTGGGGTGGGGGTGTGGGGTTGGGGTGGGAGGGGTGACAGCCATTATTGGCATGAGTATATAATACAACTGTACGTTCATGGTGTACGTATACAGCCATTAGTCGTTTATCAATAGTCGTTCAATTGTCATTTGTCATTCATAGCCAGTAGTTATCCATGGTGATTCTTTGTTCATTTACATGCATTGGTGGGTAGCACATTTCAGCGACCCGTGAAGGTCCGGGTTAGAATATTGATCTTCAGTAACCCATGCTTGTCGTAAGAGGCGACAAACGGGATCGGTCGGTCAGGCTCTCTGACTTGGTTGACACATGTCATCGGTTCCCAATTGCGCAGATCGATGCTCATGCTGTTGGTCACTGGATTGTCTGGTCCAGACTCGATTATTTGCAGACCGCCGCCATATAGCTGGAATATTGCTGAGTGTGACGTAAAACTAAACTAACTCACACTCACATTTCTGTAGACATACTGAGCCACATTACTAAACCATCCACGCATACAGACTCACATCACCTGAACGATGTTTGCATAAAATTTATAACTATATGGCTTAGTGGACTGACTTTCATTGGGCGTTAATGTACAGCCCTTGTTGGTGTATATGCCTTGTGTTGTTGTTCTATCTGCAGGTTGAGCATACTACTAAAAAAAAGTTAAGGAATCACAATTATTCAACCATGACGGACTAACTACATTATTAAGAACGAATAAGGGTCCTTAGCTTCATTTGAGTAGTATATATGTATTGTAACACCATCTGTACTGACACGTTCTAATACTGAACACCTGAAACACTAGTGTTTCATCTGTGGCAGGGGGCGGTGGGGTAGCCTAGTGGTTAAAGCGTTCGCTCGTCACGCCGAAGACCCGGGTTCGATTCCCCACATGGGTACAATGTGTAAAGCTCATTTCTGGTGTCCCCCGCCGTGATATTGCTGGAATATTGCTAAAAGCGGCGTAAAACCAAACTCACTCACTCACTCACTCATCTGTGGCAACTTACACGAGTCCCGAGCCATTGACGAAGTATTCTAAGTACGCATAAGATATGATATGCGTGGCGAGGAGGAGGAAGATCACCAGGATGCCGATGAACGGCCAGCTGGAACAAAAGTAGATTGTTTGTATATCATAGAGCCGTGTAGGACTCAGTTACCTGAATGGCGACGCTACCGCCTTCTGGTCAAACTGTTCTGAAACATCGGACCTAGCCACAAAATATCCTGATTTAGTTACAATCTTCCACTCAAACCGTTTTGGGGTACTTGGGGTACGAAGTAGGCAGATTTAAAAAATTTAAACCTAAGCCATGAACAGATGCCTGATGCTGCATTAACAATGAACACTCATTTTCTAATTTAACTGTTCTGAAGCATCGCTTATCCTAAATTATAATGATTACGAGACAGAATCGTCCAGGATCGTTTCTTAAAAATAATTTAAAGGTGAATATAGAAACATTAGACATATGATGTGAATTGGAGATGTTCCCTGACATACTTGTCCTTTTCTATACATAATGTCAAACAATGAGACCCACGACCAAAATATCCAAAAAGTATGGAACAAAAGAGGTCAGTTTGGCTTGAGGCTGTTATAGACCCCATCGTACCTACCCACAAGCCAGTGGAATGAGAGCCAGAGGTGCAATCCAGTAGAACTGCATGTCATTTGCCAGAAACCAAGACTGACCTAGACACTGCAATGGAAACGATGTGAGTGTGTTGGGTGTTCTTGGTTTGCATGTAGTTTAACGACGTACCCAGGGCTATTATAGCTATCAGACAGCATCTCCTTAATAATCAAGTTTGGACTAGACATTCCGGTGATTGGCATCATGAGTACCTACGCAGTTGGAATACCATGACCAAGTCAGCAGGCTTGACCACCGATTCCGTTAGTCACCCTTTACGGCAAGCATGGGTTTCTGACGCCAAACCCATAGCTTTATGGGGCAGGACTTCATTATTAACAACTGAAACAATCTCTGATAGATAAAGACCAAGATACAAAATTTCAGTATGTCATATTTCTTATTTCTCTTTCAGTTCCGTGTATTTCAATCAAAAGAACGATATGTCAGATTTACAATCATATGACCATAGTTTCAAAAACGTAACTACAATTTCATAAAACCTACATTCCTGAGTACTGAGTATGAGTGAGTGAGTATGGTTTTACGCCGCTTTGAGCAATATCCCAGCAATATCACGGAAATGGGCTTCACACATTGTACCCATGTGAGGAATCGAACACGGGCCTTCGGTGTGACGTGTAAACGCTTTAACCACTGGGCTACCCCACCTCCCCTCACCAGTATGATACTACAACCAAACAATCACAATTTTAACGAATTTAAATTTCGAACCCCAGATTCTGGAATGCATAAGGGACGTAACTCCACTGAAATTCCAGCGCATTAGACGACCTGGCCATTCGTGTCCCTGGTTGTAATTGGAATGAAACCGCAATAGTAACACAATATTTCAGTTGATCAACTTAACACTTACCAGTTCAGCCGACGAGGATCTGTAGACATTGTTGATGTAGAGTAGATTGACCCACCAGTTTCGCCTACAGTTCTCCCGGTCCAGCAGGGGAGTTACCCCTGGCCCATCGTTGAAGTAACCACTCACGCACACATAGAACATTATCACCATCATGTACAGAGGGGTAAGCCTGGGGGGAGAGAGCGTCGATCAGGGGCAGTTCAACAGTTCCATGCGGTGAGGTGAGGTGAAATCGGGTTTAACGTCGTGCTTGAGAATATTTCGCTCATATGACGACGTGCATGCGTGTGTATGTGTATGTGCGGCTGCTTGTACTAGCCCAGCTGGTTTTATAGTGCTAGCCCACTGAGATACCATGCCGCAGTGAAGCATGAATACCCCACTCACACACATTATACTGACTCCGAGCCGACCAGTCCTTGCTGTACCCATTAATACCGAGCGCCAGGCAGGGACAAACAAGTACCATATTTTAACGTCTTTTGGTATGACGCGGTCGGGGATCGAACCCGCGACCTTCCGCTCTCCGGGTGGACGCTCTAACCACTACACCACGGATGCTGCCTCAGTTCCATGCGGGATATTAAGCGAATTCATTATACTGAGAATACCCTTAGAGCCACAAATCTTACATGAAATCGTCAAAGAGATGAGGATTTGTACTTTCAAAACAAAGTTAAGACGAATAAATATGATATTCATTGACAGAATCTTTAAACGAACCTCAAACTGCATTACCTTAATCTCCATCCACCTCACATTAACACATACACACGCACGCATGTATGTACGCACACACACGCACACAAAATACACACGCGCGCGCACACAGACGTTCACTACTGCCTCAGACCCCCTGAATATTGATCCCGAGAAATTCAGAGGTTACCGAGACAAGAATCAGACTCGAATCAGGATTGAACCAAGTCGTCTGCCTGACAAGAAAACACGTCACCTACTAAGCTACATGCTGTCGTGAAACAGATATTAACATATCGACAAGGACTGACTGACTGACTGAGTTTGGTTTTACGCCGCTTTTAGCATTATTCCAGCAACATCACGGCGGGGGACACCAGAAATGGGCTTCACACTCTTTGTACCCATGTGGGTGCATTCGAACCCGGGTCTTCGGCGTGACACGGCCAACGCATTTATTCCACTTGACTCAGGCTGAACCCCACCGCCCCCATATCGACAAGGAATCCATACTCTTAAGGCTACTGTGTACACACTTACCGCAAGAATCTGTGAACGTAGTACAGCACCATCTGACGCACAGTTAATTTGCCGATTTTCTCTTTCTCTCTCAGAAATAACAACGCCACCAAACAACCACTAAAAGTAAAATAGAAAATATCACAAACACAACCATGGTATAACACTGAGAGGCCGCTGCTGACATAAACTGTGATGAAGTGTAGGAATTAATATTTACCGTTTAAGTGAGATATAAAGTATAATTTGAAGAAAGTGTATATCATTTGGAAGAAGAGTTAAACACAGATCTTAATTTTGTTTTTAATTTTAAAAATTTATAATTAAAATATTATAAATTAAAACCGAACTTCATATTTTCTAAATTAATCTAAATTGAGATGTTAGGATGCTATTGTTTACCTCATCACAAAGAACGTGTCTACTGAGAGGGTGCCATTGGTCACCGCCTGCATCGTGAAGCTGCTGAGATCCTTGAAGCCATCCACAGGATTGGCAGCTGTAAAGTAGCAGGTCATGTAGACGTTGTAACGTTGACAACTTCACATAACTCATGCACACAAGAAATACCTAGAAATATATTCTGATATATTGTACCGACTTTCCATAGCTTACACAGGTCAAGTCCTGTGACCCGGGACTGTCACCTACCCCAGCTTAAACAGGTCATGACCTGGGACCAGTGATTGCCACCTACCCGAGCTTAAACAGGTCATGACCTGGGACCAGGGATTGCCACCTACCCGAGCTTAAACAGGTCATGACCTGGGACCAGGGATTGCCACCTTACCCGAACTTACAGAGGTCATGACCTGTGACCAGTGATTGCCACCTTACCCGAACATACAGAGGTCATGACCTGTGACCAGTAATTGCCACCTACCCGAGCTTAAACAGGTCATGTCCTGTGATCAGGGATTGCCGCCTTACCCGAGCTTAAACAGGTCATGTCCTGTGATCAGGGATTGCCGCCTTACCCGAGCTTAAACTATTTAGGACCTGTGACCAAGGATTGCCACCTTTCCATAGCACAATGTGGCCAACTATTACCAACTTACCAGCACTTAAACAGATCAACAGCACAGTGTGGGGAGAGATTTCCAACTTACCAGCACTTAAACAGATCAGCACAGTGTGTCCAAGGATTACCCAGCCCATGCTGAGCACCCTCACTCCGTGGAGACACGACAGGTCAGATGCACTAGTTTTGGCACTCAGTAGCTTCTCAGTATTCCTCGGGATGGAGAAAGCGAGAAGAAGCTTCCTTCCAATGCCTGAAATGTGGAACACCTAACGATTACAAAATTATGATGTTAAACCAGATCGTGTTTGTAGGAGAATGACCATGACACAAAAGTACGTTTGTATATTGAAATTCATTATATTTTTGAACACACTTAAGACGTCTAACAATTGGATGGATGGTCAAAATGTTGGGAGGTGTGTGTGTGTGTGTGTGTGTGTGTGTGTGTGTGTGTGTGTGTGTGTGTGTGTGTGTGTGTGTGTGTGTGTGTGTGTGTGTGTGTGTGTGTGTGTGTGTGTGTGTGTGTGTGTGTGGTGTGTGTGGTGTTAAAATCTGAATCAGAACTATAGTCATTACCGCGTCAAATAATGAGTCGAATCGAAAAACTTACTCTCTTTCGGCTTGCCAAAGACTTTTCTTGACTCTCTCGTATCATAAAGGCTCTGTCTATCAACCTTACTGCTACTCTTCTGATCTATGGAGAGTTCGCTGTCGTGGTTGGAAACAGAACCATCAACGGTGGCAGAGTGGTTCACGTATCTGTCGATGTTGTCGTCCTCTTGTGTGTCTCTCTTTGCTGCCGTGATGACGTCGTATAGAGTACCAATGACGGCCACGAGAACGAACACAGATAATATGACACTGAAATACAGATACATAATTATGTCAGTGGAATTGCTGAATGTCAATGATAACTCACAGGATTTGCAAGGGAATGACATATAGAAATACAGACAAACACTCCCAACATATGGTATTGTATTTCGTGGAGCACAGTGGTGTAGTGGTTAGCATGATTTTACATATCAGGCCCGGGTTCGAATCCCGGTTGAGACACCAAAACTTGTGACCTGGGTCTCATGCTGTGTTGTGCCCCTGGGCAAGGCACTTCGTCCACATTGCACTCAGTTATGGTGGCTGATTAGGGCCATCATTTTCTCGCCTTAAAATTCGGAGGCGAGAAAGCGAGAAAGCGATATCAGGAGACGAGAAAGCGATAACACGAGACGATAAAGCGATAACACGAAACGAGAAAGCGATAGCACGAGACGAGAAAGCGATAACGCGAGACGAGAAAGCGATAGCACGAGACGAGAAAGCGATAGCACGAGTCGAGAAAGCGATATTATTGCGGGAGAAAGCGATAGAGCGAGACAGCGATAGAGCGATATTACCCACAATTCAGTCCTGTCTGCGCATGATCTATGGTGGCTGATTAGTATGGTGGCTGATTAGGGCCATCGCTTTCTCGCCTTAAAATTCGGAGGCGAGAAAGCGAGAAAGCGATATCACGAGACGAGAAAGCGATATCACGAGACGAGAATCAGCCACCATAGATTAGGGCCATCGCTTTCTCGTCTTAAAATTCGGAGGCGAGAAAGTGAGAAAGCGATATCACGAGACGAGAAAGCGATAACACGAGACGAGAAAGCGATATCACGAGACGAGAAATCGATAACGCGAGACGAGAAAGCGATAACGCGAGACGAGAAAGCGATACCATCACGCGAGAAAGCGATAAAGTGAGACGAGACAGCGAAGGCCCTACTCAGCCACCATAGTATCAAGGAACCACGCCATGATATGACTGACATACAGATGAAATCAGTGTCACACTCTCACTCACGCTCAGGGTGTCTATGTTACACACAGCAGGCTGTCGTCATGCTATACTTACACCCCGACGATGCCACTGATGTCGTTGCCGAGGTCCTTGTCGTGTCGACAGTTAAGGGTAAGCACAGTCATGTTGAGATCCTGGAGAGGTACTTCAATGAACAAAATTTTTAAATTAAATTTTTTCACATGAATTTTCTTTCAAATCGTAAACTAAAATTGAATGTCTTAAGTGCAACCGTTATCAGAGAGATCATTAAAATACATGCTATACTTCATTTTGACTGTGACTATTAACAGTGTAGCAAACTGAATGGATACATGCTGTGTATGTTTGATAGTGGCTCAATCGGGACGTGTTTTTTCGACGGTGATGCATTCGACCCGGGCATCGATATCTCTCACACACACACACGCACGCACGCACGCACAAAAACACACACGCACGCACGCACGCGCGCGGTCACAGGTGGGCTCGATCCCGGCACCTTTTCAAAGTATAAACTTTCTCTTGCTCGGCAGTTTGATGTAGATACATATAGTTTAGCCCAATCTTAAATACAGCAATTAGTGTATATGTTTTGCTCATTTTCCATAACATACCAAGGTCAAGGTTAACGATTTCCACCTAAACTCCTGTAAGTGTTAGCTTTATCAAACGTTACATCGTGAACATACCAAGGTCAAGGTTAACGATTTCCACCTAAACTCCTGTAAGTGTTAGCTTTATCAAACGTTACATCGTGACCATACCAAGGTCAAGGTTAACGATTTCCACCTAAACTCCTGTAAGTGTTAGCTTTATCAAACGTTACATCTTGACCATACCAAGGTCAAGGTTAACGATTTCCACCTAAACTCCTGTAAGTGTTAGCTTTATCAAACGCTAGATCGTGTCATTTACTTCAGTTCATTCACAGTATACAGATGTCAATATCGTGTATTTACCATTCTTTTATTAAAACATATTTTGTATATAAACATTGAAATGTTATTCAAGTCATCAAAAACACAAGAGACCTGAGATGTCGGTTAGGAATAGGTCAATAGCACACCCATGTTTGTCGGAAGAGGCCACGAAATGGACCAGGTGGTTAGACACGATGGTTTGGATGATTGCATTTCTTTGTATACCATTTGCAGAGATCGAAGCTCACGATACTAATTACTGGGCTGCCTGATCCAGACTCGATTATTTACAGACTGACGTATTACTGGGCGGCGTTTAACACTCAAATACTCACGTAAGTTGAGGGCTTGCTTTACATCCTGCTCACTGCATGACTTTGGAACACACATGTGCCACTGGAAACTGGGAGTTGTGACTCCCAACAGCTGCAAGGGATTGTGATCTACAGATAACTTTTGGGTCATTGAGTTATGTACTCGCTTGTGTCCATCTCAAATGGGTATCCTAATTTTCCTTTCAGTAACCAAATACATCGTACTCACTTCATTCAAACTCAATTGGGTATTTTGTCATTTTCCATTAATTGTAAAAATATAATAAAGTTTAAATGTTAGTGTTTGGTATTTATATTTGATCTGTAATGTGAGAAACGATAAGAAAGACTGCAATTTGCCAAGTTCATGTCCCGAAACAGAACCTCTCAATATACCTCAGTTATTTTATCTGTCCACCGGTAGATGGACATGTAGATTTTACATGTTTAGTGTACGCATGTAAGATCACATTTATTGAGTATTTACAAAACTTCAAGCGCACTTGTACGCAATAGACTTAATAGGAACTGAATTTTCAGATAAGCATTAGCGTAATGTACACAGATACGCAGCTTATCTGTACCTCTGCGGGTCGGATTGTGAGCTATATATTGGATCTACAGTTTACGATACCATTTGGCTGCTACAACAAGATACTGAAAGTCGAGACTGAGCTCGTAAAATCACTTACACAGACACCCGTAACGAATTTATATACACACAAAAGCTTACTTTAGGTGAAATATTTGTGACTCTATGTAAGGCAGTCGATGGTTTTGGCATAATGACACCAAACGTGAACAGGGTTCTGATTTAACAAGTTTATGGCTTCATATAAATCTCTAATAACGTCATAATGTCTGCCCATGCCGGCCGACCAATGTATAGGGATTTTCAGAAGATGCTGGTTTCAGGATATTTTCTTACCAACAGGTTTTAAGTCATATTTAGCGTCAAACTGAAAAAAGGTTTAGGGTCCGTAATGTGATATTTACCCCAGTGATGGGATCCTTGACCATGTCTGTGACGATGCTTGGCAGCGTAATGAATGCCAGGCAATGGTTGCCTTCGGTGGTGTTACCGTCGTTACCGTCAACCACACCCCTGACTTCAAGACATTCATCAAAGTTGCCATACAGCTGGAGGTTGCCCCTCAGAAGCCCCGGACCAGGTCTCCCTGTCGCATCAGCCACTGTGATGAACAATAACGGCATTGATATGTCAGTACTGGCATCGGCACATGTTCGTACTTGACAGTCAGTGTTGTTAAGTAATTTCAATGATTTCAATATACACCGGAGATGTATGTACGGGCCCACAAGAGCCTATTTTTCAGTGATGACACCAGGTGTTCGTTAAACTTAAGCATATCTTGCTCCACCGGTTGCAACCGTAACACCAACAATTGCATAAAAACTATTTTAGAAAGCACCAATAAACATTTCCAGATTCATAGAAATTTCTACTTAAGGCAAAACCCATTGCGCTATTCAGACTATATGGTACGCATGTGTGTATATATCCCTATCTGATAGTGATGACATAAGGTGTTGACAGGCTTGAAGATGAACCTACTGCTTACTTTGCAATGCCCACAGTGTCTTGTTCTTCAGAGCTAACCAATATTCCATTATGTCTGCCATACACTGAGTTCCAACCTGCCCTTGATTATTCCCAACTGATGCTGTCAGCTGATCAGAAATCATCTCCCCCGAAATGTTCTCCAAATTCGAAAAAGCCTGCATGAGTTCCACGCTTAGAAGAGGGTTCTTCTGGAACAGCTGAAGGACCTGCTTCTGTCCGCGACTCTTCCCTCCGGTAAGAAATGCAAGTACTGAATCTCTGTAAGACGGAACTGTGTTTGGGGGGACAGCACTGTGTGAGATGTTGCCAACAATGTCACCGATGTCGTCACTGCCGTTTGAGTTGTGGACGTTGCCGTGGCCTTGACTTGTAGCAACAGAGATGAGGACAATCCCCAGAAGGAGGCAACGTCTGCCCGGCTGACACGGAGACATATCTGCCTGCTGCCCCAGAAACTGAACCTGCTGAAGAAAAATATAGACTTGCCAAACTATGATAGACTTTTACGGGATTTGTATCTTCTTGTCGTTTGTATGAAACTTAACGAATGTCCCATTGGAAACCTTTAGGAACGACTTACATGAACCTGGTGCGACGGGATAGCCTAGTGGTTAAGGCTCGTCACGCTGAAGACCTGGGTTCGATTCCTCACATGGGTACAATGTGTCAAGCCCATTTATCGTGTGCACAGCTGTAATATTGCTGGAATATTGCTACAGGCTGCGTAAAAAACAAATTCACTCACTCACTCACTGCAATTTAAAGGCCTATGTACCCAAAGTTATTTCATGCGTGAATTGGGTCCTTCGTCACCTCACCTCACCTCACCTCACCTCACCTCACCTTCGTCACGTTGAACAATGTTTTAGTTATATCACTTGGGTGGAATCTATGACCACAGGTATGGTGCTGTGAAATTTAGGAACATTATAGGGTGGTCCTAAATCATACACAAAATAGGCATTTCTCCTTTTTCTACCCATCAGATGTGATTTAGGTCAAACAACATGACTCGATCTCCACCTGGCCCATCGCTGTTAAAACTATTATCACTTTTAGATTTATGCTTAACATGTCTTGAAACTATGGATACGTTATATTTAGAATCTAAGTAAAGCAATTCCGAACATGGTTTGGTTGTAAACAGTGGTTAGGAACTGATGAACATGACATGGGTCATTTTTCAGTCGTAGAGGAACTGTTAAGAACTTAAATGAAAATAATTGTCCCCCACAGTGGCCAGTTATGAACCCACAATACCATTTTGAATGTCCTTCTTGGTTCAAAGAGTTAACAGTAATATTATTTGATACAGTGATAACTTAAGAATAATCTGATTTAAATCATATGGAACAACTGTGTCATGCGGCTCAATGAATCAAAGCCTCATTTCACTGCCAGGAGATGTACGCACTTGTACCCCATTCAGACCCTGAAATAGACATACCGGCCACAACCACATATATCTGTAATACTTTGGCAAGTGTACAGTTTTCAGTTTCTGGAAGAATCTTATTAACCAGGTCTATTATACACTCAACCTTATTATTGAAGGTCTGCTTTGGCAAATATAGTGTCTGACACGAACCTTTTACAACAAGCATCAAATGGTCTGGGTATGTGGACAATCTGACCAAGGGCGGTGGGGGTCGGGTGGGTGTTGTTTCATTTTCACAAGAATTTCAATGGTCATTTAAAAAACTTTCAAGACAAAAGGGGAGTGCGCACCCCTGCTCACACACACACGCACGCACGCACACACGCTCTGGGTCCGCCTATGTTAACATTTGAGCATGTTGCTGCAGAGTGCCTGTCACGATGATGTCCTTTACAAAACTGGTAAGCTGGACAACAACTATACAAAGAAAGGTGCAATAATGAAGGTGATAAAAAGTGCTTCCCAAAATGCATGCCTCAACGCAACCAGGGGTTTTGACCATGCACGTGCAATACATAACAAGTAGCATTCAATGTGGGTATACAATGGTGTATGTCAATGGTTCATGCAACTTAACATCACCCTTGTAAGCTAAAATACGAATACCTTTATCTCTAATTATCTGCTTCAGTCCTCAATGATATCGTTGAGGGAAAATAGTAAACGTTTTGTCTGGAATTCCAGAGACATTTCAGACGGAATATAAACAGGACGTTACAACATTCAGCAGTTGCAGCAGGATCTGATGGAGTCTGCTATCAATGTGAATCTTCTTGGTATCCGAATGCGTTGCCTGTGGCTAAAAATAACCAACAACTACATGCTTATACTCTGTTCTTCCCATATCGTCATTCTAGAGTTAAAGGACCCGTGAAGGTCCGGGTTAGAATATTGATCTTCAGTAACCCATGCTTGTCGTAAGAGGCGACTAACGGGATCGGGTGGTTGGGCTTGCTGACTTGGTTGACACATGTCATCGGTTCCCAATTGCTCAGATCGATGCTCATGCTGTTGATCAATGGATTGTCTGGTTCAGATTCGATTATTTACAGACCGCCGCCATATAGCTGGAATATTGCTGAGTGTGGCATAAAACTGAACTCACTCACTCACTCTAGAGTTAAAGGCAATTTCTTCTTTCTTTCACACCTGTAGTCCTGCTTGTATGAGGAATAAATCACCAACATAGTTGTTAATAATCGTTTAAACCAATTACTTTAAAACAATTTGAATAGTGAACTTTTATTAAATATAGGGTGATATAATCAACAGAGATTGGAAACTCTCCAGAGCAACCATTCACGTAGTAAATTGTACGTAGTACTTATTGTGTGTGGGTTTTGTTTCTTTTACAAATGTCATTTGCAATTCTAGATTCATCATTGAATGTAATTACAATATGTTGTAATCCTTGTCAGAAATCAATATCGATTCATTGCTCATTCGCGGCTCATTGTTACTATGCACATACCTAAACATAAATGTTTACAGAAATATATTAATGTTTCAAACAGGTGTGTTAACGCTAAGATATACAAACAATTGATGAACGGATGTACGGATGGATAGATCTCTACTTTTGTAAACATCCTTGCTTCAGTATCAACATTGTGTACACAATAACATTTCATGTTTCTAAAAGCTAGTTCGATACCTTGACTCTGTTTGGATCATTCAGAAAATGTTTATGTAAAAGTCAGATGAAAAGGTTTTCCAAAACAGTTGTTGAATATTTTACGGAAACGCAGATATGACGAACATTTCATGGAAGCAAGTGAAAACGGGAGGATTGGGTTACCAGAAACAAGAACATGTCTGTTTATTTACCAAACCACATTCCCTTCACTCACTGCTGTAACAATCACGGCTTTCACTGTGTGCAAGCCACTATATACGAGAAGGAGAGGCCCAAGGCTGTGTGGTAACAAGAGTGCGTCTGGTTGCTCCCTCCGAGTGCCTGCTCGAGCCAGCCTCACTGAAGAAAGCTGACCCCCCTGACTGACCTCAATGATGCCCCCCGACCCATATCGCCCCACCTGTCAAAACACACCCAGTCTACTAGGATCGTGTTCCACAACATGGGCTTCAGTAGGCCTAAATGATAAAACACGCAGAATTCTACTTCTAAACTATCCTAAACTGATGGAATTTAACATACACAGACGACACTGCTTCCCAGGGTCAAAACAACATCCACAATGCAATGGTGAAATTGTTTCTTTTTTTCTTCTTATAACCTGAACGAGTCTTATTTTCAACAATCACCATATTCATTTCTGAGTCATCTTCTTTGTTTACACAACAGACGTGTGTTGCGACCAGAACTGGGGTACGACCAGAACTGGGATAACTAATATGGTGATCCGGGTTTTGTTGATCTAAATCCTGAATGCAAACAAATAACTGCATAAACAGACCCCTGTCTAACCAACATCGAGATGTTTTAACAAAACTATCAGGATCAGACACTCAAGATGTTTTTGCCCGAACACTGCACTCCTTTCAAAAAGCTGCGTCCGAGTTTGACCTGGGACGGCCGAGACCGCTTTTCTCAAAAGTATCGTGGTGTACCCAGTTAACCCGTATCGCCGAAGGAAGAGACCCACGTATTTATTCGTTACCAACACACACGTTGTGTCCATGCAGGTGTTCTGATGCCAAAATGGCGGTTTAGAAACAGAATACGCAAGACAAAACATTACAACAGCCTACCTTGATGAAGCTCGGCGTACTAGGCTTCCGTCAGTTTATCGTGGTGGTTTCTGATAAAGGCACCGGGCTCCTTGTTATCAGCCGGTATGTAGGACAGAGACGTATGTGGTTCACTTTTATATAGACAAGATGGCTGTCCCGGTGATATAAGAATGTTTATTGCACAAGGATGGGAAACGTCTTATCAGATGCCTTGAAACTTGACGACATGGGCGTTTCAGTGGTTTGTTTCTGACAATGGTATCGCCGGTATGTTTATGGGGCGAGTGTGAGTGAGTTTGTTGGGTTTTACTCCTATTTGAATAGTGTTTCGGTTATATCATGGTGTGTTAGCTCAGCGTTAGGGGCTTTGACGTTTATCATTATTATGGAACCAACGTGCATGTGAATGGCGCTGACCAACCTAAGAATATAATCCGGATGAATCCTGGATCGCCCAAGGGACGTAACTCGGCGAATTGTGACGCCATTGACGACTGGCCCTCACGTACATTGAAGCATTCATTTCTATTAAGCGGAGTACTCTTTTAACCTTAAAAGCAAACATGCACGTTCTTGGACCATAAGACGATTGGTGCCAAAGACGACTGGCATTTCCAGACATTGAATTATCCAGTTCCAAACAAGTGTAGTAATAATATAAACCCTAGACATCGAACGTGGGCCACAAGGCTAAACGATACACCATTTATAACTCGAGTTAGCGATGCAAACAAACAACAATTATGCATACATGATAGGGTTTGAATCCAAATCATCACAACACACATTGCTCTCTTCCATAGATGTATGTTTCATTACAAACTAGGCATAACATGTCACAGACGAAACACGAGAAAGGAATGTCCTTTATGAATTATTCTTCTTATTTTCCCCTTTCTGTATATATGTACAATCCTCGACAAATTATCGTTGACGTGTAGAGGTCAAGTTCCATTGTAAACTAGACTCAGGTATCTTACTAACCTATCAATAGTGAGTGCATCGTTTATATAAAAAACGGACCATTGAAAACTAGTTTATGAGTTTTGATGTTGGCTTCGACATCAGCAGTGTGGGTACTCGTCTAAACTTGTTTTCCCAAAATATATCAGTTTTTAATTCACTATTTCCATGTCTATATTTTGTTAAGTATAATGTTACAACGTAACACCCTGGCTGTACTGGTGTATGTTCAGACGCCTACGAGAAGACCCATCCACCAAGCCTCATCTCTGTTTCACAATTGTGTATTTTACGGGTGACACATTAAGTAGACACATTGGCATTGTCTGGACGGACGGTCTGATAATAAACTATGCCTGATATTTTACGTGTACTTATACAAATCAACAATATCACCAAAACACTGGAAGGCCAATGTTACACGTGTCCACAATTAGCCACGACAGAATTTTCTTGCCGGACACGCCAGCACTAGCTATATTGTATATAGTAAATGTTGATTAAGGCGTATCTCGCAAAACAAATAGTTTTTCTTGCAAACATGTGTACTGTGTTTTGACATCGTCCGTTGGTTGTATTTACAGTAACACATGAGATGTATTTTACAAATGCCTCTATATTCATGTCAAGACTGTACCAACACCGTACCAATATTCCACCACATCCATGTTCCGAAGGAAAGGATGTCTGTCCAGGGAGCGGAAAATCGTAATTCGATGCCTTGGCCGCGCCACACCAAAATGCCTTAAAAGACGGCACTCGGTATCCTAATACACAATGGGAAACGTGCCAGTTCACATTTGTCAGAGGGGAACCCAAAGAACGTGATCTGGGCCTAGATTTTCGAAGCTCTCTTTGCGCTAAGACAGTCGTAAGTTAATGTTAATTTATGGCACTTACAACTCTCTTAGCGCTAAGACAGCTTCGAAAATCTAGGCCCTGGACTATAAGTCGTCAGAGTTCAATTTTTGTATTAGACGCGATGGCTGAGTGGGTAATGATTCTGTGTGCTGGCGGATTTTGAGATGTGGATTCGAATTGATGGGACTCAACCCAAAACGTACTAGAATCTGTACTTCACCGAGAAAGTGTAATCCCAAATATAACGTGTTTAATAGCTGTTACCCTGTCTGACGTACAGTGATGGACTCTGAGTTAGTACAAGAGTCTGAGGAGGGTATCCAAGTTTGACTGCCACATGGTATCTCAGTGACCCAGTACTGTAAACTGGTATTGATAAGGGTCCCGTTTCACAAAGCTACCGTAGCGCTAGGACTCTCTTTGTTACAGTATACGACTTACGACAGTCCTAGCGCAATGATAGCTTTGTGAAACGGGACCTTGGACTAGAACAAGAGCGCTGCCACATACACAACTGTATAATCTTGAAACGAAGTTGATTCATTTCACCTCAGCTGAAAATCTTCTGATGCCAAACAGTTGATTAGAACATCCACAGTCCAGTCTGGATAAACCAACAAGTGACATAACACAGGCAGTACGCTCAACGCCTCTCTTGACCATCAGTAGATTAAGCAGAGATAGTGAATGATGTATAATACAATCGTACGTTCACTCGAAAATCTTCACAAACATCCCATCTTCCTCTGAGGGTTCAGTTTAAGGTAACTTTAGATAGTACACATAAATGTCATTGTCCTCAGCAACGGGGATGGTCTAGCTCAGTGACTTGTTCATGCATCCCATCCCAACTTGACCCAAAGTAATGCACGTCTAAGATCTTGCGGATGGTCTAGCTCAGTGACTTGTTCGTGCATCACATCACTTGACCCAAAGTAATGCACGTCTAAGATGTTGCCGAGCAGAGTCGTTACAAACCAAAAATAATAGGTTGGAACAAGGACAATGTACAAAGTGTGGGATGTATTTTGGCAACTAAAGCTCTGGGGTGTCTGGCAGTATGACCTTTCACATCCATGCAATGGTCATTTGGAGATGACATAAAGACTGATTACTACATTCATTTTTCAGACTGGGGATACAAAATGCTGAATGCTCTTGTATGTTCACATCCAGACGACATTGTGGGATGGTATCTTCCAGAGACTGCTTCCAGTGAGCATCACAATCCGAGAGGACAACAAACAGACCACCCATATCTCCTAATGGAATTGCACCCACCTGTATCTGACGAGGAAGCACTTTAACATCAAAGCCACCACACCAGTAAGGAAAGCAAACACATGAGACAGGTGACGGTTGACTTCTTTATTGGTGTAAGTACTATACACCATCATTCATCACTGGTCCTGGCGCTGTGAGGATGGTGGCGCTGTGAGGATGGTGGCACTCCTCAATAAACATTGTAACATTGGCCACTCCACTTCAACAAACATGACAATACAAAAAGCAAAATGGGCAAACCTTTGTCCATTAATCACATTTATATACAGCCTAAATGTGGGATACTAGACGTTACCCATGGAAAAGTTATGTATGATCATTTTTGTTTATTTAAACCTCAAATTAAGTTGGAAATATAGAATATCAGATCCTTGTGATAACATTTCAAAACAATGTCTCCCTGGTAAAAAAAGGAATACCTCCATACTAAAATAAGACATATTTATACAAGTTTAATGAGCAAGGTAACACCTTTTCCCCAATAGCCTGGTATGAACATGGCTGAAAAGTAGTACATCTGAACAGTCAAAATTTCTGCAGTTCAAATGCTTCACATGTCTGCCTCTTGAAAGTCTGAGGTTCAACACAGGACTGATGTACTTATGTCAATACCGAACAGTAACAAGATAAATAAGCTCTGACTTCTAATCAATTCTTTATGAGACTGATCATAGATGGGCCACTCAGCACACACATCAAGCTTGCTAACAAAAACAAGAGGAAACTCCAGAAATCCTGGTAAGTTTGTAAAGCAACTGACTATAGACCATTGTGGCAGGGAAACAATTAGTGTTTGAAGCAAGTACCTGCACCAAGGTCGGTGGTTGCCTTATCTCATATGAGCCTATGGTTTCAAATTTCTATGGTCTCTTACATCCAGATGTAAATAAAAATTATTTATCACAACCTGCGGAGCCTGAAGAATTTGGTCAGAGGGTCCTCATGCAGCCTGGTAATGATTTCTATTAACGCTGGAAATAATAGTATCTGTGTACAATTTCCACTTAAAAAAAACAAACTTTTTTCTTTTATGAGTATTTTGAACTGAGTGCCCTTGTGTTTTTGTGATTTTATTCAAAATAAGGTTGAATTTAAAGTTCTTAAAACAGAGACATCTCAGTGTGAATGTAATATCGCGTTCTCTCCAGGATTGTTGAGTTAAGGAAACAAAGTCATCATGACAAACCATCAGACTGGTTAGAATCGTGTACTGCCCAGCAATAAAAACTCAACTTAGAATTCATGAAAATTCCACTTTTTCAGCATGAGTTTGGATGTGATACTTTAACACAATTGGTTTGATTTCTCGAATTGCGTTTCTTTTGCTGGTCATTATATTAACAGGGAACTTCTAAATTTCCATTGTTCATTTTTTACAAACATTTGCTGCAGATTTGGGCACAATGTTGAGTGTGAGCAGGTCCAGATAGTTCTATGAGGTTAGATATTTTGATTGGTTTGAGATTGGAGGTCTGTTTGTTTCAGTGTTTGATGCCATATAGATGGAGATGTTGAAGCTTCTGTCTTGCTTACAGATCAACCTATTGTGGACATATTTTAAACACAAACTTTGTACTTTGTTGAACAAAGAAAATGTGACTTTTAACATTTATCTCTATTTTCATGATAACAGCACTGGCAGAGTCCATAGGTATACACCATCTATTGAATCCTTTTCCCTATTTTGGGCACTAATATGAGATGCACATACAACAATTATTAGCACATGAAAGAAAGTCAACAAAATGCAAAATTAGCACAGAAATGTTCAAATAAAAACACTGCTGAAAAAACAATATGGGCTCACAAAGCGAAACAAAGACGAATTGCATAGAGATAAAGAATAAACCAAAGCATTAGGAAAAAAACATCCGTATGACCTTTTAGCAATCACAAAAAACATGACAAGTACCAGGTATTTCTATAACAAATACTTACATCATATCTCAACAAACATGAAGACTAAAGCCGTTATAAAAAAATGTAACAGCAACAAGATCAGTTTCCGTATAACACTAACAAAACATAAAATTATTGATTAGGAACTTCATGCTTCGTTCTTTGTTTAATGTACAAAAAGTATGTACCAGGATTTTATCATTTGCTTTGTTGTCTACCATAATGAACCCATGTGTTAGTGCACTCAAACGCTTCTTTCTGTCAACAGGAATGTATCCCCAGAACAAATAGGATTTATGGATCATGGAATACCTTCTTCGCACATAAAAATTAGTAAATATCCATCTCCTTTAAATCAAATCTTAGTTCTTGCTACCACTTAAAAAGATCTGAGTTCATCCCATTACAAAATTTGTCCAGACTTTTCACAAATTTTGACCACCGGGAAATGTCTACTAAGAGGTGGACATTATGCAATCAGAAAACAGTTTTCATAAGCATTATAGCACTAGTTTCCATGGCAACTTCCATTCCAGATTACATTTCCAGAATTATCTGGACAAAGTTCTCTCGCCAAAATCTGACAACTAAACACAAGACAATTCTGTAATTTATGTCCTATAAATGGCCGAGATTAAGAGAACTCACCATGGGTTGTATGATTTAAAAGCATAACGGTATTTTTACCTTGATATGTTCAGCTTCAATGTGATTGGTCAGATGATAGGTCATTGTGATGTTAAGGCAATGGGATGAACTCAGATCACTGTTGATCGGAAACAAGAACCTTGATCGGATCTAAATGAGAATGCTTCAGCAACGTAAAGCTGATTTCATGTGAAACAACCGAGTGTCAGCCTGCTGGACTAAGGCAATGAACTGATAAATAATGTCCATAGAGCAATAGTGTTAGCAAGTATACACTCGACTATCAGACGAGAATTAGTGTATGGCTGTGACCTGTCAAATATAGAGTTCAAAGATATCGAATTGGCATTTTTGATTAAAAATGTGGCAAACTGATTCTGATTAACAAGGGCCATAACCATTATACAAAAATCCAAATTTACAACAAGACGAGAAACAAGACTGACAGACAGACGACACCTTTCCTACACACCACTTGATGTGAATAACAGTGAGCACCTCAAAATGAGATGCGTTGGATAATCAGCAGTAACTGTTTGGTTTACTGTGTGCCCTCCTTGGTAGAAAACTGCATACAGTGAACCCCTGTTTATCTGAACAAATCTGCTCCAGAGTCTACTCCTTCTCCAAGCTCATCCAGAAATTATGAAAATTTCCACTGGTCCCACTGTGCCGGGAGTTTAATACAGTTTATTTACCATTATAGGAACTGAAAATTACACACTTCAAGTCTATAATGGATAACTGTGGAGCATAAGAAACATTACATCTTGATATTTGATAATACTCACATATAATCATCAAGGTTACATGGCAAAACCAAAATGTTAAATCATGATTCTATTCTCAAAATTTCAATTAGCCATTCTCAAGTCAAATATTTGAAATATAACAAATTCCTGGATATCATCATAACAAAGCGGATGATAGTCAAGGCAAAGTGGACAATGTGAGTTTTCTTGGTCAGTATCTAATAACCGGCAATAAATAGAACTCCAGGGGAGACAATCTGCTGTCCTTTCATTAACAACATGCCAGTGCATTAACAAAACCTTTACAACTTTTACATGGAATGTTTTCTCCGAGTATCAATAAAACATTTCATTTACAGAATAGCACTTCTGATGCTAACTTTCCAGATCAATTAGACCTTTAAAGACAACGAATGCTAAATATATAAATGTAAGTTTACATAACCCGAGCAAGCACTCTTTCTATCATGTAATAAGTCTATACAAGTAATGCTGTACAAAATGAATCAATACAAGTTTTAACTCAGTCATACAAAATCAATTTTACGATGTATGTACTTCATAATTAACATATTTTTACAGTTTTGGTTTCCAATCTCTGGCTCTGAAATAATATCAATATGAAATCTGTCCTTCATGAGAATATTTCTCTTTACTGGTATGTTATGGCTGTATCTACATCATCACTTTCCCTTCTGAATCTGAAACTATTTCTTTAGTGTATATTGATTCCATGGATTGTCATATATATATATTTCAGGTTGTACTTGTAATGGTATTTGCAAAATGACTGGATGGAATTGTACAATAATCAAGTAAAGCTGATCACCGACGGTGTGGTCCTAACAATAAATTAGCTATCTAACGTCAAAGTATAAGTCAGCAAACTTAATGGCCTGAGACTATTTGCTAAATTGCAAAAACAAAAAACTTGAAAAATTCGTCAAAAAATATCTTTCACTTACCAATAGACTCATACATAAAGTAAAAATTATTTTGCTGTTTTCCTGAAAGTAGGAAAAATTGTTTATCACAATCTGGCAATATGACACGATTTTATTTTCTGTTTTTTAAAAACTGGCAAACTTTGTCTGCCGAATCTTTCATCCACCGAGCGTTGAGTCGGATGTTCTCTACAGACTGCTGCACTGTCCTTTCTGCAGCTGGGGCAGGGTTGGCCTTGAAGAATTCCTGCAAGTCAGCATATTGTACATCATTACTGAAACATGCACAGCTGCTAAACTTCCCAAATTACAATGAATAGTTTTGTCTAAATTACAAAACTTACAGAGTTTAGATGATAATTTTACATCCGAGTTTCTATTTCAACTACAGCAACTTCAGATAACATGAGAGCAAGCATTATTTTGTAGCAAGTGAAACATCTATCCTTCTCTCGTGTAAGGAATAGTCCATACTCCTACCTCAACTGCCTGAGCCATTTCCTCTGTTGCGAAGTTTTCTGTGGATGACTGAAACAGACATGCGGTTTATCAGTTTCCCCAAACACCAACTGCACAGCAAGTCAAAGTAGGTGAGGTGAGGTGAAATTGGATTTAACATCGTGCTTTGAATATTTTGCTCATATGACGACGTGCATGCCTGTGTATGTGTATGTGCGGCTGCTTGTACTAGCCCAGACTTAAGCTGGTTTTATAGTGTTAGACCACTAAGATACCATGCCGCAGTGAAGCATGAATACCCCAATCAGACAAATTATACTGACTCTGAACCGACCAGTCCTTGTACCCATTAATGCCGAGCGCCAGGCAGGGACCAACAAGTACCATATTTTAACGTCTTTTGGTATGACGCGGTCGGGGATCGAGCAGCTACCTTCCGCTCTCTGGGCGGACGCTCTAACCACTACACCATGGAGGCGGTCCACAAGTAATAGTAGGAATCAGTGGTGGTCCGATTGGTTGCAATGACTAAACGACCAAGCAATCGATCATGATTTCTCACTATTTTGGAACATTTGTTTCCATTAACAATATTTTCACAAGGTTGGTTTTGTCTGTTACAGTTCATAAGCACTACCATCTTGTTCCATGTCATGACAGAATGTATCTTTAAGACTCTAGGAAATTTATGTTCCTAAGATACTAGTCATCCTTTAAAGATTTGAAATTTAGATTTGAAAGAGCTACAAATGTTTTTTGTTCATTTTTTGTGCATTAACAAACATAACCAGGAAAATTTGATAAATGAGGCTAACCAATTATTTTCAATAAATGATCGGTTGTAATGAACCAATCAACAATTATAAGATTTTAACCAATTCCCAACACTAGTAGGAAAGCATCTACTGAAAAATACATATAAATCTGGACATCCACAGAATTACCTCTTATGACTGACTGACTGACTGACTGACTGACTGAGTTTAGTTTTACGCCGCTTTTAGCAATTTTCCAGCAATATCACGGCGGGGGACACCAGAAATGGGCTTAACACATTGTGCCCATGTGGGGAATCGAACCCGGGCCTTCGGCGTGACAAGCCAACGCTTTAACCACTAGGCTACCCCACCGCCCCTACCTCTTATGAGCAATGGTCCCTGGAATTCCCACAGGCATACACCCAATGGGATGGGATCGGGATCAGACATGACTCATACGGTATCTTTGCTACCTCCTCACCTTGACAAGCCTGGCTAACAGGAAGCTGTGATATCTCTCATGCATTTCTTTCCAGTTTTCTTTCACAAAGGCCCAAGTGAGTTCTCTCCCCTTGGCAGAGCCAGTGGCCCCAGCGAGCACAAACACTGTGTCTTGGGCACGTACTTTGTCCTGAAATATGTGAATGTGAAATATGTGACTGAGGTCGTCTCCTCTACACTCCCACAACTATTCCCACAAAATGTCAACTCAGCAAAACCTAAAAAAGCTCTCCCAGGAAATCAGACAAGCCACCGTTGACAGGTGTTCAAAAAGTCTATCAATCAATCCTTCTGCTTCATACTAATCTCTAAGCCACTCTGACAAAATTGTATAAAGAACTAGAAGTCTAAAAAGTGTAAGGTATACAAGAAATAAAAACAATTTTCAAACAAGCTGAAATAATATAATTATACTAATTAAGGGTTTTGTAATGCACAATGTCCATCCACGAATGATGCCTCATTAAAATTGTTTATAATTCAGTCAAGAATATATAAAATATTCTGTATCTTAACACTGCCCTGATCATAGCATCCCTCTACTGGAGTCAGCTTATTTACTCACAGTCATAGCAAACTCGTGGACACGCTTTATCAGCTCCTCGTCTTTCACTGCACCGAGAGCTCGTCCAATACGACTCTTCTCCTCTTGCATGTCGGCCTTGTCGTAGAGCTGCACACAGAGACACAGTGTCAACAAACATCAGATGCACAAAAATACAAACTTTCCACACACAGACACACAAGTTTAACACAGATCAGACACACAGTTCCATCAGAGTGAGTGAGTGAGTGAGTTTAGTTTTACGCCGCACTCAGCAATATTCCAGCTATATAGCGGCAGTCTGTAAACAATCGAGTCTGGACCAGACAATCCAGTGATCAACAGCACGAGCATCAATCTGCGCAATTGGGAACCAATGACATGTGTCAACCAAGTCAGCAAGCCTGACCACCCGATCCCGAGATCCATTAGAGACACATACAGAGGCAATATGCCTCAGTACACATTGTACACACAGTCAACACAGCAGACACTTAGACTTGTGTCTATTACAGGGGAAAGCTAAGCCAACAAAAGTAGGAAACCTATAAAAGAATTCTTCCAGTCTATTAGATCTCTGCATACCTTACACACTGAGCAAACTTGATTTCTAGGACAAGTAAGCTACTCTTTATGTCTCTCCTTATATCAACAACAAACATAGTCAACTTTTCTAATTCTGGATGTACAGAAGGAGCTTACCTCCAGCATCTTGTCGAAGTCTTCACTTTTACCTTGAGACAGGACTGTGATGAAAACCTGAGAAACAGGGGAGATAATAGCTGTGTATTATTGGAACAAGTTTTAACAAATCAGTCGGTGATATAACAGCTTTATCATACAGATGAGTCATGAGGGTCATAAATCTAAAGAGTCACAATTGTTCAAACAGGGCATCAACAACACAGGGTTCTTACAACAAGCATCCACTACAGGAGACAAGTCAAATGGTAATACAAAACCTTCAACTCTCATATTCCACAGGGGTAATCATGTGTTCAAAGCATTAGCAGGTCCAGTAGACAGGAACATTGTAATTAGTGGCATAAAACATGAAACATGTACAAGTTTCAAACTACCAACATGATACCTCTGCAGTGTTCATTCTAGCTGACATTGAATTATATTTTTGGGTATAAGTCATTAATTTTTTTATTTTTTTATCAAAAGAAAGGTTAAACTCTCTTGGAAACAATGCATTGCCCATCAACAAGCTCATTAATTTGCTGTTCTGTGTGCTAATCTCCAAATTCTTGTATGCCAGAGTCTGGTTATGAATGTCCAATAACAAGATGTGGAGTTTAACTTTTCATCACATATTTCAAAAGCTGCAACACGTTATTTCCTCCAAAACCACTCACCGGAGCCCTGAGGTCTGCTGGGATGACATTATCTCCCTTGTAGTGGCTCTCAAACCTCTTCCTTGCCTCTACTACTGTCGACTCATCACCATAGCGACCCATCTTGGTCAGGATGAGATCTCTCAACATAGCTGTCAGCTGGCCTTGATGGGAATCAAGGAATAAAATGTCAATCATCTTGTAAATATTCTCTTTCCATCTTTCAAGGTTTATTTGTTGTTTAACATCACACTCAGCAATATTCCAGCTTCATGACAATGGTCTATTAACAATGAAGTCAGGAACAATCTAGTGATTAACATCTACTCAAATTGAATATAATGACATGCATTATCCAAGTCCACGAGCCTGACCATGCAATCTCATTAGCTGCCTCTTTCAACACAGGTTGCTGAAGAGTAACTCTAACCTGTATCTTCACAGGATGCTGTAAATATGCAATTTTTATGATAAAATAGAGTAGCCTATGGTCGTGTGGGACGCTGGCACGGGAACCAGAGAGGCCCATTTGGGTGAGCTAATTTTAGGCCGTTCATTAGGGAACAATAGGACAGAGGTTTTCACTGTACCTCGGAATAAGGGAGAGAAAGCAATAACGTACAAGTCAGGATAAGGAAAAGTATATAAATTACTCAATCTCTAATACCTAACTACACAATGTAAAAGACATCGTATTTTAGAAGATGTTAATCAGTGGCAACATTGACATACTTTCGCCCTCTTTCTTATCCCAGCCCACTGTCTTGGCCACCTGGGAGAAGAGGTCACGGGCGAAGGCCTTGTAGAGGTCGTAGGAGTCTGTGTACTGGAGTAGGACGGCCATGCTAGAAAGGTTAAGGGAAAGGTCGTTCCACACTGTGTAGTTGTCCTCGTTGATGAAGGCCTCGGCCACCTTCAGTACGTCCTCTGATGCAGCCATGCCAGCTCGGGCCTGAGAAAATGAACATAAAGAATTAAGTGAGTTAGTTTCAGTCACTTTTAACAATATTCCAGCAATATCACAGCGGAGGACACCAGAAATGGGCTTCACACATTGTACCCACGTGGGGAATCGAACCCGGGTCTTCGGCGTGATGAGTGGACGCTTTAATCACTAGATTACCCCACCTTATCACCAAGAATTAAGACATACCTCAAACTACTTATAGTAATGGAAGGCTCTTCTCATTAAAGTTCTATCACTGAAGTGTCCTTATCACTAAAGTCATGTTGATTAAAGGTTAACATATTCTTTCCGTAGTGCATGAAAACTCAAGTAATCAAGCCATCTCTTTGATTATGACATCTGATGCTTTGAACTATATTTATACTGACCAGTGCAAAGAGGTCATTCTGGAGTCCGAGTCTGTCTCTGGGAGGAAGGGATCTGTCCTTGACAGCCGGGATCAGAGCTGCTAGCATCTCTGTAGGGTACTGTACTCTGTAGACACCCACTGTGTTGGTGTTGACCTGTCACAAGCAGATGATATATTATCGATATAGCATCAGTATAGCGTCAGTATAGCATCAACATAGCATCTGTGTACTACAAACATACCATGCATGAATCATCCATGTATCATCTATGTAGCAACTAAGTGTCAAATAAGTACCACTTAGATACATCCATGTATCATCAATTAACCATTGTGAGCTATGTACCACGTATGTATCTGTGAACCACGTATGTATCAACTGTGAACCACCTATGTATCAACTGTGAGTGAGTGAGTGAGTTCAGTTTTACGCTGCTTTTAACCATATTCCAGCTATATCACGGCGGGGGACACCAGAAATGGGCTTCACGCATTGTACCCAGGTGGGGAATCGAACCCGGGGCCTTCGGCATGACGAGCGAACGCTATCACCACTAGGCTACCCCCACTATGAGCAACTGTAACCACCTATGTATCAACTGTAAACCACCTATGTATCAACTGTGAACCACCTATGTATCAACTGTGAACCACCTATGTATCAACTGTGAACCACCTATGTATCAACTGTGAAACCACCTATGTATCAACTGTGAACCACCTATGGTATCAACTGTGAACCACCTATGTATCAACTGTGAACCACCTATGTATCAACTGTGAACCACCTATGTATCAACTGTGAACCACCTATGTATCAACTGTGAACCACCTATGTATCAACTGTGAACCACCTATGTATCAACTGTGAACCACCTATGTATCAACTGTGAACCACCTATGTATCAACTGTGAACCACCTATGTATCAACTGTGAACCACCTATGTATCAACTGTGAACCACCTATGTATCAACTGTGAACCACCTATGTATCAACTGTGAACCACCTATGTATCATCTGTGAACCACCTATGTATCAACTGTGAACCACCTATGTATCAACTGTGAACCACCTATGTATCATCTGTGAACCACCTATGTATCATCTGTGAACCACCTATGTATCAACTGTGAACCACCTATGTATCAACTGTGAACCACCTATGATATGATCTGTGAACCACCTATGATATGATCTGTGAACCACCTATGTATCAACTGTGAACCACCTATGTATCAACTGTGAACCACCTATGTATCAACTGTGAACCACCTATGTATCAACTGTGAACCACCTATGTATCATGTCTGTGAACCACCTATGATATGATCTATGTATGAAACCACCTATGTATCAACTGTGAACCACCTATGTATCAACTGTGAACCACCTATGATATGATCTGTGAACCACCTATGTATCAACTGTGAACCACCTATGTATCAACTGTGAACCACCTATGTATCAACTGTGAACCACCTATGTATCAACTGTGAACCACCTATGTATCAACTGTGAACCACCTATGTATCAACTGTGAACCACCTATGTATCAACTGTGAACCACCTATGTATCATCATCCACCCATGTATCAACTGAACCACCTATGTATCAACTTTATGTATCCCTATCACCTATGATCATATGAACCACCTATGCATAATCTATGTAGCATGACATGCTGACCTTGACCACCTATTCTCCGGCCTACCTATTAAGTCCAATGTGACCTGACAACTGACTTCCCATTCTCCAGCATGATGGTCTAGTGTGACCTCTGAACTCTTCCCCTCCAGCATGATGGTCTTGACAGGGGCGGCAGGGCTGCTGGCTGTGGAGAAGCTGATGGGCACCAACCAGCTGGACTTGTCATCTGTCAACATGGAGGGACTCTCACAATGACAAACACACTAAACAGCTGACAAAATGAAACACATATTCCATCTGTACTAAGGTATATTTACTGCTTATGATTATTAATGTGAGTGAGTGAGTGAGTGAGTGAGTGAGTGAGTGAGTGAGTGAGTGAGTGAGTGAGGTTGGTTTTACGCCGCTTTTCGCAATATTTCAGCAATATCATGGCAGGGGACACCAGTAATGGGCTTCACACATTGTATCCATGTGGAGAATTGAACCTGGATCTTCGGTGTGACGAGCAAACGCTTTAACCACAAGGCTACCCCACGGCCCCTGATTATTAAAGTGAAACAGCACATCAACTGATCACACATAATAGCATTGTTCTGCTTTTATGCTTCTTTTACCCCAGTCTGCTTGCTGCTTGTTCGTGCATGTTTCTGTAAACTGACTATCAAGTGTATAGGTCTCCTTACCTGCAGGTAATTTACCATCAGCACAAAACTTCTCCTGTGTGACTGTGAGAATCGCTTGTCTCCATCCTGCCTCTCACTCACCTGCAGGTGACACAGATCATCTCGTTACAAAATAACTAAATCCCCATGAAAACAAAGAATATAGTAAATACATACTCCAGAAGGAGCTTTTACTACCCCAATGTCTTTTGATAAGGACAATTTGAACTTTCTAAAATATCTGGAAACAATCAATTTCTTCATCCAACGAACGATGGTGTGAACTGCAGGGCTCCTACAGTTGCACGCACATGTGTATGTCATTGAGGTTCATTGCAATTGTCAGCAATAAAACCACTGCTTGTTTATTATGTCATGACCAGCGGTTAATAGTGTAGCGGGCCATAAAATTTCACAGTCCCGTGCTGGGATTCGAACCACAGACCTTCTGACTCCTTGTCCACATGACCAAGAGTTAATCCCGTCAGCAAGCTGACAAGGTAAGGATGTCATCTGTGGGATGACTCCATGCCCTGCTACAATAGCATGAAAGAACTATCATGGTGACACTCCGTCAGCCTGGTCACATAATCCTGATCCTCATTTTGATCACTGACCCAAATCATTCCCAATCTCATGGTATACTGCACACATTTTGTTTCTGTCATTTGCATATTTCTAGAAGCTACATCAATATTCATTGCCACCCTGCATATATTCAGTCTGTGTCTACTGACCATCTGAATATCCTACAAATGTTGATGATGCAACCAAAGAAAAGTACATGCCTTAGTACAATCTATACACGCTGCAACTTTGGCTGCCCACACTTGCTATACCATGAGCCAATGTCTTCTGAATGTTACTAGCTAGAGGTATTCTCACTAGCAAGCCAGGGACTGATTGTTTAGAGATATTGTCAAACAATCAGAATTCAAGGATCCCTACCAGAAGTTCTGAAGTCAATGTTGAAGCAACACAAAAATGTCTCTCTGTCTCTCCAAGTCCCTGCTTACCTTGATGACTGGGAATCCCATCTGTTTGGTCCAAGTGTCCATCATCTTGGCCACCGGCTTCCCGCTGGCTTTTCCCAGGGGAAGCCCACAGATCCTCAGTGACGGTGTTCTTGTACTGGTGCTGGGTCAGGTACTTGTTCATTCCCTTGGAAGTCCTGAAGAAGAAAGTCCTTGGTTTGTATTGGGTAATATTTTGGTTCGTTGTTTAACACCACACTCAGGAAAAATACAACTGTATGATTACATCCATTTATAATCAAGTCTGTCCAGACAATCCAGTGACACTCAATCAACCAAGTCATCAAGTCTGACCACCTAGTCATCTCTTTATGTATGGTGTCCTATAATTGCCATCGCATGGCGTAAAAAGAAGTACGTCGTGGGCGAGCGTCGCCCACGACGTCGCATAAAAAACGACGACGTCGTGTAAGACGTCGTCCACGACGTCAGCAGAAATACACAAAGAGATCTCGACAAAAATACAAAATCGACGTCGACGTCGTGTTTAGAAATTGTTATATTGGAAAATCGGGGAATAACCTTTTGTGGTGCAGTTATACTGCTATTGATCTCTAATCACTGATTTCATGTTCAACATTACTACTTATTTAAGTAAACCAATCAAGGGGTAAGCGCCAGAACACCTTAAGTAAAAAATTCTGTCAAATTTAGTTGATGCTTGATGTTGTGAAAACGGTGTTGTTTTAAAGGATCAAAACACTGGTTTTCTACAAAATGTAAAATGTCTCCACTCAGGAAACGAAATATGACTTTTGTACCAGCGGGTTGACATGTGAACCAGCGGGTTTAGTGAGTGAGTTTAGTTCACTCAGTTCATTAGTAGTGAGTTATTCAATTTCTTACATAAACGTGCAAGCTATGAGAATGTTGGAATTGACAGTTTTCATCATCATTTCCACAAATTCAGTTATGGAAAATGCACAATAGGTTTCTTTATACTTCTGTGGTGGAACATACATATATGTAAATGGTTATATGTTTATTGTGAACAAGAAGAAAAGGGAAAATGGATCTCGTGGAGATGCATTCAGAACGACTGCATATCAGTCTTAACAGTGAACGACATAATTTCCCAAGTACCTGGAGACCACAACCACGGACCTGTACACAGCTTAAGTCAAAGTGAATCTTTTTCGACTGTACCAAAAATACTGACGGCCCCCGCACAAACAACAACCTCCGGGTTGCAATTTGGCATGGCCGCCTCATGAAGGTTGTGGTAAAACAACATCCCACCCTATTCGAGATGGCCAAGTTCCTGGAAGATGAACAAGGACTGAACGAGGCAAAGATGCTTCAGTACAATGCGGCCAAAGACTGACCCCAAATAGAAGTACAGAGATTTGGAGGAACCACTAGATACCTTGAAGTTCAGGCTTGCAAATAACCACCCGACAGTGATGGAGTACCTGGACAATGACAGATAGACACACAGACAGTCACACAGGCTTTATTCAGTAGTTAAGGCCCAGTGGCCCAGAGTACAATTGAAGTTACTCAATTACAACTATTGGTCACGTGACATTAAATTATGATTTTACATGTGATTTACGGATGGACATCAAATGTTTCATGAAAATGGCAACAGATTTAATAATATCAGCATTATTAGAATTAAGTACATTGAATATCGCTTTGTGGGGCATCATTAGTGCATTTTAAATACTTCTTCGGCAGGCAGAGAAAGTCTTACAGACTAATAATAAGGGTCGCTCATCTTCAGTTTTACCAGAAGAACAATAAGAACATGATAAATCTTCCAATATATTATTATCTTTTTCTAAAACGTTGTATTTTAAGGCATGAAGAGAGATTTTAAATTTACAAAAATTCTTAAAGGGACTTATCATTAAGAACACTGACATATTTTGCAGGTCCGAACATCGATTTACATTGTGAATAATGACTAAGAAAAACTCGATGAATTGACAGATGCGCATTACCAACTGTGAATATATATCTTTTATTAAGTTGTTTAAATGTTGACAAAACATTTTATATCACCAACATTTTGCTTAAATCAAACATGAGAAAACTCGCTGAAAATAACATATTTCTCACATCTGAAGCCCATGAATACTTTCCACATTTATCCAGTGATAACAATATTTGACAGCTTTGATAGGGTAGCGATAATCAGGCATTCTTATAAGTTTAATCCAGTATCTAATAACTCTCATTTGACTCTCAATATGCATGTTATAGCATCCTGTTTCGCCAAGTATGGCTTTATTGGAAGCAAATATACCTTCTGTAAGAAATCTTTTAAAATAAGATGCATGGACATTTTCAATGGCTTCAAATAATTTGCTCCCCATGTTATATGGGAAATTATGACATGATTATATATTTTAAAAGAAATATACTAAATCACAACCTTTTGTAATATGTTATAAAGGATCAAAGAAAGTATACATTTACACACACACAACATTCTTATGTGTTTTCATTGTATTCTAAACCGTAAACAACACCAGCCCAAATCCGATAGCCAGCCAGTATGCATATGCTTAAATTTGCTAGTACACATGAAAGGCAAAATGGTATTATATCTACTAGTACCTAAATACTTCTTTATAGAGTCTCAAAGCGTAGTATTTTAAGCAAACACGTTGCTCGAAGTGCAGCCTTCATTTCTATATATTCTGAACAAACACACTGTGTCACAAGCGTTCGGTCCGCTTGGCTCGAAGTCGCCTAAAGCACCTAACACCTCAAAGGTGTATCTTTAATTGTGCTTAAATCCATAGATTAGTATTATATCTACCTACATATCACATTGAAATGTTACAAAATGCCACATGTAAAGGTAACTGCTCCGTTAAAGTGAAGCCCTTGTCTGCCAACCTTCAAAATAGCCTCAATCAAAGGTGTTCAGTCTGTTCGGCCCGACTTGGCCCGGGCTGTCAAAAGCAACTTAAACCTCACACATGTATCTTGAAATGTGTTTAAATCCATAGATCAGTATTATATCTACCTAAATGCCACATTGTGATGTTACAAAGAAAACTGGGTCTATAAAGTGGTATTTAGATAGATATAACTATATTCATTGGATGTAAACAGAATCTAGGATTCATCTGTGAGACTTCAAGATACATGTGCGAGGTTTAAGTTACTTTTGACAGCTCCGCCAAGTGGGGCCAACAGAAACTTAACACTTTTGATTGAGGCTATGTTGAAAATAGAGAGTGAGTGAGTGAGTGAGTTTAGTTTTCGCCGCGACTCAGCAATATTCCAGCTATATGGCTGGCTGTCTGTAAATAATCAGTATGAACCAGACAATCCAGTGATCAACAGCATGAACATCGATCTGCGCGATTTCGAACCGATGACATATGTCAACCAAGTCAGCGAGTCTGACCACCCGCTCCGTTACGACAAGCATGGGTTACTGAAGGCACTTTCTAATCCGGACCTTTACGGGTGAAAATGGAGAGAAAAGGGGCTGGAAAAGTGATATTTAGGTAGATGTAATACTAATCTGTGAATTAAAACGCAATTCAAGATACATGTGTGAGGTTTAAGCTGCTTTTGACGGCCGAGGTATGCCGGACCGAACAATAGTGGCGGTGATTATTATGTTTAGAGTGTGGGGAAGAGATCGCTTTCATTTGCAGATGGGTATGCCTTACATACAATGAACAGTGGCCTTCTAGGGTGGTATTTGATTGGATATAGGTGTAAAAACATTTTCGGTCGACAGAAATGTTTATCGGGAGTGACTGAAGCATTTTTTGCGTTTTAAATCCTGTTTCGTTTAACGATTCTTCTTTTAGACGTAACCTTGGTCAGCCACGTTCAGAGGCCGATAACCACTCGATATAGTCCGGCGTCGCTCGACGTCGCCGTCAGCCGCATAACGTCGCCCGTTATTTTTTTAGCCAAAATATATTTTACAAAGCGCGACGTCGTCTTTTTTATGCGACGTACTTCTTTTTTTACGCGCCACGCGATGGCAATTATAGGACACCATACTTATGGCTGGTAGGGCTGCGCAATATAACCGGTTTACAGGTATTGACCAGTTGAGACATGAAAACGATACGTATTGCGATGCGCTGATCGAAAACCGGTATTTTGACTTGCATTCAGAAAACTTCGGATATGTCCTTGTTTCATTTGTTCCAAATATTATTCATATTTTTATTTTATCATGATTAAAAGTTGTTATTAAAGCTTAATCAAGCCTAGTGATTTTGTTGTGTTTTTGCTCTATAAATCAAGAATTAACTTGATTATAAGTAGGTTTTTGTTTAAAAATACTTCATGCAATATATTGCAATACATATCGCAATACATGCTTTCTCATTGCAATATATATTGCAATATGAAAATTCTGTGCAATACCAACCCTAATGACTGGCATGGGCTCCAATTCAATCGGGGACCAATTCTAATCCAGAACCCCTACAGGGGTGAAAGAGTTTGAGTAAACATGGCTTAAGCTATCCGCAGCAATATTCCATAACTATCACAGATAGGACACCTGAAAGGGCTTCACATATTGTACTTGCAGCAAAACGACCAAATTAGTTGTGGTTTGAAAAGTACATATCAATTCCTGTCAATAGAATGTTTGAGGAAGGCCATTGTGATAGATGTTTGCAACTTTGGTGAAAACCTACAGGTATGGAAATGATGGTAAATCTGGGATATCATGAACTGACCTCGTCTCCAAGGTAGTCGTGCAGCATCCTGATGACAGAAGCTCCCTTGCTGTAGGAGATGGCATCAAAGATCTCATCCACCTCTGCTGGGTGTCCGACTGGGACCTGTGAGTCATAACATTAAATACATAAAACACTGCAGACTGACTCGGTGTAATCAGTGAACAACAAAACATTACACCTTTGTGGACAAACCGTAAAGCAGTCACATGCCAAACTGATGTGGATTTACATAGAGGCATGAAACTCTGCCACACGGATTGTACACATTTAAATGTTCATAATCCAAAGTAGTGGTGAGGTGAGGTGAAATTGGGTTTATCGTCGTGCTTGAGGATATTTTACAAAAATGCGCTCATATGACAAAGCATTGATTGCTATAAAGTGTATGTCAGTATGCGATGCTGCTTGTACTAGCCCAGACTGAAGCTGGTTTTATAATGCTAGCCCACTGAGATACCATGCTGCAGTGAAGCATCAATACCCCACTCAGACACATTATACTGGCTCCGAGCCGACCAGTCCTTGTTGTACTCATTAATGCCGAGCGCCAGGGAGGGAACAACAAGTATCATATTTTAACGTCTTTTGGTATGACACGGACGTCGGGGATCGAACCCGTGACCTTCCACTCTCCGGGCGGACGCTCTAACCACTAGACCACAGAGGCGGTCCCAAAGTATTGACAATAGGTACTGTCTGATTCAAGAGTAGAATGCATTATGGCAGAAAATGATCCTTGACAAAACAAAATCGGCAGAAGATATTTCAGATACAGATTGTCATCCCTGAATCCAAATATATACGATAAATGGTTAATAAACTAATAGTATCTCTTGACCTTGACTTTGATCTTGATCCATTAATAACAGCTAATAATATTTTTCCATATTGTATATGTCCAAAATGTGATCTAAATCTTCATAGAAGAGTGGTATCTCCTCGTATATTACCGAGGGAAACGAGAATGAACTTCTTGTGCACACTGATCCATAGACCATGGTTAGAATGCTGTGTGCTATGACATATCTGTAATATTATCATCATTATTATTATCATCCCATACCTCAATAGGGTGACTGGTGTGAAGGCCGTCCAGCTCCAGGGCCCGGCCCAGATCCATGTTGACAAACTGGGTCCAGATGTCATACTCGGGGAAACACTCGTCCACACACAGATACTCGATCCATGACGCGAAGCCCTCATTGAGCCACAAGTTGGTCCACCATTCCTACACATATCAATATCAACAGCTTACCAGGCAGCATAATGCCAAAGGACAAAAACAGCATCCATTGGGATCATTTATGGACAGATATCAAAACGAAACACTTCAGACAGGAACTACTTTTGTAATTTTGAAACAAACATAGAGCTGCCCTGGTCTGTTGGCACACTCTCCTACCCAGAGTTCCATGCGGCCAGCCAGTATAGTACCTCTGCCACAGGCCAGGTTCATGTGACGATTTGTCACATCTTGCACAGTCCATTCAATATACTGTACATATTTCTGAACTCTTTTATTTTTGACGAGTCTACACATCACATTAAACATCTTTGATAGAATGGTTTAGTTTCACTGAGAAAATATCCTAAAACATGTAACACTATTTCGATTTGCAAAGCAATCCTTTGTTTACATAGGTTGTACGGCTCCACATGCTGTCATCGAAGCCGACAGAGAGCAAACGATGCAACCAGTTTGATATATAAATATGTATTGTCATAAACCTTACTGTCGCACTTGTAGAAGATTATTTATGTAACAGTGTAAAACATTGTGAAGACCACGCCGAATTGGTTGCATTGGGCCAGTATCTTCTTACTTACAAATATGCGCGTTTGTTTACAAACAAGAGAAATGTCCGGTCACATGATATGCAAATTAGCCTGTGGCAGTGATGTTATGCTGAGTCATTGCTGCGCCGGAGTGTGCTGTTGGCATACACTGACTATGCAATGTACAATTCAGAGCCACAATTCGGTTTATTGGATGTATTGGGTGTATACCCATTAAAACTAAAGATCAGTAGCCTGCACGTACCATTGTAACCAGGTTACCAAACCACTGATGAGCAAGTTCATGTCCTACAACTAGAGCCACCCACTGCTTCACCCTGGCTGAGGTGTTAGTGGTATCTACCAGCAGCGCCGTCTCTCTGTACGTCACCAGGCCCCAGTTCTCCATGGCACCTACAGAACAGAATTTAAAGTGCATCGTCATAAATATCAAAGTTTCCAACTATTTTCATGTATGTAAATAGGTATAAGGTTGCCGAATGTTTTTCTCAAGAGGCAACCTCAATGAGACTGACTGACTGACTGACTGACTTTGGTTTTACGCCGCTTTTAGCAATATTCCAGCAACATCACAGCGGGGGACGCCAGAAATGGGCTTCACACTTTGTACCCATGTGGGGATTCAAACCCGGGTCTTTGGCTTGACGAGCCAACGCTTTAACCACTAGACTACCCCACTGCCCCACCTCAATGAGAATTGGGTAATTGCTAAATAACATGCTAACTTTAGTCATCAGCTGTTTGCCATTTACAGGTAGGCATTAGATCCTAGATATTGATGCCATGTTACTGACCGCAGCAATAAATACAACTCACTCCTCTCAGAGCCTTTACAGAATACAATTTCCAATGTATCACTGCAAAATTAGTTTCCTCTGTAAAAAGGAGGGAGTGCTGTTTCAGTTCTCTGCATTTCACTTACCTGAAGCAAAGTCTGCAATAGCAATCAGATCCATCTTTGGTAGGGGGTATGGAATGCCGAAGTAATCTTTGTAGAATGGCAGGGTTTTCACAGCTACCTGGATCACATTTTGTATATATAATGCATCACTGTGCTGTCACTTTATATTCACCCCGATTTAACTTGGCGGCAGATATGTAAGTAATATACATACGTGGCATGTATTTAGCCTTGTATATGTACTTTCAGAGTTTTAAGAGAACTATCTACAACAATGAACATGTGATGAAATTATAATTCACTGAAACTATTTGGTTATCGCTCAGGGTAAGATATATTCCTAATGGGTAAATCACTGTATGCCTCTAATTCCTACAACAAGTATTCTTGGTTACAGATATACAGGGCTAATCTCAGGCATAATGGCTGGCTCAGCAAGTTATTCGAAAGCAAATCATTTTTCAACCTAAAAGTCAAATGACTACCCTTTATAATAATGATTAAACAATGTATCCAATTCAAATGACATTTATTTTATCACTAGACCAAACAGAGCCAACAGACAACTGAACATTGTCAGTCTTTAAGTGTGAATATCGGGGCACAGTTCACACCATTGCCATCACGTCCAGAGATGCCAACCCTATTTGGGGCCTAAGTGTAATACTAGAGGTCAAAAAGTGTAATTTGGACCTAAAAAGTGTAATACTTGTCTGCCGATCGCTTCAACATGGTACACGTTTTCACGAAAGGAAGATTCTAGACAGAAACACATGTGACTAATCATTATGAATCACCATACATCGAAAATTGTTGGTCATGTGACTCAACATACTTTAATTCCTTGCAAGTTAATTGGAATGAGTGCGATGCTAAGAGAAAGCGATTCCTATCGGTGCAAGGCCATTTCTGCACCCCTGCACCTGTGCGTTACGAAACACTTCCCTGTGAAAATTTATCCACTTAACTGATTTTCGAAAAATGAGTAGAAAAGCGTAATTTTCGCAGATTAAGTGTAATGGCGTAATTTAACGGTCAAAATCGTAATAATTACGCCTAAAGCGTAAGGGTTGGCATCTCTGCACGTCCTACTGTAAGACTATTCAAATACCGATTTAGACAATGTCCACAATAGTCAGTACTGCAGTTTTAGTTCAATGTATACATTACAACTAGTCCACCTACATCAAGAGCAAAGGTTCCTTGCTCCTTCTTGCCCACAGGTGTGTAGACTCTCACAAGGACACCATCTGCATCCTTGCCCTCCACATAGTCGTAGTCTCCGACGATGAAGGCCAGGAGGTAGGTGGACATGATGGGCGTTCTGTCATACACTACCACGCGCCAGTTTGGATCCTTGTCCGGGGTGTCAGACTTTACAGGCTGCAGGGAAATACATCGTGTCACTAATCTCTTTCAAATTTTACTACGGAAACATATGACCACCAAGGAATGGTCCACAGAGGACAGTAATTTCATTTTGTTGTTGTAATTTTAGGGGAAAATAATAGCATTAAGATTATTTAATACAGCAACATTTACGCAAAGGCATATGCACAGACAGTATGATATCTAAGCATCATGGTCAACAGTATTGAGTGTATTTGCAAAGTAACTCCCTGGAATGTGTAAATGAAATATCTATACACAACTAAATCCATCTTACCATATTGCTGAGAGCTACTTTATCCTTCGGCACAACAAGCGTGACATCAAACGAAGCCTTAACTGCTGGCTCATCCCAGCCAGGGAAAGCCCGACGAGCATCGGTGGCCTGAAAGAAATAATTTACAATCAACACATGGATTACCTGCAAACACAACCTCCTCCATTAGCCAGTATTCAATATACTGTCATGAGACCTAATAAATCTTGTTAGCTGAACTTTCTAATCAGCTGATCAGCACAGAGGCTTTTAATGTTTTTACAACAAACAAATGAACCATCTAGAGCCGCATATCCAATTTCTGTATCCCAAAAAAGGCTGTTTCAAATTCAAACAAGACAAAGTCATCAATATCCCCCGCAATGGCAAAATATTCTTCATGAATATGTCTACGAGTTATGATTATGTCAAATGTATTGGCGTGTATATAATAAAGTGGAAGGAGAGTACTGAAAGGTTTCAAAGTTCTGCTCCAGGAAGGAGCACTACCACCAAATTCAGTTCAAGCCAAAATTGTTGCCATGGAATAGGACAACAACAAAAATTATTCAGAAATCCAAAACTACCAAAAGGCACCAGTTCACCACTAGACCTACCTATATGATTATGTCAAATGTGCCAAGTTTGGTGAAGAAATATTGAATGGTTTTAGAGTTCTGCTCAGGAATATAGCACTACCACCAATTTCAGTCTAAGTCCAACTTGTTACCATGGAAACACAAAAACTATTTTATTCAGAAATCCAAAACTACCAAAAGGCACCAGTAGACCACCAGATCTATCTATGTGCCAAGTTTGAAACATATTTAACTGGTTTAAAGTTATGCCGGAAAAGAAAATGTGCACGGACTTTACACACACAGGCGGACTGAGTCCATTTTAATATCCCCCGCTTAAAGCGTGTTGCGGGGTATAATAAAAGCTTTACTATTATTTTGCTGTGAAAACTACATCGTGTTGCAAGGATGGCTTCCGCATCCAGAAGAGTCGGTCTACTTATGAAGCAGTATTTGTGATGATTATAGTTTACCCCTCTTTTGTTACCATCAGCTTATGAATCAAAGTGGGAAGGAACTTAAATCATTTCAGAAAGTTGCCATCTAATTGGCTCCAGCATGGATCATTAGGTGATGCTATGGACAAGATGAGAGGATGACACACCACTGTCAGCTTCAAGCTCAGAGGTATTGTGTGGCAGTGTCATATTTTTACATTTTATTTATTTGTGTAAATACGGTAGTCTTTAAACAGTTTGGTTGTGGTTGGTTTATTGAATTAGGTTTTTATTAGAGTATGTATGGTATTTGTCTCCAGCTTGATTGCCCCAAGCTGGACCTGGGCTCTATTGTGGGAGAGAAGGGTGTTCTTTTGTTCCTCACTCAGAGGGCAAGCTATTCCTTGATCTCTTATTGGTCAGTTTAATGTTGTCTATTTTTCTTCACTAACATCAGCACATTTTAAATTAGTCTACCACATACAGCTGCAAGAGAAAGGCATATGATGTGACATTTTGATTTCTCTCATCTGATTTCTCCTTTTGGTCTACAACTACTCTCTGTTTAAGGTCAGTTAACATAATTATAACAGGGGTTGAAAATGTTTTGAAAACTCCACTGGACACAGGGCCAGTAAACTTTAAAAATCCACTTGACCAAATATTAATTTCACTTGACCACAATTAACAATTTGGTAGCAATTGCATTTTTATTTCATTATCAAAATACATATATCAAAACATTGCAGTAGTTCGGCACTACTGTCCCACGTAAGGTTAATGTGGATATTTACTTGACCGACTGGAGAATTCCACTCAACCTGGGCATTAGACAATGGTGTTTTTCAACCCCTGTTATAAAACATATTATGTAGAATCTAATACTTGTTAAGTATAGGTATAAACATTATTCTTGCTTAGGTTATAATATTGTGTGATGTGAAGGTATGAAAGTGTTTTAAGATTAGTGTAAAATAATGTTTATAGGCATGATTTTTATGTGCACGGCATCAGGTAAGTCAGGCAACACATAAGCATTTGTGCCTGCTCAGCAGCCATCTTTGTCGGCCATGTTGTATACTTGTTGGTGCCATTTGAAATCCCATATTATTTTTAATAACTGTTCATTGTATATATTTTTTCTTATCCTGACTCATGATCTGTTGCTTATCTCCCTTTTCCTTGCGAATGGTAGTGGAACACTTGAATCCCTAGAAGTTCCTGAAGCGGACGTAAAAATACACTCACCCATGAGTTACCTCCCTTTTCCCGCGTAAACAGTCATGTGACCAGCCTTACTTGTCACTCTCTCCTTTTTAAGCCCAAGTGGATTCTTCAAAATTCACGGCATTATGTCCATTTTATTTAGGTCCTATTCTTCAAAATTATGCTACTATGTATAACTATATGTAAAATGTAAAAATCTTGTAAAAATATATTTGTATTTGTGTCATAAATTCATCATGATTTAACTTTGTTTACATTTCATGAAATCTTGCAGTGTTTGCAGGCACAGGTTATCCGTGGCTGATCCTCACCCCCAATGCCTTTTGTGCATGTTCTTCCAGCTTGCGCTGTACTTATTGTGTTGATTTATCAATTCTACAATTTAATCAATATTTGTCTTATATCTATAGACGTGCCATGGATCGGGTGAGTAAGTCATCTCAAGTCACGGCTGATAAAACAGGAGATCAGCCTGGAAACCATATGTTGATTGCTACTGTGGAGATTCATAATACTGGTGCTATGTTGAGTACTTTGCAGGGGCAGTCTGCTGGTATAGGGGCCAAGAAGAGATCGGCTACAACGCAGTTGACTCTGACTAAAGCTAAGAAAAAGACGTCGACGTCTTCTTCTCGTCGAAAGAAAGCATCTGTTACCAGATCGGAGGGTAAATCTACGCAGCCTAGTAAGTCAACGCATCAGAAATCCTTCAATGAAGAGATATTACCTCCGCATGAAGTAGACGGTTTTTGATGATCCCCCGTTACTTCTAACCCGAAGTACCTACGAGATCGGCAACTCAATCGACTTCCACAACTACTAGATTGTCTCCTGCAACGGTCACAGCAGGGCAGCTGTTTGACGAACTACCACCAACTTCTCAACGGAGTGAAGTTGAGGCACACAACTCATCAGCGTTCGCGAACGCTTCTTTTACACCGCAGCAGCTTCAATCAACACAGAACTTGATCTGGGTAAAATTATGAAACAATTCACCAACCAGATGATGGCTATGATGGAACGAGGTTCGAGGAAGAAGCAAGGCTCGGCAAAGCCTCTCATCTACTGACACCGTGCGCAAACCTATGGACCTGTTGGCGAACCTACTCACAAAGGTTCATCTTGGAGAGATGAATCTATAGATAGAGGTTCTCAGTGAAGAGAGGACTCTCAAGATAGTTCTAGCGTTCATTTCGAAGGAGGAATCTTCAGTTCTAGCAACAGAAAGGATGATGGAGGTTGGAGAAGGGATACAGGTTCGCAGAAGGATGATTCACGGAGGCATAGCTCTACCGATCAGGAGATAACTGATGAATAACCAGACTTCATCTTCCCGGACTCAGAGGTTACAGCTTGGATAGCCAATGGTTTGAACTTCTGAGGATATAGATGAAGTCTTCACTTATAAGATGCGTAATGACGACTGACTCGGTGACTATTCCTCCGATGAATCTATATCCAAGTTACCTTCTAACCTACGCACAGCTTTGAGAAAGCTGCAGACATCTACAGGGTTCGCAAACCCTAGGGTTAACAAACCCTTACATGAAGGGTGAAACGGTATACCACGGTATTAGTAGAACCGCTGTATTTTGCCTTCGGTTCGGTATACCTTGAGCAATAAACTTGTGGCGCAAGTCACAACTCACACCCCGGCAGGCGTTGGTTTTCACTCAGAAGTACCACCCCTACCCTGCTACAATTGTAGCAGAGTAAAACAAGTCCTGATTAATAGTCATCAATCATTACCTCAAACTGTGTGACAGCTCCAAACCTCTCCTCCCCATTCGGCATGGTGTACTTGCTGCGGTAGAAGCCTTTCATCTTGTCGTTCAGTTCCCCTTTGTAGCTCACCTTCAACACACCTTTACCTGGCTGAAAATGGTGAAATAACATGTCACTCGTAGTCCAGGTGAGCTATAATGGTAACAACTTTTCAATGCTCAGATATCAAAAGTTCAAGATGCAAGGGGACCCCGATCCATATACCATGGGCGCAAAGGGCCAAGGACACCCGTTATTGTCATGAGTGCTTGATCTGTGACCCAATGAAAAGTAATAAATAAAATACACAAGATCCCAAATTCTGTTCAGTCTTTGAGTCTGTCTGCATTTGGTGCTAGCTAATTGCATACTGAGACTCTCAGTTGCACTTTTAAGATAGATATCTCACTCAAAACATAGTATATTTATTTACAGCCAACTTGTCCTCGTTTTCTCTTGTGTAACATTTTCTCACTTCTTGGTATGAAACAGACATTATTGCATCACTGACCTTCCAGTCTCCAGACAGATGCTCTACCCACTACATCCCGATGAAGAGGATTAATACTATGAACATACACACTACACACGGAGACTCACCTCCAGGTGAGGTGAGGTGAAATTGGGTTTAACATCGTGCTTGAGAATATTTCGCTCATATCACGATGTGCATGCGTATGTGCGGCTGCTTGAACTAGCCCAGACTTAAGCTGGCTTTATAGTGCTAGCCCACTGAGATACCATGCCGCAGTGAAGCATGAATACTAAAATGAATACCCCCCCTCAGACACAGTATACTGACCAGTCCTTGTTGTACCCATTAATGCCGAGCGCCAGGCAGGGACCAACAAGTACCATATTTTAACGTCTTTTAGTATGACGCGGTCGGGGATCGAACCCGCGACCTTCCGTTCTCCGATGGACGCTCTAACCACTACACCACGGAGGCAGTCTTGACTCACCTCCAGAGCCGAGGGAAACTTGAAAGAGGCTGTTTCCGCTTCCTTGTCTGTCGACACCTCAGCTGACATGGTCTTGTCTGAAAGAGAAGGGGAAGACATAGAAATTCAATACATCAGCATCACAGAAAATTACCCCAAAACCAAAGTCTGAGACCAATATACTGCAGGACCTCCACAAGCCATGTTTTAGGAAGTTAGCTGCTTTTTTTTCAGCAGTACTTCAGTTACATCACCAGAAGAAAGACAACTGATGTTCTATGAACTGGTGAATCTGTCCTGCATGGGTACAGTTCTGTCACTGACAAAGGAACAAAATCACAGCTGTTTGGGATTCAGTCCCATGATCAGTTGATTCAAGCTGGCACAACCAATGAAAAAACATTACATAACAACAAAATTTCTGCAGATAGTTTTATAATAATAATATTAATGATAAGTCATCTTCTGTAGGTGATTGCTCGCGGCACTTAATCAGAATCTGATTATTATAGCCCCAGATAACCCAAGCTGCCTGTTAGGTGCTAGAAGGTTATAGTCACATGACTTTATCCAACCGGGTACCCATTTTCTGCTGGGTGAACAGAGGCAATTTTGAACAAACTCACTTGCCTAAGGGGAGACCACATGTATCACATGCTTTGTTGTGGGGCAGGACTGATGTCCTAGAATCTCTCAGGAGTCAAACTGCCAAACATGGTCACCCTGTATTACAGTATTGAAAGAGCCCTTGGCCCCGATCCTCAAAACGATCGTAGCACTAAGGTAATCGTTACTCCCATACTTTAACATAGACTTACAACTGTCACAGCTCTATGATCGCTTTGAGGAACAGGGCCCTGTTCTTGAAGTTCGTTGGTGTGTTTGTTGTTCAACATCACACTCCACAATATTCAAATTATATCGTTGGTTGTTGTTTAACGCTGCCCTCACCAATATTCCCACAATATAGAATTAAATGACTGCATCTTGTGATGAGTGGAGCAGACAATCCAGTGATCATTATCACAAAACACATCAGGATAAAAATCCCTAAGAAGCTCCTCTTAAAGTAGCATTGGTCATGATCATTGAGTCTTCCATGTTTGTTGTCTAATGCCGCACTCAGCAATATTCCAGCTATAGGACGGTGGTCAGTAAATAATCTAGTCTGGACCAGACAATCCAGTGATCAACATAAGCATCGATGTAAGCAGTTGGGATAAGTATTCCATGTAAAATGTCTTTATTGTGTTATGATAAACACCTTCGACTTATTTGCTAACATAGTTATACTAAAAGTCTGACTTAAATGAAAGTTAATCTGATTTTTAATCAAATTACTGCTACACCATGAGCAAAATATTGTACATAAATAATTTGAAGGATGAAGATTGTCATGTCATTTTCCTAATACAACTATGGTAGCAAGACATTAACACAACTGGATGGAGATAATGCACAATATGAGTGAGTGAGTTGGGTTTGGTATTACACCACTTTTAGCAATATTTCAGCAATATCACGGCGGGGGACACCAGAAATGGGCTTCACACACTGCCCATGTGGGGAATCAAACCCGGGTCTTCGGCATGATGAGCGAATGCTTTAACCACTAGGCTACTCCACAAGAAGTATGAGAATACTATCACAGTCAAACATCTTTTCCTGTCTCACCTCCACTTGCATATGTAACTTCATTGATGGTTATGTCGAGTGAGTTGACAGTCACTGTGTCTGTGGAAGTCTTCACCTACAAAACAATCCAATTCTGCATTATCATCCATTGAAATGGGGGTGAGTGAGTATGGTTTTACAGTTTTTAGCAATATTCCAGCAATATCTTGTGGGGTGTTGACACCAGAATAGCCTTCACACACTGTACCCATGTGGGGAATCGAACCTGGATCTTCAGCGCCACAAGCTAATGCTTTAACCACTAGGTTACCCAAACATCCATTGAAAAGGTCTGACTTGACAATTAACACACTGACAGTTATGTTCAATTTCATCGGGCTGTCCTCACTTTTCTGTTCTGACTGAAAATACAAACTTTTCTAAATTCGGTTTTCCCAAGCCACTTTGGAAATGTATGCCCTGCTGTGATAAATAGATACATCAACCTATACTCACTCATACAAATAAATCTTAAATTTATTCCAAAGCCAAGTGAACACAATTATATTTGAAGCGAGTGAGTTTAGTTTTATGCCGCTTTTAGCAATATTCCAGCAATATCACAGTAGGGGACACCACATTTGGGCTACATGCACTGTACCCATGTGGGGAATTGAACCTGGATCTTCGCGTGACGAGTGAAAGCTTTAACCATCAGGTTACCCCACCGCCCCTTATATTTAAAGACTATTGAGAAGAGAATTACTTTGTAAAAGATCAACTCCAACATATGTTAGATAGGGGATACATAGAGAGTTATTGGGGATAAGCATAATTCCTATCCTAGCTACAGTGGTTTTGAACCCATGTTACATTGCAATTTATCCACACACACCAAGGCTTATTATAGATGCCTTGCATGTTTTTGGTTAAATTCTACATTGCAATATTCAGTTAGTAAAACAGTGTGATGACCCATTTACATTGTTATTCACCCAGTACATGATATATTCATAGACCAGACTGGTTGGATTTGTAGGCGGATTTAGCGGTGGATTCGTAGATGCTAGTAAAATGGGGAAACTTCAACATCATTGATGATGAAAATCGATATTATGACTTTAGTGTAAACCAAAAGTGTTTGAGTTTGTGAAATATAAAAATATATTAGTAAGTATGATCAGTAATGAAAAAACATCAATTATCAACATGCAACTACGCAGACCAGCAGAGAGAAGAAGCAGTAGAGAAGAAGGATAAGGTCACTGACAAAGTAATTAACAAAACACTTAAATATACACACAGTATTTCACAATCAAAACAACTCACCACTTCCTAATTAACAACTCAGTGCAACCTGTTTTCGATGAGAAGACTAATTTATTTTAATCCACCAACAACCTAAATGACAGTGAAAACTGTATAACAATTTCATTATTTTCTTGTTGTCGGAAAATTATGATGAGTAGACTAATTTTGTCTGATCTGCCAACAAAGATTACCTGTACAAACACTTATGGTATATAAACCTCAAGAAGGTAAAAAGAAATCATTCAGCATCAAAATTATCAAAATTAATATGTTTACAAAATACTATTATTCAATTATTTATACACGTCTACGAAATCACTGTCTACGAACCAGTCTGGGCTACGAATCCACCGCGTCTACAAACTGGTTCAGCCTACGAAAACACTGTGTCCCATATATTCTAGCCTGGTGTCAGCCCAGGAAAGAAATACACATCAAAGTGACATATCAAAATGGTGTCTGCAGTGCAAAAGGAAAATGATAAAATAGAAACTGTAGGTCAGTTAACCGTGATAATAAATTCAATAAACATTTATAACAATATTCTTCTTACAAATTTATGATATAATGAGAGTGCACTGATGGGAATTATCCCAACCACATAAGCTGACCACATGAGCTTCAATAAGAATCATTTCCAACATGTCTGCTGTTTGAATTGGCTATTGTCAAAACATGTACATGTGACTGATATATGATATAATTTTATTTAGTCAAATAGATATCAGTTTTACGTCGTCTAACTTCCCATTTGTACTTGTACTTTCACTTTATAATAAAAGTTCAAACATATTGTTTCATTACCTCTACATCTATTTCTTCATCACCCTGAAACACAAACGCGTCCAGATCTGGTTTCAAACGAATGTTGTAGTTTGATGGTACAACATCGGTAGGAAGGCGTTTGAACTCGCGTTTTTCTGGCATGGTGCTGAAAAATCTTGCCAAGGGTGTACACCCGGATCTGAGAGGTTTTAGACTATGGTAAGTCGCTACTCGACACGTATGTGACAAATGAAACGCTGTTGTTGTTTTGTCGACCCGGAAATGCTGCCTTTCTGATCTAGTCTGTCTGTACAGAAAATGCAACCTTCTTCTCGGTTCTAAACCTTTTCTGAAAATGACAGCAACACGACAGAGAGACGACCACGATAATCTTGGACCAACAGACACGGACTGCATCAATGGCTCCAACCGGCAAGGGGAGACAAGGCTGGTGTTGTCATGTATTGAGCGTGACAACGTGAAAGATGTCACTGCACGTGGTAGCGTCAGGTCAAAATGAGGTTGCCAGATGCTGTTTTCTCAAAAACATATCTTTCTTGACAATGTATTTCTTTATGACTTACAACAATATGAATATTTATGTTATATCAACAACGTCAGTCTACCGATTTTATGCCAGGTTTTTTATCAATAAATACATTTTATTACAGTTGAATTTTGAATGACGGAGCACAAATGTTCTATCCTGAGTGTGTTTCACGAACAGTGTCTTGTACGTAGAATACATGCACAGTACGTATCATGGCCCACTATAAGGTATATTTGAATAACTGAACAACAATCTAACCAGGTTAACTTCTCATTATTTGCTCCTTGAAACATTATTGTCTAATATAAAGTTAAGCATATAGCATATACAGATTGGGAGGTACAAAATATATATATTTTTTTTTTTTTTTTTATTTTTTTTTGCATTATATTAAATTGTATATGTCTCGAACAGTAACCCCTGTCCGTTTTTATCTCGGTTGTTATGTATTGGATCTATTTAGGATCTAAGGATATATAGCAGAGACGGAGGGGTAGCCTAACAGTTAAAGCATCCGCTGGTCTAGACTAACAACTAGTCTCTGAAATGAACATATTTTACAGAAAAAAGGCTCATAGTGAAATATATATATATATATATAAAAAAGGAGCCCTGAGACTTTCTTCAATCTAGACTTGCCACATTTTCTAGACTTGCGTGGGATTTCTTGGATATATTTGCTTCAGGGTCTGTATGACAGACTACCGCTGGTCATACTGAAGACCCAGGTTCGATTCCCCACATGGGTACAATGTGTGAAGCCCATTACGGGTGTGCTGGAATATTGCTAAAAACGTCGTAAAACTTGACTCACTCATGCATGGAACACGAGTGCATTTCATGTGCCTTTGTATCCTAAATATCTAAGAATTCGGGGGCAAAGGTAACGAAAGACTGAAAATGCGGCATGCAACAATATTCATTCACTAACTGAAATGGGTGAGTGAGTTTAGTTTTACGCCGCACTCAGCAATATTCCAGCTATATGGCGGCGGTCTGTAAATAATCGAGTCTGGACCAGACTTCAGTGATCAACAGCATGAACATCGATCTGAGCAATTGGGAACCGAAGACATGTGTCAACCAAGTCAGCGAGCCTGACCACCCGATCCCGTTAGTCGCCTCGTACGACAAGCATATATAGTCGCAAGCATGGGTTGGCAAGCATGGGTTGCTGAAGACCTATTCTACCCCGGATCTTCACAGGTCTAACTGAAATGGGGCAACAAACTAAAGTAAGTCACTGTACTTGGTAGGAGTACTTACTTGTGATATAAACGGACTTTGTCTTGAGATCGCATCTCCTATTACACGAATGCCACAAAAGAAAGGTGATATAATACACTTATCGGGGATGTAATTTGTAGAGCTGTGACGATATATCGTAATATCGATAATCGTGATACTCTATCTGACGATAAATATATCGATACGGTTTTTTCGTATCGTGATATGTATCGTTGACCTTAAAATTGTTAATTTTCATTAGATATTGACGGTTATGTCAATATTTCTTGCTATTAACATATAATCTTTTAAAGAAAATAACTAAAGAAAGCATATCGTGATATGCATCGAATCGAATCGTATCGTTTCAAGATATCGCGATACGTATCGTATCGTGAAATTTCTGTATCGTCACACCTCTAGTAATTTGATGTAACGTGTAACCTAAACTTGACCACAACACGGGATTGTGTGTATTAGCCTGTATAAAACATTCAGGGTCACGATGTCGTCTGAGTGAGTGAGTGAGTTTAGTTTTACGCCGCACTCAGCAATATTCCAGCTATATGGCGGTGGTCTGTAAATAATCGAGTCTGGACCAGACAATCCAGTGATCAACTGCATGAGCATCGATCTGCGCAATTGGGAACCGAAGACATGTGTCAACCAAGTCAGCGAGCCTGACCACCTGATCCCGTTAGTCGCCTATTACGACAAGCATGGGTTACTGAAGATCAATATTCTAACCCGGATCTTCACGGGTCTGTGACGTCTGAAAGGCGAGTGTCTGCCCGGAAGATCGGAGTTTTGATCCCTGTCGCAACATATCAAACCGTGTTAGCATAACTGAATGTGTCGGATTTTACGTCGCATTTTGCACTATTCAAGCACTATTACTAGTACGGGTGCACAGGCCCCCACTGCGGGTCAGAAAATCGATAAACTAAGCCCTGGTTTACTATCCAGCCCCCCTATAGTAGTTTATCGATTTTCTGACCCGCAGTGGGGGCCTGTGTACGGGTGATCAAAGTGTTCGCTCGTCACGCCGAAGACCCGGGTTCGATACCCCAATCTTACCTCACCTCACATCACCTCACTTCAAATGTGATGTTTCACACTGTGAGCAGTTAATTGTCTAAAATGTGTGCAGACCTTTTCTCGTCGCTATATGGCTGAAACAAGGCCGATACGACGTAAAACTTCAATTCAACTCGACTCAATTATTGGAACTTGGGCCACTTCAATATTACTAGACTAACAACTAGTCCCTGAAATGAACATATTTTACAGAAAAAAGCTCATAATAAAAAAAAAAAAATATAATGAAAAGGAGCCCTGAGACTTTCTTCATTTTCAGAAGCTGTGGAAATCTAGACTTGACAAATTTTCTAGACTTGCGTGGGCTTTCTTGGATATATTTGCTTCAGGGTCTGTATGACAGACTACAATATTACCAACATCCAAGGTGATACACATAACCAGTGTTGAATAAGCATTTTACGGACGCATCCAATACTAAATAATATTAACTGAAGCGACAGGAAAATATCGTTCAACGTGCACAGCTTGAAAACGAATAGATCCCATTGTGGGGAATTATAGTGAGGAGTATGGTTTTACGCCGCTTTTAGCAATATTCCAGCAACATCACTGCGGGGACACCCGAAATGGGCTTCACACATTGTACCCATGTGGGGATTCGAACCCGGGTCTACTTAAATCATAAAAGAACGTCTTTAACATGACTGGGTTCCCATTAGCAATTCGAATACACCCCTGACTGTTTGTCACGTGTTTATTCAAGTATGATCCTAATCATCACAATCACATACACTATAATTTCGGTATGATACTGCATGTAGATATATATGTTATTTTGGCACTTTAAACCAGGAAGAGTAGAGTACGTTTTGAATACTATTTCAATACTATGAATACCATTAACACTGCGTATCGAAAGCGCAAAAGGAAATATGCATGCAACTGACGAAAGTGATCGTGCAAGAGGCATGCATATTGACATGATGTATGAATCTCAAAAACAGAAACATCGTAATGCCTCCTACAACAGCTTTTAACTCGTGAAGATTTTAGAATTGGTCTTCGGTAACCCATGCTGGTCGTAAGAGGCGACTAACGGGATCAGTTGTCACCGTATCCCAACTGCGTAGATCGATGCTCATGAAGTTAATCACTGGATTGTCAGGTCCTGACTCGATTATTTACGTACCGCTGGAATAGCTGGAATATTGCTGAGTACAAACATATGTTTATTCTGGCGAACATTTCGAGTGTTCTGACCCATACAAGGCCTTACTGCCATATTGCCACATTGTCTTGTCGTGTAAGGTGACTTAGAGGATCGGGTGTCCCGGCTCGGTGACGTGGTTGACACGTCGTCGTATCCCAGTCGATGCTCATTATGTCCACCACTGGTGTAAATCATGATGTCAAGTCTCAGGCATATAACTGGAATTCTGCTGAGTACAGTCTTAAGTAAAAAAATATTACCACCACCTTGAACATTATGTTTGTGGCTATATTAGCTTAAGATTTTGTTGGTGACAATATTTGTTAAATATGTCTTTTCCCACAAAAATAGCAAAACATTTTGTTTGTCAATATTTTCAATATATTTTGTTTGCGGCGATGTTAGTTATATATATATAAAATAGAGTCCCGATATTTGTGATCTTTCGCCGCTCAACGGTTCTATGGAATGACACATATTCAGTATACAGAGTCAGCCGTAAGTCATGGCTCCACATGATAAACTGGGCGGTTCACCCAAACACTGTATGCATACGCTGTTTCCAAGGTTTATTAAGTCACTATTGTACGTGTTAAGCATCGATTATTTTAAGAATGCCATTATACGATAAAGAGATTATTACACTCGTGGGTTTCCGTATTACTAGAGGCATGCGTTAGGAATATATATATGGATTTAAATGACTATTATGTTCGCCTAATGCCTGCAAAACACAATTCTAATTCCCATTCGAGCCTAATTGCAATGGACTACGCTGGTCTATACACTACTGTCATCGATGCTTGAGTGCTCTAACCCCAAGATGTAAAAGGCTTGCATCTGATGGAAGAAGTTTGCCATTTTTGTCCAAACAGTACTTTTTATGAGTTTGGGAAGAGTTGGAATGACGATGCCAACACTAGTGAATACGAAAAGTTCACGTGAGTTCAAAGCCACGGTCATGAACACGAAGCAATAGCAACACCAGATTTGATCACACGTGCATTGTCTTCTTAGAACAACAGGCCTTTGGTGAGTTTTCCACGACTACCAGGCTTGATATTCACACGCGGTTGCCTTTGTAGATTAGAAAATATTTCCAATAATGGTCTGACCTTTCGGGAGGAGGTCAACCAAAATGATTCCTTTGGAATCACAGGAAACCAAATCCGTCACCATCCCAGAGACCATATAATATGATCTCTGACCTTGCGAACCGATCGAACTGACCTTGTCGACTTGTTGTAGACGTTAGACGTTTCAACCGCTTTGAATGTGGTCTGTTCTCCCTGTCATCACTGATTTTCAGCGATCCATTTGAATACTTTTAATCTGTAGTTTTCCTTGTACTCAGAATGGTTCTGCTCTGGCGTTGACCTATTTAATATAGTTTCTGTGTTGAACCCAAGGCTCATCCAAATCGCTAAGCAAAGTCAGTTGAGTCTGATTCAAAAGGACACAAATACCCACGAGAGATCACAT